TTGTATTTTATCCCAAATTGTATCCCTTTTAGTTGATTTACTTTATCCTCATTGTAGTCCTTTTGTCAGTAGCTTTTCTTTCACTTGGGGTTAAAAAAATAAGCAGATAAACAATGCCAATCTATGGGACATATCGTGATGTATCCTTGGCACTCACTTGAGCAATATATCAATAATCACAGTATCGCCATTGTGATCAACATATCATATAGTATCGTGAAAGATCCAGAGATTCCCAGTTAAAATGTTGTTTTGTTCTAATATCAGTGGATTTAATGACAGGGCTGTTTGGCCCCTGTGCGTGTGTGCGTGTGCGTGTGCGTGTGCGTGCGTGTATTGTAACTCTACAGCAGACGTGAGTTTGTTTTGCATTAATGCTTTGATCGTTTATATCTGATTTTTCACTTTTTTTGTCGTTACTTTTACTCTTACCCCCAAGTTATGCAATAACTAACATAACCACTTTTGCGGAAGTAATGATTAACTATAACAAATCATGTGAATTCATGGGTCATTTCCCTGTCTTTCCAATGAAAACACTTGACCAATTACCTCGATATAAGTTACTACAGCTATTGTGTATATGGCAGAGATGGCTGTATTTGAATCCATACAGGACTGAAGCAGAGTTGTTGTACTCACTCCATCTGAAGGTCATCTGTCTGTTGTTGCTGTATTGATCACCCCATATCATTATGTTTCCCTAATCCTTTGAGGCTGAAGCTGCAAACCCGCCCTGACCTCCAGCTGAACACACTGCAGTCTGTGGAGCTGGATCTATTTCCCTTCGTTCCAAAGCCGTGCAGAGGCGTCTGGGGAGAGCCACCCTTTGAGTCTCTGTAAGCCGTTACCTGGCAGCCCATAAACAAAAGCAAGAAACTCCTTAGGGAAAGTTACTGGCAATTAATGCAACGTGTACCAATGTTGGTCTTCTAAACATAGCCAAATGTTTGTATCTTATCTGATTGTATTAATCGTTACTTTAGCTTGGGGATAGGGAATGCTGTGTTTCAAGGTGGGCTCTGAAAAGGAATGTAAACAGAGCAGAGAAGTAGGATTGTGCTGGAAAACCTCGCCTCGGCTCAAGTCTGGGTCTGTTGTGTCTCTGTTTGTGTGGTGTAGTGATGGGCACGTCCAAGCCCCGCGAAACAGCAAAGCATTTGAAGAAAAAAAGTGAAGTTCCTTTGGAAAAGTCCACTCCACCCTGACATCACGTGGTGCCATTTAACAGATGGGTTTAAAATTAAGTTTTGGACCTGGAACAAAACACACCTCATAGAACAGTGTAATACAAATAATAATGTGGCTGCAGCGTCTGTCTAAATTCAAGCTGTTTAAAACCTTTGGTGTGACGTCACTTCTCTGGGGGAGTCTTATTCCACATCTGTTACAAAAAAATGAATTTGCTGACTGTTGTTTTAGTGCTATGTGGACCAACTCAAACTGCATTTCAGATTTATGCAGCTAAAATATGGAACGTTCTTCTTGAAAATGTGAAAATGGCTTCTTCTCTGACAATGTTCAAATACAGGTTAAAAACAGAAGTTATATTTTGCCGTGCATACAACTGAGGGATTTTATCTTTACTCTTTTGAATATATTGTGATAATTTATGACTTTAATACCTTGTATTGTTTCTATCTTGTTTTGTTTTTTTCAGCACTTTGAGTTGCCTTGTGTATGAACTCTGCTATACATAGATAAAACTTGCCTTCTCTTTTTGATTAATGTCGTACAAATCCATTTACACAATCCTAAGGCAAATGCAATGGCAATTACGAACAACAAGTAAGTAAGTAAGTTAGTAAGTAAGTAAGATTTTATTTATTATACCGCCTTTTCACTACAGATCTGAGTCTCAAAGCGGTTTACAATTGTTAATTTTGGGCATTTGTCTCTCACTCCACACAGAGATGGGAGCGGGGCCAGTACAGGAGGCGCATGCTAGAACTATTGGACATATTTTTAGTGGTAGGGGAAACCGGAGTACCCGGAGGAAACCTACGCAGACACGGGGAGAACATGCAAAGGCCCTGGTCTGACCGGGATTCGAACCCAGGACCTTCTTGCTGAGAGGCGAGAGTGCTATCCACTCAGCCACCGTGCCTGTATACGTCTGCAAAAACTGTTATTATTAAAACCTGTTGTCTACATCTCAGGCACGGCAAGTCAAAGTGTTGAACCAAGATCAATCACACAAGGCATTCAAATCCTAAATAATCACAGTACCTTAAACGAGTGAAAATACAGAACTGTTTTAACCTGGATTTTAGAGGACTGCTTCATAAGTAGTTCTCTATGTGGTTTACCCAATACAGACAATTGGCTTTAAATTCATCAAACCATTAAACGACAGAAGGAGCTTTGGTACAGTCCGTCCTCAGATTGGAAATGGACAATGAGGAAAATACAGTACAGTTAATTACAATTCACAAAGTCAGTGTTATTAAAAATCCTCATTTACTCCCTGTGTGTGTGTAAATACTGTTCTATATATAGAGCTTATGACAAATACTATTCTTAGTATTATAGATTTACTCATTCTGTTTCTTTTCTCTGCCCAAATAACTGGATTTCTATGTGTAATGCAAATAAGCCTTTATCGTTACGCACCACACTTTAGCCCGACCAATGAATTATGAAGTGTGGGTAAATCTTTAACGGCAGCTGTAGCTCCAGTGTTGTTCTGGGGGTCAGCAGTTCACTCCAGGGTTTTCTTTGTGAAGCTGAGATGGATGAGGTCAAACATGCTCAGGGTTAATGAGTGAATTATTTTAACAGGAAAGTTATCAAAGGCTAAAGCCAATAGATGAGTATCCTGTATCATTGTAGAGAGAAATGTTGAAACAAATCCGACCACTTTCATTATCTTAATTTTACAGACTTGTAAGAGAGAGAGGCCTGTGTTTTTCAGATTCATTTATTTGCCATTTGCACTAAAACTACAGTGTGCACAATAAATGTACAAAAATAAAACAAAAGTACAGAAATAAAACTAACTAAAAAAGTTCAGGAAACAATTGACACAGTGAAATCGACTATTGACTACTTGACTATTACTCACTTTTCAGTCTGACAAAGCTGATATGAACACTTTTGCTAACTTCATTCTGTATATAATAAGAATAAATTCTAAACCTACAGTAAACCACATTAAACTTTATTGGAAAGACCCATGAGAGGGGACTGATAGGACTGTTTGTGATGAGTTTAATTCTTTTTCGCAGAGTGGGGGTCACTCTGTTGTCTGAGGGACTTGACACAAATGGTGACGGCACCGGCCTCGCCTCAGTACCCAGATGTGTGACTCACAGAGCTGGGCCTGAAACATTTGGGCAAATGATTTAGTCATCCTCAGTGTATGATACGCCCCGGGTTATATTACAATATTCAATTATGTCAATACAATGTATTTGTAACTTTACAATGACCATAAAAAGTAAAAAACACGAGTTTGTAACATTAGTTAAGTAAGTAAGTAAGTTTTTATTTATATACCGCCTTTTCACTGCAGATCTGAGTCTCAAAGCGGTTTACAATTGTTAATTTTGGGCATTTGTCTGTCACTCCACACAGAGATGGGAGCGGGGCCAGTACAGGAGGCACATGCCAGAACTATTGGACATATTTTTAGTGGTAGGGGAAACCGGAGTACCCGGAGGAAACCTACGCAGACACGGGGAGAACATGCAAACTCCACTCAGAAAGGCCCTGGTCCGACCGGGATTCGAACCCAGGACCTTCTTGCTGAGAGGCGAGAGTGCTATCCACTCAGCCACCGTGCCGCCACAGTTCCAGTTATCAATGAAATATTGTTTTCAAGTATTTTGTGCTTGATAATGTATTGAAAAAATGCACACAACTTTTTCATTGTTTTTTTGCACATATTGTTATATTACAATGATGTAGGAACATGATTAGATTGTATATCTAATTCTATAAGGTTTTTTTTATACTGCATTATTGAATTTTATTTGATTTTTTTGTAAATCCGAGATCCACACTTTGAAAATAGAAGCATATTTTTTAGTAAATGAAAGATAAACAATAAACCAATAATTTTGTATTCAAAATGTGATGAGGACCCTTTGGACCAGACACCTTAAAATAGTGTTCCTCTGTTTTTCCTCCTGTTGTTTCACAGTCATGTATCTGCAGCCGCAGGATGCAAAGTCTCGCTCTGAGAGAAAGTGCAGACAGAGCTGTGAATATCTTGTGTGAGTTTGTTGCCGTCAACTTTGTGTCAGTGAATACAAATCTGTCATTGGCCGTTTCCCCGGAGACAGACGGCAATGACAAACATTTTCCTCAGAAATGATTTTCTATTTTATTATTTAATGTTCCTCTTCTTTCCTGGTTGCGTGTTTGATTTTTGCTTCTGTCTAAATATTGTGTTGCCTTTTAAAGTTTCTTAATGTTTCGTACAAGAGCTTTAATTTATCAAAGAAGTTTTACATTTATGTCTCTAGTTGGCCCAAAATGAAGAATGAGAAAAGCTCTCATAACTCAAACTGACATGAATTACATTAAAAAACACCTGAAGTATTTATGCATTAAAAATCCAGAAGACGATGAAACCGGTCATGTGACTGAACCACTTAAAAACACCTAACTTTGAAAATGTCACTTCTATCCCTAGTTTTCACATGATTAATTATTTGTCTTTAGATTAACCAGTCTCTCAACTCACTCCCAGTCTGCCCTCCAGACAGGACGAGTGTGGATCTTGCATGTTCTCTCTGTGTCTGCAGGGATACAGGATTTTGTTGTTTTAACTTTCTTTTTTCTGTGAATGGTTAGTTACCACTAGTAAAATTCTAACGTTGATTCCATGTCAGGTCATTTATTGAACTCCGTCTCCAGAACCTATAATAATGACATTATATTTAACAGTAGAATAACTGTTTGATTTTCTGATCAGTGCTGGCGAATTCAACAGTTTTGTAAAGTCCTCTGAGATTACTTTTGGGATTTGAATTGAATACTTTTTCTGTTTTCAGGCGACCGTTGTGAGCTGTCTACCCGCTCTGGCCGCTGCGCTCCAGGGGTCTGCAAAAACGCCGGCACTTGCGTCAACCTGCTTGTGGGGGGCTTCAAGTGCGAGTGTCCTGCAGGCGGCTACGAGAAGCCCTACTGCGAAATGACCACACGGAACTTCCCTCCTCACTCCTTCGTGACGTTCAAAGGGCTACGGCAGCGTTTCCACTTCACCCTGACCCTTACGTAAGCGCACACACCTCCTGATCCATACATGTATTCATAGACACACTCCCACCTCCTCGAAGGCAGCTCTCGTCTGACCGTTATGGTACAGTAATGGTATTTAAAAGCAATAACGGCGCCATTAAAACACAGGCAGTAGTTGTAAAGTACTTGGATGTGGCTCTGAAGTGCGCGGGCAGGTACAGTGGGCCGCGAGGTGAGAGTGAGAGCTTTTGCAGGAGAGACTTGCATAACAGGAGGACGCTAATACAGCCTGATGCAACTTAACAAATTCCCTGATCGATTAGTCGACTAAAAGGTGGACTAGCAACAGCTTCAGTTAAGGCAATTTTTTTTTATATACCACAATTTATACACAAGGCAACCCAAACTGCTGCACAAAACAAGATGGAAACAGTCACACAAGGCATTCAAATCATAAATAATCACCATGCATTAAGAAGAGTAAAGAAAAAAAACTCTCAGATGTATACACATATAAAAATAACTGTTTTTACCTGGATTTAAACATTTTCACATTTGCAGGAAGACTGTCCCAGATAGATTTAGCAGCATGAATCTCAAACGCTGCCTGCCCATGTGTAGTTCTGACTCTGGGCACCAGCAGGAGGCCAGTCCGTGTGCTCCTCAGAGTCAGAGTTGGTTGTAGATATTAAAGATAAAGAATTAATTTTTGTCCATTAGATTTTGACACTGTTTTTCACCTTTTCATGTTTTAGATTCAAAGTAGAAAAAATATGGTGAAGTATTTTAAAACACCCGTACAGTCTTCTGCAATGAAAAGAGGACATGGAGAGTGCTGTGTCCTGCTGTTAAAGGTGCACTGTGGAGTTTGTTTTTGGTCTGCTGTCTCTCTGATTTTTTAGTGAGAAAAGTATGGAGACAGATGGGCTATTCTTCTGTAGAGATTAGTGCTGAAAGATGAATTGATAGTTCCGAATTAAAACCTTCCTTGAGCTAATTCCTGTGTATTTACCGCAGTAGTTGTTCATTGATACACATTAGTGGAAGTCATGGGTCAGGTTTGTTCCTCATATTGAGTTGTTTTAGATTCTTGTATGTGTTTAATGTCCATGGCCTCGCACCAAAATATATTAGTGACATGTTAGTCCCATATGAACCAGACCGGACTCTGAGGAGCACAGGGACTGGACTCCTGTTAGTGCCTAGAGTCAGAACTAAACATGGGGAGGCTGCTTTTCAGATTCATGCCGCTAAAATCTGGAACAATCTTCCTGAAGATGTGAGACAGGCCTCCTCTCTGACAATGTTTAAAACCAGGTCAAAAACAGTTCTGTTTAGCTGTGCATACAACTGAGGGATTTTATATTTTTATCTTTGTTTTTAATGTTTAATGTTGAGTTGCCTTGTGTATGAATTGTGCTATACAAATAAACTTGCCTTGCCTTAACTTTCTTGAATGCTATTTAAACTGCTGAAAAAAACGTGTTTACACAATAACAGAAATTGCATATTAATTGTTTATTAATGTCGCCCATATAAGGAAATGCACTTAGTGACTATATGTAGTGGGTCGGATTTTCTCCGCTCTGCGTTGTGTTGATTTGTGTGTGGTGCAGAGGAACACTCAGGAGACAAGCTTTCGAGGCGTTCTTTTATCTCTTCTCCGACACGGACTATATACTGTACATACCTGTTCACAAAATGAAAATGCTATAAACATTTGCCTCTGCATCAGTCCCAGCCCAAACTAAACAGACATTCAAAGAGTAAATAACAACAAAATTATATTTTAAATAGACATTTTGAGAAATACAAAAATAAAGTGACTGACCTCTTCCCTGACTCAGGATTTCAAAGGAAAGAGGCAGCGGGAAAACCCTGAATTGGGATAGTGTTAGACAGGGGACACACAGAGGAGAAATAACAACACAGGAGTGGCTGGAGGACCGAAGCTGCACAACAAATCAAAGACCAGGTCAAAAAAACAATAAAAAAATAAAATTTGATATTAAAAATACACTAATAACAATGTATTTCACATAACACTTAATACAAAAATGAAAACACACTCTAAAGTTCTGAGAGAGGTCACTCAAATTATTGACTCTGCTGCATATAGTTTGTTGATAATATAAGGATCATAGTAATAGAATTCTACATAGACACAAAAAAATATGAAATGCAACCTCAGGGCTTGTTTATTTTAAGTGTTTAATCTGAGAATGATGCCAAGTGTTGCTTTTTCTGACAACATACTATAAATACTGTTAGCACTGTTACCAGTTCAGACATTGGCCTCCATTTTATTATCCGTTAAATTCTACTTTACAACCTAGTTTCAATTTCTATTCATAGTAATTAAGAATGTAGCAGTTTGGTCAGTCTTCCAAAATGTATTTATTGCATCTCTGTCATTTTCATCCTGGACTTGGACTCATGGTTTCTGTATTTGTGCAGCCAAAGCATTTCAGAGTCAGGTGTGTGGTTGTGGAGGGGGAGGAGCGCAGAGGAGCTGAAAACTGAGCACATCACTCAATCAGCCTCCACGGGGATGAAACTATAATCACATTTGACTTTATCCCAGTTCTGTCACAAATGTATCCCTGAAAAGTATACACATGGAAGTCTAAAGCGATCTTAAAAAATCTAAATGGAGACCAAACCAAGGCTAGAACAGGAGCAAGCCAGTTCTACACTAGGACTCAAGCTGGAGTTTTAACCTCACAGACCACTATTCGTTGCCAAATTGAATAATTTAATTGCCAAGTTTTGTGGAGGGGTAGATAGATTCATTCATTCATTCATCATCTGTCAAATATGTAAGGAAAAGCATTTTGTGACATTGATATTTTAGCAAAATAAAGGCATCGCGAACAAGCATGGGATCATCTTACTTATTTTTACGATTTTAAAACCACATAAACACGGAACTATAATAAATTCTGACTTGTTCCTTGCTGTTGTTCTTTTTCTAATTAAGATGAAGACATTTTATTTTGTTGAGAAGACTCTTTCTTTCTTCAAATAAAGCAAAAGAAGGTAGGGCTTTTATGGGGAGGAAGTTGGGAGTCATATTCGGTAATATTATTATTTAACCATATAAAATATCTTTGAAATTCCGGGCAAAGTGACATTTACATCACATTGTATATACCAGTTCTAAAGAATACACCAAATTATATTATCTGCACAATAAGCTCAACCACATGTCATTGGTTGCATTTCCAGGTCATTCACAATACTGAGCAGGGCAGGGCCTGGTTAGTACTATGATGGGAGACCTCTGGGAACAGCAGGTGCCACAGTGGGGCGGCTGCGGCTGTAAATAACTAAATTTTCGCTGTGTCCTTAGGCAAGACACTTCACCCCCATTGCCTAGAATGAGTCTGGTGTATGAGTGAATGGTTGGTGGTGGTTGAAGGGGCCGATGGCACATACTGGTTGCCTCGCTTCTGTCAGTGTGCCCCAGGACAGCTGTGGTTACAATATTAGTTTATCACCACCGTGTATGGAGTGAAAGAATAATGACATGTGATGCGTCTTTTAGTGTCCCAAAAAAGCGCTGCATAAAACCAATTATTATTATCATTATTTTAGCTACAAATTGATTGAATCTGTATTATTATTATTTTTTGCCTTGTATTTCTCTTGTACCGGATTAGCTCACTCCAGTCTGGATTGTAAATGTCCCTTGTAGTATTCGGCGGTCACAATATACGGTTACGTCCTTAGAAGAGATGAAATTCAACCAAGAGTAAAAAGGCACATAAACGTCACAACACATTTTAGCGCGGGTATCTCCTCACGACAGAGGTGTAATGTCGCTTTGCTTCACTTATTGTCCCAGGCGTCACCGGAGAGCCCGCCAGGCCGCAGGTGCCAACAATATCTCCCTTGTGTCGCGCAGGCCTTCTTTAAGCGTGGTTCAGATGACAGCGCTTTTTGATGGGGAACCGCTCCGACCAGTTTGTTGAAAGCGCGTTGTGTTTCGGCAGTGGGGTTGGGGGTGTTGCCATGGCGCGGGGGGAGGGGGCAGGTACAAGGATTGGCCGGCGGCAGGTGAAGTCAGTGAGTCGCCGTGTCACCTGAGCGTGAGCAGATCAGGTGACCGACCCCGAGACCAGCGGCTTACGGAGCACGCTCGGATGGATGTTAATTTTAGGTCCCGTTCAGACTCTGCTTTGGGTCAAGGGAGCCGCCATTTGAAGCTGAGATTTCTCTACAAAAAGTTCCCAGCGTAAACAACATGCACCTGCGTTTAAATCTCTATTTGTCAAAAATAGGCTTGTTTTGTAAAAACTGTAGATTACAAATAGTAGTTTAGCAGTAGTAATAGTAGCACTTTATTGTTCACAGAAATAGTCAGTGTTCATATGTTAAATGACTTAAAGGTAGTGACTGTAACCTTAAACCTTACCAAAAAAATAGTTTTATAGAAATAAAATAAACAACATTACGTCAACTGCTCTAACGGTGTCTAAAGTAAAGTTTGAAAGTGCGCTAAAGATTACACTATTATAAGGTGCACATTTTGACTTATTTTTTTTACAATGTCAAAGATTGTAGAAATTGTCTCATAGTTCAGTTTTGGGACTGTTTGTGTCTCTTCATGGCCTCGCACCAAAGTACATCAGTGACATGTGAGTGCCATATGGGCCAACTCGGACTCTGAGGAGCACAGGACTGGACTCCTGCTGTGTGAGTGCGGACTAAACATGGGGAGGCTGCATTTCAGATTCTAATGCTAGTTTCTGGAACAGTTTTCCTGAAGATGTGAGACAGGCTCCTTCTCTGACAATGTTTAAATCCAGGTCAAGACAGTTCTGTTTAGCTGTGCTACAATTTATTGTTGATTATTCATTATTTATTTTATAGAGATTTTATCTTTACTCTTTTGAAAGTATTCTGACTATGTATGATGTTGAATGAATGTCTTGTGTGATTGTTTCTATCTTATTCCGTTCCACACTTTGGGTTGCCTTGTGTATGAAAAATGGTGCTATATCACTCTCATATTGTGACTTGTGAATTGCATCACCACAAAGATAGATAGATAGATACTGAATTGATCCCCGTAGGAGAAATTCACAACCTTTAACTTTATTGAGTCAGTAATGTGTCTACTACTTTAGTAAAATTAGTTTAAGAAAGATTTTTGTTCAACTAAATGTTTTTCCTCCCTGATTATGATATTGAGTTGAGATTCCATCTTTCTCATATTTATTTCTATTACCTGCTAGCTCCAGTCTTCACACATGTATTTATTTATATTTTTTCTTCGCCTCTGTCACATCTGGTCGTACCACACCATAGTACAAATTACATTTCATACCAAGGTCTGGAGGTGCTCCAATGAGCTCCGTTAACAGGTGGGAGAGGTTAACTCCTTTTGCAGATTGATCTGAGTTTACTGTGACGTTTGTAATGAGCCTGAGTGAGTCGTTAGCATTTAGCATTTAGCCTAGCCATCTCCTTTGCCGCTAAGAGCCTGTGGGGAGTAGCACCACAATCTTAGCCACCAATTACATTTGATAAACATTACTCTTGCTCCGGCTTCAATTTCTTTGAGAGAACCAGATCGGATTACTTTACTATCGCATTCTTCACCATTGCCAAACCACAACCTGCCCGTTCGGCGCAAACTCTTGACGTCAACCACAACTAACTACAACACCCGCCTCCCGCGCTCGCTGATTGGTCGGATGGAATTCAACCGATTATAATTGCAAACACAGGGACCAGACCCAGACGTTACATGCAGTGAAATAATGATTGAGTGGAGTGTACGGATTGCTAAGGCCAGGCTACTTTAGATACGCTTTTTCAGACAAAAAAGTGAAAAACCAGTTCTCATTCACTTAAACCGTCAACACAGTGACTCACAGGGCTCTTTCGTACCAGTGTGCAAAAGACAAATGATGCTGCACTCTGAATTGTTGACAACATTTTACTTTGACAAGATTTTTAAATGGAAAAAGTTAGGTCCAACATTAATCTTCTCTTACAATTTTAGAGAAATTATTTATTCATTTCACAAATCCCTGCCAACTGGTTTTAATCACAAATAAAAATGCAGTTTCATATCGAGCCCTATGTCGGCACTTTTATTTTGATGTTGTTTTTCACAAATCTTTCAAAATCTGCAGTGTATCAATCTTTCATCACAGCCGTATATACATTCACTCAGAGCTCCACTAAACTAGGCCAAATATCAATAATGAAGAAGAGCCTTTTGCTGTAAAAACTCCAATCTTTGCACTTCCAGGCGGGGCATACGAGAGGCATATTTTCGCACATGGCTGCACTGATCCCGTGTACTACAGCATGTCGGCATAGCGTGACATAGGCCCCCAACATAAGGGCCAGACTGGTTGTTATTTTTACTGATGGCTGCCTAATGTGGCGCAGTGATGCCAGCCGAGTCAGGCCCTTAGTTCCAGTTGATTACCTTCATAGTTCAGAGGGCTCAAGGGGGCAAACGGGGAAGCCTTTTAAATCGATATGTCACAAAAACCAAGACTTAAAGCAGAGACTGGCTTTGCTCTATATATCAGAGGGACTTTAATATATCATCAAGGTTTCGCTTCCCAAAATGGTTTTATGTTTGTCTTTTCGAGGTTTAAGACTTCTTTTTTTTCCTTTTCAAAGTAAACAGGTCAGTTGTACCGTGCCCCCTGGGTCCTTCGCAGCGGAAGAAGAAAAAAAAACCTTGCAAACAGCATCATGCTCAGAAAGCCCTGAAGGAGCGGGAATGAAAAGAGTTTGTGGCAGCCTGTCCCGACTAAAAGCTACTGAAGATATTTGAGATATTCCCCTCATTGTTGTCCAGCTAAGACTCCTGTACTGCCCCTTTTTATGGATCAGAGAAAACAAAAAGCTTAATTATAAATACTTTTCATCATGTGTCTTTTTGTTGGCTTACTTATATATATATATATATATATATATATATATATATATATACACACACTGTGGACAATGATCAAATATGAGGTAATTATTGCTTTAATCGAGTGGTTTTTATATTATTTTGAGTGCATTCTGACAAGATTTGCAGATGGGACAAAAATGTAGCTTTTTTCAAGAACTGTTGCTTAATTTTCTCTTAATTAATTAATTAGAACTGTGATGGGTGGGGCGGCTGTAAAGGTCTGTGCTGTCGTTTTGTCCTTAGGCAAGACACTTCACCCGCGTTGCTTAGTATGAGTCTGATGTGTGGGTGAAGGGTTGGTGGTGGTCGGAGGGAGGGGATGATGGCACATACTGGTTGCCTAGTTTCTGTCAGTCTGCCCCAGGGTATCTGTGGCTTCAGTAGTAGTTTATCACCACCGTGTAAAGAGTGAATAAATAATGACTTTTGAAGCGTCTTTGAGTGTCCAAAGAAGTGTTGTATAAAACTGATGCATAATTTTCAGTAGAAATAGTCTGATTCAGGTCATGGACTAAACTACCACTTTCCCTTCATATTGTAACAGTAAAGAATAGCTGTAGTTGAAGTGAGTATTCATTTATTTTGAGTCCAATGTGCAATTATCACACATCACCACATACATAGAACTTTCCAGCAAATCCTTAATTAACCTATAACAATAATGCACGTCATTCAAACTCAAAAAGAAATGGGAGGAAGAACAAAATCTTATAAAATCCCACCCCTGAATCTAATTAAATCTTTTTGAACATTTCACTTTAAGACTTTTATCATAGGATTAATTAAATGACCTTGTTTGAATACAGGCGGTAGAATAATTATCTTCCAAGACATTGAAATGTTTAATAGACTAAATGAGTAGAAGAAGCAATGGCTCATGAGTTTTGCCAGATGTGTGCTGGGATTTACCGTTGGGACAAATCATAAATAATGTTGTTTTTTTATGCTCTTGATCTTTATCGTCGCTCATCTTCCACTGACCCACTTGTAAACACTCAGATTTATCACAATGAACCACATCTGACAGGTATTTTTAGTTTGATCCTCCATAGCCTAAAATATCACTCACGATGAGGCCCATGGATCATACTGTGCGTCATAACAAGAGTGTAGCTAACTTAGTAATACTGCAGTGAAATTATATAATGTAGCGTCTTTGAGTGACCAAAAAAAGTACCATATAAATACAACTCACATGGCAATAAAGAGATCAGATAAGATAGACTTTATTGATCTCACACTGGAGAAATGTACTGTACATGTCACTTTACAAATTTACATGTCACTCAGATTGTGCAAAAAAACAGAAGTGTGCAACATGTTAAAGGTGAAACATATAGTTAGTGCAGGATATGATTATGTACAATATAAAAGTGGCTTAAAAGAAAGAAAATAATGCTTCTGATACTACTACTACTACTATTACTACAATAATAATGCTTCTGATACTACTACTACTCGCATGGCAATAATAATACATTACAATGCAATTTATTCTTGTATAGCCCTAAATCACAACAGCAGTCATCTCAGAGGACTTAACAAAACCATTGAAATCACCAACACAGATCAGAGAATCAACAGTTTAGACACAAAAAAGAATAACGCTTCTGATACTACTACTACTACTACTACTACTACTGATACTCACATGGCAATAATAATGCTTCTGATACTACTACTACTATCATAATACTGTGTACGTCCCGCTCTGCCCGAGGCTCTCAGACGTCCTAACCTGAGATTATCGTTACGTTCCTACAGTATGTGAAATATACAGGACATATACTTGTCTCTGAGTCTTCATGTCCCATAATGCACTGGTTTCCCCCTCTCGCCTGCGTTGACATTGCCCTACTTTTGCCCATATCCATTGTGCCTCTGCGTGTCTATTCATGGCACACTTTTTCTTCAGTTTTTCTTCCGCCGCAGACGCTCCCCTCTCGGACTTAGCCTCGTGCCACTGGTTAGATTCATTATCTGTTGCACGAAGTCGTTTATCTGCTGTGTTTGTACATTTCCACCACTGAGACGACAGATGTGCAGAGTTTTAACACGTTATAGTGAAAAACACCAGTGATTTAGCTAAAATTACAGTTATATTTACAACTCATTTACAGCATGACTTTGGCAACACAATACATTTCTCCCAGAATATCTGATTCATCTTATTATTAATTCAAAAACATTATTTGTGAGTTAGAATTATTATTCAATTATAATTTTTAATTAGTAATGAAAAGTGATTTATTTGTATTTATAATTTTAGAAAAAAATATTAAATTAGTCATGTCTATAATTTTGAATAGTGATTTCTTTGATCTCAAGAGATAAAATGAGAAAACTATTTACCGTAACAAGTTCATTGATAAATTGTAAATGTGTCCATTATTGAAATTGTCATATTTAATGATGACAACAATTGATTAATTATTCTTTGGAGCCTTACATAGACTTAAACTTGCTGAGAAGAGGTTGTATTATTATTATTAAAATACAATTTTATGACTGCAGAATGAAATAAAAATATATTACCAAAGTATTTTGAATCAAACCCAATGTGTAACAAGTTGGCTCTCTGATGATGCTCCCCAGACTTTCAGGACCTAAACAACTAATCGAGTTATCGGAAGAATAACGGGCTAAATAATTGATTTTCAAAGTTAATTACAACTTGACTATTAAACCTTTCGGCGCCAAAGTAGCATTTTCACATGAGTTTTTGAATCCAGGACACTTTCCATACCGCGAACAGGCTCTCCATAAATGTTTCCCTACACATTTATTTTTCTTTTATGGATTCCTGTCATTGATAGGAGCTTTCCTCTCTTAGACAGTTCCAGGGCCCCAAGAATGTTCTTTCACATTACATTTCTGGCAATAAAACTGGTGCTTAAAGGGTTAACCAGGGTGTTAATTTTCCTTCTTTCCTTTTTCCATAGATTTGCCACTAAAGAGCCAAACGGGCTACTCCTCTACAACGGACGCTTCAATGAGAAACATGACTTCATCGCGATGGAGATCATCAATGAGCAGATACAGCTGACGTTCTCTGCTGGTGAGCCCCGAATACTTCAATAAAAAACACTGAGGTTATTATCCCACTCTGACAGTATATATGTGTGCGCCTGTAGGTGAGACTAAGACGACTGTTTCCCCGTATACTCCTGGAGGCGTCAGCGATGGCCAGTGGCATATTGTTGAGGTCCACTATTACAACAAGGTAAGATCTATTTTTCAGTTTCATAATTTACTAAATCTGTAATGAGCGAAATTAAGGAGGATCCAGAATGCAAATTAATAATAATTTATTGATGATTGATGCTAAAATCTGGAACAGTCTTCCTGAATATGTGAGACAGGCCTCCTCAATGACAATGTTTAAAACCAGGTTAAAGACAGTTCTCTTTAGCTGTGCATACAGTACAACTGAGGGATTTTATATTTTTATCTTTCTTTTTAATGTTCTGTGATTATTTATGATTTTAATGCTTTCTTATTTTGTTCAGCACTTTGAGTTGCCTTGTGTATGAATTGTGCTATATAAATAAACTTGCCTTGCCTTGCCATGATTAGGGGTGGGCAAAATATATCGTAGACAATAATATCGTGAAAGTCAATTTGAAGATATGCTTTTTCGTATTATTGTCATTTTTTTTCCTATACATATTACATTTAGAGTAAGCAAGATGCTCATTTGTCAAGTGCCTAAAAAGCCAATCACTGTTTTATTTGTACATTTCAGTAAATATTGAGCCTTTTTGGATGTGCTCTTCCTCTGTTACTTCAATTTGATTTTTAATGTTACTATATGTTAGTGTATGTTTTGCAAAGATTTGTGAAGCACTTTACAAATAAAAAGCTGCTATAGTATAGATGCCCTGGCAAGCAGAACTTTGTGGATCATAATGTGTAAAAACGTTTGATTTTAAAGATATCGTGACAATATGACGTTATCGGGAGTTGGGAAAAAAATATCAAGATATTTATTTTTGCCCATATCGCCCACCCACCTATATTGATGAGAAATACAAGTCCAAGATGAAAAAATAAACTCTAAATCAAAACGGGACCAGTAACAAGGGGAGAGCAGCAGAGGTACAGACGAAGAATTCAGTTGCAAAAACCGATATCTCCGTTTTGAGAATTTGTTAAAATAAATTGTTCTTTATAGCTACAATCTCCAACCTGTTTTGTTATCGGCATTATATTTGAAAGGATTTCCTCAAGAAGAAGTGAAACTATATATTTATGACATTAAAATAAAAAAACTACATGGTAAAGTATGAATTGTAAGCGTTTAGAATATTTTTCTAATGGAACTGATCTGCTTTTGCAAAAGAACGATTCATTTAGACACAGAGAGGCACAGATGAAACATTGTCTGGCAGAGCAGACCATCAACAGAGGGGAAAAGGACAGGAATTAAAACCACAAAGAAGTTATGTCAAAATAAGTAAAATCACACAAAATCCACTTCTTGACAAAATCACACTTTGTGGATTCCCCTGGTTCTAATGCTCTGTACATGATGTCTCTATTATTACATTTGGAGAGTCACATGTCATAACTAGAGTCGGTAAAATGAGTGGCATAAGTTGTCGTTGAGGAGCGCTAAATGTAGAAAACTGAATATGGTAGAAATCCCTGAGCTATGGAGGTTTTCGGTGTGCTGCTGTGCGAGACCAAAGAGCAGCTGCTGACAGTGGAGGATCTGGAGGTGAACCAGTGTGCGACGGAAAGTTTAAATAAAGCTCAGGAAAAAATAATAAAAAAAACTAGGAGAGAAGAGCGAGGCATCTCCACAAAGGGCTAAATATGTTTTGGCTGCGAACATTTCTATCAGGGAGGAATGTTTGGAGTCAGTCTGGGCCAGGACCCACTTTATAGTCTATAGAAATAAGTCACTTTGCATCATAATAATGTTTCCAAGGCAACACCCCCACGGTGCAAATTTTTTTCCTGTATCTGCGAAAACGTGGCCAAGATTCTTCGTCTGTCGACTTTTGGATAGAAAGTACGAGTTTTTTGCCAAAGACAGAATTAGTCTTGATGTTTTCTTAACCTCCTGAGACCCTGCGACCTCATACGAGGACATTACATTTTTGCCTCTTGGCACAATGATACTCAATTTTTTACATCCTTGACCTGATGGCCACATTTAGGGACACTGCCCGCGCCATCTTGTGGTGATATGATAGAATTACACTTAAGGCAGTAGGAAAAAAATGGTGGCAATATCAGCAAAAGACTTCTACAAGAGTTCACAGAAGAAAAATGCCCCAGGTAAAAATTCTATCAACATTTTATGAATGAAATCAATTTTTTTATGCACAATAATGTCTCTAGCTTCATATGGAGTTTGAAATTTGACAAATTTTGATTGTAGTAGCAGGCTAGGATGTCAGTAAAAGTGAAGCACTCGTTTGAGGACGCTAGGACTATGTACCGCTATCTGTTTAGCTAACCGTGTGGAAGATTTAGATGAAGTTACAGTTGTAAATAGTTATTTTGAATCACACATTTGCTTAGTTATGTGGTTTACAGTTGTAAATAGTATATTTAAGTACTAAGTGGTATATGCTAAGTATTGTTTAGTGTTGCTAAATTCTAAATCATAAACAATATAGCTAGGCTATAGCTAGCACATGATAGCCAAGCTATGAAGTGTCACTGATATACTGTAGATTTTGATGTTGGTTTTTAACATTATCATTACAGGCACACTTTCATTGTCAAGAGCAGAACAATTGCTGTTGGCAATTGCAGACAACTCTGAGATAGAGGACTTCTCAGATGGGGATGATTGTATCATCATCTCATACCTGTCAGTCATCTTCTGGTGTTTCCCACGGGGAGAGGCGGCGAGCTGGGGTGGCCATACTCATTGCCCCCCATCTCAGCCGCCATGTGTTGGAGTTCTCCCCGGTGAATGAGAGGGTCGCGTCCCTCCGCCTCCGGGTGGGGGACAAGTCTCTCATTGTTGTGACGGCCTACGGGCCTAACAGCAGTGCAGAGTACCCGGCCTTCTTGGAGTCCTTGGGAGGGGTACTGGACGGTGCACCTCCCGGGGACTCCGTTATTCTCCTGGGGGACTTCAACGCCCATGTGGGAAATGCCAGTGACACTTGGAGAGGGGTGATCGGGAAGAACGGCCCCCCTGATCTGAACCCGAGCGGTGTTCAGTTGTTGGACTTCTGTGCCAGTCACGGTTTGTCCATCACGAACACCATGTTCGAGCACAAGGGTGTCCACCAGTGCACGTGGCACCAGGACACCCTAGGCCGGAGGTTGATGATCGACTTTGTTGTCGTATCATCTGACCTTCGACCGCGTGTCTCGGACACTTGGGTAAAGAGAGGGGAGGAGCTGTCAACCGATCATCACCTGGTCGTGAGTTGGATCCGCTGGCAGGGGAAGAAGCCGGTCAGACCTGGCAGGCCCAAGCGTATAGTGAGGGTCTGCTGGGAACGTCTCGCTGAGCCCCCTGTCAGACGGACTTTCAACTCACACCTCCGGGAGAGCTTCTCCCAGGACCCAGAGGAGGGGGACATTGAGTCCGAGTGGACCATGTTCTCTTCCTCTATCACCAATAAAGCGGCTCGTAGCTGTGGTCGCAAGGTCTCTGGTGCTGGTCCCGGCGGCAATCCCCGAACCCGGTGGTGGACACCGGCAGTAAGGGATGCCGTCAGGCTGAAGAAGGAGTCCTATCGAGCAATGATGGTTCGTGGGACTCCGGAGGCAGCTGTCCAGTACCGGCAGGCCAAGCGTGCCGCGGCCCGGGAGTTGCAGAGGCAAAAACCCGGGACTGGGAGGAGTTCGGAGAGTCCATGGAGCATGACTATCGGTCGCCCTCAAAAAGGTTATGGCAAACCCTCCGGCGCCTCAGGAGGGGGAAGCAGTGCTTTGCCAACACCGTGTATGGTGCGGGTGGAGAGCTGCTGACCTCGACTGGGGATATTGTAATCCTAACCCTAACCCGGAGATGGTAGCCTTGAAAAACCCCATGCGTTGCAGAGCACAAGACTGCATTGGAAAAGCCTGTGTCCGATGCATGACATGCAATGTGTACCTGTGCTTGCAAAGTGAATGCAACTGCTTTGCAGCATTTCACACTTGCCAATAGGGCTCTTCCAAACAGGCAGACAGATTGCTTTCTAGAAAAAGAGAGGGAGCTAGTTTGAAAAAAGCCCCGGTTCATAAGCTGTTCAGCAGAATTTTACTGTTTTAGGACTGTTAATAATATTTGCCATTATTTGTTCTAGTATTGTATTTATCAATTCAATTCAGCCATATTGAAGGCTTGAAATAGACAGTTTACACAGTATTTTGCGGTTTTATTTATGTATAGCCAATTTTTTGTCATGTGGATGAATGAAGAAAAAGGGAACCCAAATTGCAGGACTGAAAATCAAAGTAATTTAATAAAATAAATCCAAGGTAATGTAAAAACAGAACTGAAGACAGGACAAACATTGTGGAGACAATGGACGGACAACAAGTGAGGAAGGGCACAGGGTATATACACACACACAGGGACACACAGGGACACACAGGGACACACAGGGACACACAGGGACACACAGGGACACACAGGTGAATCACATTAGGGCGGGGCAACAATCAACAGGACAGGCAGGATTCAAACTCAACCAGGTCAAAATGTCCACACCATGACATTTTTAGGCTTTGAAGATTTTATGTCTAACTTTGATGTTTACATTTTTCAAATAAACTGTTATATACTATTTTAGACCAATGGAGTCTATTTGTATTGTATAGTAAGGTCGACCCACTGTACTTATATGAGGACATTGATTTTTGAGAGAAGTACTAATTGGATCAAGCTGAAATTTTGAATTTCAACTAATTAGGACCTTCCGGCCTAAAAGATCATACATTTTCTCTTTAGGTTATGAGAGACCCACTGTCCTCATACGAGGACATGTTTTTTCTCAAAAACTACTTCCTGTACAAAATCACAATTTAGGTATTATACTTATTGGGTCCTACTTATCCTAAATAGCAAAAAAATATATAAAATGCACACCAGACAAATGCTCGGGTCTCAGGAGGTTAATCCAATTACTAATGATGCAGTTTAGTTTTAGACAACGATTAATCCAGCTGCAGTCGTCACAAGCCACATGGAGGGGGTACCTGGCATAACCTTAAATTAACCTGTTTTTTTAGCTCATTTAAATGTATGTTGTTGTCTTTGTTGAGGAATGAAGACAAAGCAGCGGCGATTGCACCTATAACAGTTTATATTCGAGTCCCTTCAGATTAGACAAAAGTAGACGAAGCATGTTATATGATTTGTAAAATATGGCATATGGCACAAATAGATTTTTTTTAACCTAAAGTTCTGTCGTACTTTTCTTGAGCCACGTTGTCCTTATAGAGATATAATCCTATTTATTTTCTTCTTCTTTTTAACCTCAATATATGTCAATATAACAGTCAGTGCTATGAGCAATGGGTGGCAGCTCTCATTCCCCCTGACCGACCCAGAAATGGACTAATGAAGGGGAGGAAAATGAAAAATAATGAAAATATAACAGACAAAAAAACCTGTGCCTGGTTTAAAAAAAAAACATGGGCAAGTTTATTTGTTTATAGCACAGTTCATACACAAGGCCACTCAAAGCGCATAACAACACACAATATAAACATTCACACAAAGGCATTTAAATCATCAAAAATTACTGTACAAGAGTAAAGATGCAATCCTTTAGTTATATGCGCAGCTCAACAAATTTGTTTTTAACCTGAAGCAATCGTACTTCCTTGTAGACGTGTAGTTGACCCTCTGTTTAAAGGTGTGACATGTAACTTTTCTGGCAAACAGCATTTATGGGGTCAGTTTCAATGAAAGCCTTGGTGGACTCCTGCCTGTATTAACATGTGCCAGTCATTGTTATGATAATCTCTATATTGTGTCTGCATTTTCTTTCCACAAAGGGCTTTAATTTCTGCTCTAACATGATTGATTGTGAACTGTTGATTATTGAATGACATTTGAGACGTTCAATTGTGATAGGCCGCGATTCTGCCGCCTGAAATAAAATCAAAAGATAGCAATGATGTAGTAGTAACAGCAGAGGAGCCTGACGCAGTGTTAAACTCACTCATTTACAATAAAAACGGTCAAGACGACAGACAGCATTCTACCTCTACTAGAATAAAATTAGCATCATAATGAAGCAAGTATAACATCTCCAGCCTTAGCTTAATAAAGAAGCTAGAATATAGCTTAAAATATCCAACTTTAGCATAATAAAGAAGCAAGACTTAATCATATAATCTCTGTGAATTGGGCATAAAAACTATAGCTGTAGGAAAGTACTTTTTATATAATATGATCATTTCTTAACAATTTTTTTTGTTTTCCTTTTTACTTGCCATTTTATTTGCCATTTGCAGTAAAACCACATTGGAATACATTTGCAAAAGTCCCTAGTGTGCACCAGATAAGTACATAAGTAAACCAGGTTGATTCTAACAAACTAAAAAAATGTACAGGAAACTATTGTCGATCCAGAAAACGGTTTCGATACATATGCAAGATCCTTTAAGCGCTCCGGAGTGTAGTGACAGGTCTAATTGTCAGTGTTTGTTCTCGAGGCGGGCAACATTCACACGCTGCTATCCTCACGCCCCGAACTGATGAGTTACAACAGCAGCCCCTCCCGCCACAATCTGTCCCGCTGTGTCCCCGTCCCTGTCCGCGGGGGGTGAGGGAGTTTCAGATTAAAATGTGGCTTTCAGGGAGCAGTGGAAAGCTGTGGAGAATGGCAATGACCGCTGCCTTTGTGCCCTGGGCTTCTCTTCCTTTCGGGACGCCGGGCAGTGAATGATGCGGCCCCGACGAAGGTGCCCCTCGCGCGCTCCAGAAAAAACCAGAGAAACCGAAGCCAAAATAAAAAAAACGGCAGAGAGGTATTGACGGCAAAAGGCCTGAGCTGTGACTCTGTGCTTTCGGCCTGTCCCCTCCTGTTGCTACGATACGACCGGTCAATCTTCTTTCTCTCTCCGATACATTTGCATTTGCTTCTTGCTCCCATGTCACCTCCTACATGACAGCGAACTCATACTCCCATAATCGTCTGCTGCGAGAGCTGGGTTTGATGTGGCGCAGAGCAAATATGTACGCACCAATCAGAGCTGACAGGACGGGCTTTGTGCGCTGGAGAAATGTCCTGACAGAGAAGCATTATTGGGGAAGTCAACAGGCCTGACTGATGACAGGAGGAGGTCACAGGGAGAGATCTGGAGCCGGGCCTTGTCTCCACAGCTTTCACACAGCGTGGAAAAAAAGCGGCATGTCCGATCATTTCACCTTTAAGTGATTCACTGAGGATGTTTGCTTGTTTTATCATCCAGCGATTTGTTTTAAAATTGGCCTGAAGGAGAATCAAAGGGAAATAAAAAAAGAGTCACTTCCCAGGATCTGTTTGGCATTTCAGACCCAAAGAGAGAGAAATGAGTAGGAGGGACGTCACTGGAAGCTTAGTGACTTGGCTCCGCTAATGAAATGCACTTATTTTCATGAACTGTCACTCTTTTCCTCTCAAGTAAAAATATTTGAGAGAGGGAAAAGGAACATTAAGTGGGACAATACAACAGATAAAAGCTGCGGTTTACCAAAGTGGCTTCGACAGTATGAAAACTTGCAATAACAACATTTAAGATTAAGAGATCCTTTAATCATCTCACGTTGGGGAAATTTCAGTGTTGTGTCACTGGTTACAGAACAGCATTATGAGGAGCACACAACACACAATGACTATATATAGAAATAAAATAAAATCTCTAACTTTAGCTAAAAAAGACACCAGTATAGAATCTCTTGCTTTAGCACATTGAAGAAGCAAAAACAAAACCTGACTTTAGCATAATAAAGAAGAAAGTATATATAAGCAATACTGTATATAGAGTGTAAGAAATATGCAGTTATATATATATATATCTGCACATGTTTGCAGCATTGAGGGTATGAACAAAGTAAAGTGACAGTGGACACATAAGGACTATTCTGACATTAGTCTTAATTTTAATCTGTATGACCATGGAATAAGCATAGAAAAGGAAGAACATCTAAAATCTCCAACTTTAGCCTCTGACTAAAGAAGAAGAGTAGAAGAAGGTCCTGGGTTTGAATCCTGGTCGGAGCAGGGTCTTTCTGAGTGGTGTTTGCATGTTCTCTGCATACTTTTCCTCCGGGTGCTCCGGTTTCCCCTACCACTAAAACATGTACAATAGGTCTGGCATGCGCCTTCTGTACTGGCGACCCCGCTCCCATCTGTGTGTGGAGTAAGAGACAAATTCCTAAAAAATATCAATTGTAAAGTGCTTTGTGACTCTGGTCTGTGAAAGGCACTATATAAATGATTACTTTCTCACTTACTTATTGACAAAGAAGTAAGAATTACGCTTAAAATATCACTTTTAGTCTTGTAGGTTTATCCAGAGTTTTACCTCCCTATAAAGTCACGTACGCACTAACGCTTTGTGGCAGTGCACTATGAAACACGCTGGACATCCATAATCGTATACGTCGGAAACACAATGCAGAGGTCCACTAATCTGTCCTGGCTCCACATCACACACTCTACGTCTAATTCCCCCCAAATCCAGAGCGAGTGCCGGGGGATGACTTCACACACTGCCCCTCTATCCTCTGCAGGTGTCCCGGGCCGCGCTCCTATGTTTGAACTTCATCTTAAGGTTAATACGAGCTGCCTCTAACCCCCGAGTATCAGCCCAGGTCATGAAAACAGGTCCTGACCCTTTATTGACCAAATCATCATTCTCTTCCCCCGCAACAACCCCCCACCCCACCCCCCTGTGCCTCCTCCTCCTCCTCCCCCCGATGGACGCACAGACAATGACAAAGCTCCTATTGTCGCCTGGGACGTGTCCGATGGAGAAAGGACATAGGGCAAATTGCAGCCTTGAGTCCAAAATGTTCAAAAATGAATCATAAAACGACACGAGCTGAGTGCGATTATGGAGCTGTTGTTTCCCACATTGTGATGGGGCTCATAAAACGACCTGGCATTGCTTAAAAACCTAATCTTCAGTAAATCCTGCTTAATTTCCGTTCCAAGTCTGCCATTTCTCAGTATTGTTTTTGAAGGCGCGAGTCACCAAAATCATGTTTAATCCGAAATATGCCACCAAGCATAAAGTTGTTTTGTTTCTGTGAGATTAGACTGTTATACTTTTTTTTAATTTTCAAAAAATACAACAGGTTGACGAGTCTGTTTGTACTAAAACCTCTTCTTTATTAGGATTTATCACTCCATAGTTAAATATGCTCAATAGTTATTACCTATTTTCTTATGCATACATGAAGTTTGCAGTAAATTCTGAGGTCACAATTAAAAAACGCATTGAAAAAAAACAAATCAACAGACTAAAAGTACATAGTTATCCTTTTGTTCACATTCATACTAATTTTCTGCATTTCGTTGTATTATTTCATTGCTCAAGATATAATTACACAATATGGTTGAAGGTGTATCAATAAAAGTCACATTTATTCCAGTATTTTCAATTTTTTTATTTAAAATAATATGTATGCGAGTCAAAATAAGGAAAAATTGGTGGTATTTCTGCGGTGACTGACAAACAAATGATAGTGTATTTTGAATTGTGAAGTTGTCTTAAAGTATTAGCGGTAGAAGTGATGAACAAAAGACTTCAGTACCAAACCCCTCAGTGTAAAAAGGGGAACATCCAATGTCATGAATCCGGTTGTTCATTTGTGTAAAATCTATACCTCACACGCTACAGCCGTGTTAATGTTGGCAGCTCTTTGACCAGTTTCTCTCCATGAACCATTATTACACATCATTCATCTTCATAATTAAGTTGTCTCGTCCGCAGCCCGTCATGAACCAGGCCGGTCTGCCGCAGGGGCCGTCTGACCAGAAGGTTGTCGTGGTGACGCTGGACAACTGTGACTCCGCCTTGGCCTTAAGATACGGTCATGTGATCGGCAACTACACCTGCTCCGCTCAGGCCAGCCAATCAGGATCCAAGAAGTAAGAACACACACTCTGGTGTTGAACAGGGCATTCTGTGCTAAATCCACTGTTCTCCACATGCCCCATGTATATATAGCACTGCAGATTCACACCCACTGTTGTTGTTGTTTCTGTGTTTTTCGCTCAGTGTGGGATAAGAGGGGGGTGCAAAAATGTATATTTAGAATAATCATAAATAGTTTAAATACGTTTAGGATGTTGTATCATTTTTGTGCGCTGCTGTGTTGATTTAATTATTTGTATACTTTAGTTTATTTTCAGGTTTTCTTTGGATATTGATATTATTGTGTGTAAGTCTGTTAAACACTATAATTTATTCCTGGAATACATTTACAACATGACTGTTCATACTTCACTTATGAACCTGAAGGGGCTCACAGGCATTTTGGCACAAGTGTATTCCTAAGTCACTTTGGGTGAAAAGAGCTTTTATTCAGGCATTGGAGATTGTGATTTGAATTAAAATAATAACTATATCTTTCCCGGGTTGCTCACTTGTGGAGATGGGGTCAAAGGATGGTTTCTCTCTCTTTGCCTCAGGACCGATGAGTAAAATCTCAGTTTTGTCCTGGTTAAGCTGGAGAGAGTTTTATGCAATCCAGAATTTGAAATCTAAAATGCAGTTAAAAAGATCATATATTGGCCTGGTATCATCAAGAGACCTCTTTATGTAACCACGCTCATGACAGTGTTCTCTCTTTTATAACAAAAGTATATTAGTTGTGGCAGTTTTTCACACAATATGGCATTCTTTATTGTCATTTTACATCATGAAATTAAAAATCCCTTCCCCGTCGGTGGTAGCATATTGAGTTACTCAGCTGAGTGGATAGCACTCTCGCTTCTCAGCAAGAAGGTCCTGGGTTCGAATCCCGGCCGAACCAGGGCCTTTCTGAGTGGAGTTTGCATGTTCTCCCAGTGTCTGCGTAGGTTTCCTCCGGGTACTCCGGTTTCCCCTACCGCTAAAAATCTGTACTGGCGACCCCGCACAAGTGCCAAAAATAACAATTGTAAACCGCTTTGTGACTCTGGTCTGTGAAAGGCTGTATATAAATAAAGCTTACTTACTTACTTACTGGCAGAAAGATTTTTTACTCTTCATATTGTTTCACCATATAATAAGAAATTATCTAAACAGTCTAAAACATGAAACGAAAGTATTCTTAAAATGGCCCAAAGTAATGCAGATATTTTGTCTTTAAAGTTGCCTCTTTACTTCCATGCTTCATTTCAGTGTGATGACTTTCCTCTGAGTAAACTTGTTTTTCACAGCCCTGTTACTATGTAGCGTGTTTCTCATCTCCAGAGGCGCCGCCATCTCTGTGAAGAATTTAACATGTTTTTTTTGTACATTAGTGTTTGCTGGAGTTCCTAATCTTTTCATTTCTCTCAGATCTCTGGACCTGACGGGCCCTCTGCTCCTCGGAGGCGTTCCCAAGCTCCCAGAAGACTTCCCCGTCCGGAACCGGCAGTTTGTGGGCTGCATGAAGAACCTCCGTGTCGACAATCAGCACGTGGACATGGCCAGCTTCATCGCCAACAACGGCACGCTCCCAGGTGAAGGCCGTGGTCACCTGCACCAGACGAGCCTGGTCTTACCATACCATTGTACTCATTTTGTTTCCTACTTAGGTTTCGATTTGCTCCATTGAGCTTTGTTAACATGTGGGATGGGTCAACTCCTTTTGTAGATTGAAAGCAGTGGGGCGTGGTCTTGGCTCCAAAAGGTCCATAAGGTTCACTTCTAGTTGTGGGGTGGACCCGGAATGAGAATTATTCAATGTTTTTTTATTCCGCCTTCTTTCCTCTCAAAAACGGCTTCACATAATGGTTCAAAGTTCGGCTTTTGGCGCAAAGCTGAATGGTCGGAGGGGATTCAACCGAGGTTACCGCAGCCACTAAGATCAGACCCAGACGTAGATGTAGTGACGGAGTGGACCGGAGTTTACAGATGGCTAAGGCCAGGATAGTACCAGACCTCACATGGTCCCGAACACACGCAGGCTACTTTGCAGTCACCGTGGATCCTCCGTCTGAGCCGAATGAAAGCCACTGACGGTGCAGGGATAATAAGCGACACAATAATGGCCACAGCAGGAGCCTCAGATAAAGAAGGATGAAGATTCTACCTGCTATGAATAGTTTATCGCCTCAACTCCGCGGCCCGTTCATGAAATTGCTGTTTTTAGATATTTTCACACGCTCAGATGAAAAACGGGATACAATATTCCATTAGCCGATGCTGTATTGTTAGAAATGTTATTGAAATGCTGCATGTATGGATAGAAAATGGTAATGTACATTTTAGCTATTTAACATATGAATCAGGAAAATGTATATCATTTTGAAACTTGTCAATATCAGATCAGAATCTTTTCTATTGCCATTGTAAGTCACATACTAGGAGTTTGCTTTGGCTCATGGTGCAAACTATTTATTTAAGTCATGCGTAAAAAATCTTCATTGATTTTCTTAAAATTACAACTGTGGTATATACAAGTACAGTAGTAGTATGTGGTTGTGTCTGTTGAAACCCGCCTATAGAGGAGTGTTAGGGTTGGGATCAATTGTCAAGAGTTATTATCAAAATATTATGTTTCTGTCAGGCTAAAAAACATTTAAGTCTTTTTAAATTGGTAAAACTTTTGATCAAGTATTTTCCGGTAGATAATTAGGTGCATCAAATCAATTGGGAACATTTTAATCATAATTAATTCAATAAATAAAATAATTAATTATAAATCATTGATAATAAGTTGATAGTTTCAAGAGCATTTTTTTTTTTTTATGATTCTTTGTAAAGAAAAAAGTGTTGAATGTCGGTCGGCTGTATATTTTATTGGTTTTATTATTATTATTATTATCAGAACATATTTCCAGCAGGTTGTGTTTTTGTAGTCTTAAAAAAGTCTTAATAACAAAACAACTGCATAACCTGTAAAACATTCAGAGACTCATGAGCAAAAACAATATTGTAGAAAGCCGTTGAGTAACCTGATAAGCTTCTATTCATCTTCACAGAATGACAGGGAATCACACATAAGGAAACCTGACGATAATGGTCCTTCTCTCTCTCCTTTTTTACCCAGGATGCTCAGCCAAAAGACATTTCTGCAACAACAGCCCGTGTCAAAACGGCGGCACCTGTGTGAACCTGTGGGGGTCCTTCAGCTGCGACTGTCCGCTCGGGTTTGGGGGACAGCACTGCGAGAGAGGTGAGAAAATAACAAAGACATGTCTCAGTCTGTCGCTGTGAGCCGAGACTGAACCATCTGGAGGCGTCAAAGCTTTTATACATCCCCAATAGAAATCCTAGTTTTGCCATTAATCATATGAGAATTATAACGAGACCTTTTTTTAGTACTGCGGCCTGATATGTTACTTTACCTGTGCGAATTTGTTTTTATTACCCTTTATTTAAACAGGAGTCGCATTGAGATTAAGAACCTATTTTTCAAGGGAGTCCTGGACCAGAGACAGCAAAAGTTACACACAGTTACACACAATTACAGATTATAAAAAGTTACACACATTCCTTTTAGCATAACGTTTCATGTAGAAGGAGCTGAGTATACAAAAGCCTTTTTCCCAGTTATGTGCGGGCAAACGGAATAGAGAGCAACAATAGATCATTAGTTAGATCAGAGATTAGCTAGACGTAAGTAGTAAGTAAGTAATGTTTATACATATGGCACAGACGTGGTGAGTTCTGGCAACATGGACGGGTGCAGAGTGAAACATTGAAATGAAAACACTAACAAGATTTAGGTGCTGTAATAATAAATTTGAAATTGGCATATCCTGGTTGAACTAATATTGAAAACTTGAAATATTCAAAAAGACCATGTTTTATGAATGCCTTTGAAAATATTTGGGTGATGACATAAAAACTAGCTTGGAGAAATTTTAGATACCATTTAATAATTATATCAGGAGTAAAAGTAGCCTCATGTCTTAGCAACTTGCCGGTGGTAATTACAACCTTAATGCGTTTGATTGACAGGAAGCAGACATGCTCCAGTTGGAAGTGCTTTTAAAACAAATTACTCGTACGTTTATGAGAAATGAGAACTAGCTTATGTTTCTGCGCTCTCCAGTGTCTGCGTCTTCGTTCCACCTGATCCGCAGCCGCTGTTATGTTTACTGATTTATGCTTTGGAGTCATTTGAGTCATGTCAGCGGAAAAATGGTGTTCACGTCTTGGGACAAAAATACACTTAAGCTAGTGTAAGTAGGGCTGGGGAAATGATTTAAAATGTGTATAGGAACTGATAATGTAATAACGACCTATGGAATGATTCATATTTAAAATTAATTAATAACATAATAACAAAAAACAATGAACAATCATGTGTTTGTTCCTGTGTCTTTTGCTGATTAAAGGAGTGCTCTGTGCGACATAAGTGTAGCAGCTCAGTGTGTGTGTGTGTTTGTGTGTTTGTGTGTGTGCGGCAGATTGATGTGAGAACGCGTCTAGCAGTGAGGTCGAGGAGCGAGCGTCAGTGTGTGCGTGTCTCAGTGTGTGTGTGTGTCTGCGTTTGTGTTTGTTTTGTTGATTTGATTTGTGTGTATGTTTGTGTGTCTGTAGGTGTGCATCTCAGTGTGTGTATATTTGTGTCTGTATGTTTGTGTCTCTGTCTCTGTGTGTGAGTTTGTTGTGTTGACTTGTGTGCGTGTATGTCTGTGTGTCTCTGTGTGTGTCTCTGTGTTTGTGCATCTGTGTCTGTGTGTGCGTGTATGTCTGTGTGTCTCTGTGTTTGTGCATCTGTGTGTGTGTGTGTGTGTGTGTGTGTGTGTGTGTGTGTGTGTGTGTGTGTGTGTGTGTGTGTGTGTGTGTGTGTGTGTGTGTGTGTGTGTGTGTGTGTGTGTGTGTGTGTGTGTGTGTGTGTGTGTGTGTGTGTGTGTGTGTGTGTGTGTGTGTGTGTGTGTGTGTGTGTGTGTGTCTCTCTCTGTGAGCCCCAACTGCCTCTTATTGTAGTCCCTGCCCTCACAGTCTTGAGCAGTGAGAAAGAGGAAGTGCCGCTTCTGTCCTGGAGCAGACTGATCCAGGAACAGTTTTTGCAGCGACTCTTAAAGACTTTTATTATAACATGTATTTCACAGGACTAATACCACTAATAATCTTCTGATTCCAGCTAAACTTACTTTTGTAGGTCACATGACAACAAATTACTCTACAACTCAAGCCTCAATACCTTCATAATAACATACATTCAAATCAGTTTAAGCGTGACTTGACTTGGGCATTCTGTGCAAAATCAACGTGTTTTCCAATCTCACCCTTCGAGTTGTTTTTAGTGCAGTGAATGTTAATTTCTATTCTCCATATTCCCATTAATAGCGTTGCCGCTTTTCACACACTGTTATTTACTTTCTGTGTTTTTCTCTCAGTGTGGGATTAGAGGGTTTTTTCAGTGTGGTGTGGCATTCCAATGATTTTTGCCAGGTTTTGTTGTTGAAACGATTAAAGATTGAACCAAATGACTGAACACAGAACATTATTTGACATTTCATCCTAATTTTGTCATGTTTAATTTAGAAACCAAACATTCGGTCATATTCTTTACACCTTGCAAAACAACCGCGTACAATCAGAGACACGCCAGCGCACTGAGCCTCACTAGTCTCTCTCTCAGCTGGACGTTAGCATCAAGTTAATTGGCCGCGGCTAATCAATCTTTTTTCGACCCGGTGCTTAAATGGCTCAGGCTCTTTCTCACACGCAGTACTGTGAAGAGCGTGGCACAGGGGCTGAGTGGGTAGCACATTCTCAGCCAAAAAGTCCTGGGTTCGAATCCCAGTCGGAACAGGGCCTTTCTGAGTGAAGTTTGCATGTTCTCCCTGTGGTCTGGTTTCCCTTACCACTAAAAACAAGCACAATAATTTTAATCCTCAGCTCTGGTATTCTTGACCAAGTCGGGCATTAACATGTGGAGAAGGGGTCCTGGGCGCTGTACTACGGCAACCACGGCAACCCCGGCTCCTGATAGAGATCCAAGTGGCATTTCAGGATGGATCAAATGCAGATGACAAAGTTCCCTACGGGGATATATAAAGTGCACATTTACATTTACATAAAATAAAAACATATCTATTTCACTAGACAGCCTTGCCAAATCCAACCTAAACTGCAGGGCGATTCAAACCTTCTGCCTTTCACATGAGTCTCACGCACTTTGCACGTGCTTTCCAGATGATTGCAGTCGTTAAAAGCACTGGAGCACCACTATTTTCCGAACAGAAATGATTCCCCTGCAATTAAGCCACAGATTAGGTGCTTGGCTGGGACGTGATCTGAAATCGTGATTAATGCCATTCCCTAACCGTGCATCTTTTACTTCTGCTTGTTTGTGGCAGTGATGGCGAGTCCACAGAGGTTTTTGGGGAATAGTTTGTTGCAGTGGAACAACATCGCAGCCTCCTCGACATCGTGGCACGTCGAGCTGATGCTACGAACCCGTCAAGCCGGTGCCACTGTTCTGCACATCTCGTCCGGGCAGCAGCACAACCTCACACTACAGGTGAGGCAGCTCCGAATGTGTGCAGAAATGTCTGATGTGAAGCTGGCTGGTTTTCACCTTCTGTTACATTAAATCACAGATACAGAGATATATAGATAGCTAGATTGATACTTAGATTGATACTTCATTGATAATTCAGGTGTACAGCAGCAGAAACACATCCATCCATACACACCCATAAATATCCATCCATCCATTTTCTTCCCTTTAATCCATTTCTGGGTCGGGAGGTGGCAGTCAGAGATGCACCCAGTACACATAGCACCAGCCCCTCACTGATCCTCCTGCAGGTGGTGAGTCCACAGGAGCCTTGATCTTTCAGCGGGGGCTTCAGGCAAAGTGGGGTTAAGTGTCTTGCCCAAGGACACAACGACAGCAGTCAATAATGGGAGTCGTGAAGTAGGTCTCGTGGTGGGCTCGAACACACGACCTTCAGGCTCAAAGGCCAATGCTCTACCAACTGAGCCACTAGATTGATACACACATAAATTCAAAAATACATAAATACACAAATGCATATATAATTCTAAAAGTTTCTGCACTTTAGGTCAAAGCAGCAGTGAGGGAGCCGTAGGGTGGAGCAGGACCGGTCACAGCACACATGGCCCTATTGGACAAGTTACCTTACCTTACCCTATAGCAGGGGTGTTAAACCAGGGGTGTCAAACCAGGGGTGTCAAACCAGGGGTGTCAAACCGAAAAGGACAGGTGTGGCTGCAGGTTTCACTTCCAACCCAAGCAGGAGCACACCAGACTCCACCCAATGGGTCCCTTTGAGCAGCAGTTGGACACCCCTGCCCAACAGGAAGACTCTTATTGTGACATTTCTAAAGCTAGTTTTATTTGTAGATGTTGTGTCTTTGATTCAAATCTAATTACTTGTTAGTTTGTTACTTCTTCACATGTGGACTAATTATTCATTGACAGCTTTTCAACTGAGAATCTTCAAATATATAGAGAAGTCTCCCCCTGCTGTCCGTCTGCGGTGCTGCAAATGTTTATTACTGTTCTTTAGTCAGATTGGAAGACGCTAATAAGAATTCAGCAAATGATTCCACTGTCTTTGACCACAAGTTTTAAATGTGTTTATTATTATCAGTAACAATTAGAGGTTTTCTAGTGTAAATAAACCTAAATCCCTTTTCCTCAACAACTCTGATAATCAAATTAACTTTTTAGGTTCTTCAATTCGATCTTAGCCGTTTTCGGACTCTTTAATTCAACATTCTCATTGTCCAATTGTTCGCAGGTGAATAGCTTGTTAAGTGAATTTAATGTAATTTTTTTCCCCTTTTTCTTCTCAAAAATATCTTGATCCTTTTGAATCCAGGCCACTTTCTATACAGCGACGGAGCTTCACATAAGACATCCAACATTTTCTACTTTTCTCTTATTGATTTTAGTGGCCCTCCATCTAAAATCAGGGCTCCCTCTCTCCTTTGTTCTGATTGTCTGGGAATACAGATGCCTCTTTGATAAATCTATTGTATACACTTCCACGTCTTGCGTTCGCTGGAGCGTGATTTATGGCGTGAATGTCGGTGGTCCCTCCGTCTCTAATTGCGCCCCCTGTGGTGTGGTCTGTAGCTGCGTGGAGGGAGCGTGTTGATGGCGTTGCACAGAGGCGAGGACTCCACCGTGTCTCGAGTGGAGGAGGTGCTGGTGAACGATGGAGAGTGGCATCATCTGCAGCTGGACATAAGCAGCTTGGGAGGAGCAGCGGATCTACACAAAGCTGTTTTGTCTGTGGATTTGGGGCTCTACCTGGTGAGCAGCAGAATTTCTTTTTCAAATGTTACTGAGATGAATGTATTGAGTTTCAACTAAAAGTGCCTTAAGATGCTTTCAATCGATCAATCTAGTAGTAAGATTTTTTTTTTCAAACGTTTTGCAAATACAAAGCAGAGCGCATTCAAAGAAATTGTAGAGCACTATTGTAGGCTTAAGACAGCCTAGGGTTATCAAAGTTCTGTACAGAGTGAATGAAAAACACCAACAATAAAAACACTACTATAGAATAAATATTGATATACGTATAAAAATAAAACTTGTCTCGTGCTACCTGATATTAAAAGCCAAAGAGAGTGCTCAAGGTAAAGAGTTTGCTGTGGCCCTATCACAGAAAGAGCCCCGTCTCCTCTAGTCCACATCAAGTATAAAAATTAGATCCACTTTTTCATCCACAAAAGGGTATTTTGTCCTCTGCATTTGACCCATCCTGTAATGCCACCAGGGCCCATCTTCAGAGATTGATGCTCGGCTCGGTCAGGACTACCAGAGCTGGAGGATGTAGCCTATTGTACACGTTATTAGTGGTAGGGGAAGCTTGAGCACCCGGAGGAAAACATGCAAACTACATTCAGAAAGACTGGGACTGGGTTCAAAAAATGCCCTTAGTCATACATTTATATTTGTGTCCATCTGTGGAAACCCAGAGTGAGTTTTGTGAATTATCTTATCAGCTATTTATGTACTATTCTATACTATAATTTTCTGGTACTTTTCTGAAGAATTGTGGTATGATACAAAGTGACCGGTGTTTTCAGGCCAGTATGGAGGTGGACGGGAGGCTGCGAGACTCCAAACTGAAGGCCGTGAGCGTTGGTGGTCTCCCAATGCCTGATGGGAAAATTCAGCAAGGCTTCCGTGGTTGTATACAGGTGTGTATTTTCTTCTAACGTTCATGAACACCTCAATACTTTGGTGATGATGATAAGATACATCCCTACATCCAGGACACTTTCATTTTGATATGATTTGATATAAAACATTTTCCAAGATATTTGATGCAAACTTTTGGCCCCTAACCATATACAGTATATTGGAGATTGTATGTTGTTCTTGACAATTCAAAAATGTCAATATATCAAATCTTGAAAAAAACATGTTATATCTAAGTACAAATGTGAATATTTACAGATGAAACTTGAATAATTTACTGTATTTCATCTTTCTATGTGAAACTAATCTACTGACAGATTGAAGCCTTTTTTTGTTGTAATATTGATAATTATGGCTCACAGATTTGAAAAACATGTACATGGACATTTAGGTCATCTGCGTTGGCAAATCGACAGCTTCTTTTATTTTAAGTCCTTCGAGATAACTACAGTTGTGATTCTGGACTATACATAAATAAATAGAATTTAATTAAATTTAAGTTGCTGTATGAAAATATGAAAGTGACTGATGTCTGTCTAGTGCACATGGATTTTTTTTAACATAATGGCGAAGAAAGTTTATTTGTGGGCTCAGTAAGCTTGTATATAGTAGTAAATTTAAGAAATGTAAGGTAAATGTTATGCATACCTCATTCTCTTTTTACTTTCATAACTTGTTTGCACCGAGAGCCAAAGCCATTTCCTAGTTTGTTACTTCCTGTTACTCACCACTGGCAAAACAACTTGCTCTGATTCTGTATAGCACAGTGCATTATAAAGAGTAAATATAACATCCCTAATGTGTGTTTTGTTGTAGGGTTTACGTGTGGGTGGTGCTCTGAGTCTGTCTCAGGCCAGAAAGGTCAACGTGGAACAAGGCTGCCGCGTCCCGGACCCCTGCTCCTCAAACCCCTGCCCCAAGAACGGCTACTGCAGCAACGACTGGGACAGCTTCTCCTGCACCTGCCTCCCCGGTCAGTCAACACACACCCAATGACATTCATACAACTAAATACTTCTTGCAAGAGTCTATACTTGCTTCTTTAATGCGCTAAAGCTAGAAATTTTATTCTTTCTTCTTTATTATACCAAAGAGATTGTATACTTTCTTCTTTATTATGATGAAGTTTGAGATTACATTACATTTTTTTTAGTATAGTTTTTTTGTTATTCTCACTTATCTTGTGCCCCTCATTCCCACTGTTCTGTAACTGGTGATGCAACACTGGAAAATATGTCTAAAGAAATGCCGTTCCTCACACTCTATTACGTTTTTATTGTTATTACTAGGTACATAATGTTTCACTTGCAAACCTGTATATATAAAGTTTTGTTCAGCACTTAAATAATGTGCTATATATATAAATTGGATTGGATTTTTAATTGGTGATGTATTAATTAAAGTTGTGTTTTTAGGATACTTTGGCTCAAACTGCACTGACGCCTGCAGCCTCAGTCCCTGTGAACACAAATCCGTGTGCATCAGGAAACCCAGCACCCCTCGAGGTTACACCTGCGACTGTCCCAGCAATTACTTTGGAAATTACTGCGAGAAAAAGTATATCTTGGCACATTTTGTATTCTTAATAATAATATTCTTTATTGGAGACATAAGCAGGACTCATAAGATGTGTTTGTGCAGGACGGACCTGCCCTGTCCCCGAGGCTGGTGGGGCCATAAGACCTGCGGCCCCTGTAACTGTGACACCAGCAAAGGCTTCGACTCGGACTGTAACAAGACCAGCGGAGAGTGTCGCTGCAAAGTGAGTCTCATTACTGTCTGGATTATTGTTCGTTGTTTCTTGATTAAATTGGAAAGGAATGAATATATTTGATCTTGTCAGACCTCTGTAGCTAATTCAATTCAATTCAGTTAAATGTATTCTTGTATAGCCCTAAATCACAACAGTAGTTATCGCTGAGGACTTTACACAACTGTAGAATTTGCCAACACAGATTAGAGAATAAAACAGTTCAAACCCAAGAAATAAAACCAAAAACACAATGGTATTGGTCCATAAGGATGTCCTTAAGTGTTGATAAATGTTCATAACAATGTTCAACACTGTCCGGGGCAGGGCCTGGTTAGTAGTACTGTGATGGGAGACGTCTGGGAACACCAAGTGCCACAGTGGGGCGGCTGCGGCTATAAAGTGCCAAACTGTTGTTGTGTCCTTAGGCAAGACACTTCACCCGCATTGTCTAGAATGAGTCTGTGGTGGTCGGAGGGGCCGATGGCACATACTGGTTGCCTCGCTTCTGTCAGTGTGCCCCAGGGCAGATGTGGCTACAGTAGTAGTTTATCACCACCGTGTATGGAGTGAATGAATAATGACATGTGAAGTGTCTTTGAGTGTCCAGAAAAGTGCTGTATGAAACCAATGCATTATTATAATTGTTATTAATTGATTATATGTTTTAATTTACTTTATAAAATAAAAGCCAATTTCTTCTGCCTCATCCATTGCCGGGTCGAGGGGGCAGCAGTCTAAGCAGAGGATCCCAGACTTCGACGACACACACAAGTCTTAAGAGATGGCAAAATTGGGCCAAAGTGAAGACAAATCTCACTAGTCTTATCGTAGTTAATTGTAATTCACATGCGGCCACAGCTCAGTGTAAATATGTATTGGGGACATCGTTACCATCGCGCCCGCAGCAGACAGATGTTTCCAGCACCAGCAGGGGCTCACAGCTGCTCAGTCTGGAAGAGAATATCAAGTGATGGCCGACAGCTCGCAGCCTCATGAATACACATCCAGAGCATATGTGTATAATCATCACTTCCTGTCTCCGTCTCTGTTTCCAGGACAACCACTATCGCCCTGACAGCAGTGCGATGTGCCTCTTGTGTGACTGTTACCCCGTGGGTTCTTTCTCGCGGGCGTGTGACCGGGACTCGGGCCAGTGCCAGTGCAAACCCGGAGTCATCGGGCGCCAGTGTGACCGCTGTGACAACCCCTTCGCCGAGGTGTCGCCCAATGGCTGCGAAGGTAATGAATCACATCGTTATAATAAAGTTAAATACATAATTATGAAAGTTACTAACAATAATAATTCAACAGCACTTTAGGTCACAGCAGCAGAGGTGGTGTAGCCTCTGGGGATGACCAATAATTACTATAAATACTATAATCAATGCTTACATTTAGTGCCCAACTTTCAAACCACAACCAATTTAACGTTTTAATTATATCCATCTTACTCATTCGTTCTCAAACAATTTGGTTTTATCACTCATTTTCACATGTTTAATTTTTGGTTGCAACTCTGAGCCTCATTTAGTGACTCACTCGGCTCGTGAGTTTGCAAAGGATAAATTGCTTCCTAATAAGATGAATAAAGCATGTTCACAACATTTTGCTTTTACAAGACAGTTACTGTTGAGACCGACACAATGTATTATTTATGAAAAACGCTATGCCAGCTTTAAGGGACAGAAAACATTGTTAAAGAGCTGTTAACAATGTTGTAATTATATCCAAAGCATCTAGAATGAACTTAATGTAATATATTACTGATTAATAGTGTAAGAATGACATTCAACTGGATCACACTGTTTTCTAAAATGTGTTTTAAAGACATTAATGTGAGTAAATTGTGATTTTTAACAGTATTTTGGCCTCTTGTGCTTGTGTTTCTCAGTCATCTATGACAGCTGCCCTCAGGCCATTGAGGAAGGAATCTGGTGGCCCAGGACAAAGTTCGGTCTCCCAGCAGCGGTGCACTGCCCCAAGGGAACTCTGGGTAAGGACGGTTCCCAGTGCTCTGTCAAATCACCGCATGATAATGATTCAATAATAATGGCAGTGGATGTAACTCGCCCCAAGCTGTTTCTCAGCACCAGTCTATTTCTCATGTGACAAATTTCTTTTTCTTTTTTTAGGAACTGCTATTCGCCACTGTGACGAGCACAAGGGATGGCTGCCTCCCAATCTGTTCAACTGCACCAGTGTGACATTCAGCAAGCTGGAAGCACTGGTAATTACAACACAGTGCATACACTGCATGGAAAGCATTCTTACTATTTGTTCAATTCTTGTTGTAATATAATATTGTGTAAAGAAGATGCTACTTTATTGCTCTGTCTTTGACTTTGTTCTAGTTTAGACTTGGTTCATTGTTGATAAAGACTTATACAGATTTAATCTAGAATAGATTCTGTCCATAAATCATTAAAACAGCAGATTGTTATTGTCTTCAAACTTGCGTCACCATGGGCAGCTTTGTGTCGCCATGAATGAATAGTAATGGTTTTATTTGTGTTTGTTGCAGACGGAGAAGTTTCTCCGTAACGCCTCCCTGTTGGATTCGAGCAGCGTGCAGCAGACCGCCGCTCTGCTCGCCAACGCCACTCTTCACACAGAGAAGTACTTTGGCAGTGACGTGAAAGTGGCCTTCCACCTCACCCAGAGCCTGCTGCAGCATGAGAGCCTCCAGCAGGGATTCAACCTCACTGCCACACAGGACGTGCACTTCACTGAGGTACGTGTGTTTCAATCTGTGGTGCAGGTCGGACAGGCTGGAGAGTTGATATTAGTGTCAACTAGTGTCAGGAAATGTTGGTGTGTTCCTAAATATAAAATGCAGCAGGTGTGTTTAAAAGTAGAGAAAACATACAAACTAATGACTATTCTAAACTGCTTGTATATACAGTATATTTAGTATATATATAGTAGTAGTAGTATTAGTAGTATATAGTAGTGCTCTTAATCCCTGTCCCATGAGTCTTATGAGTCTTATCCTCATGGTCTTGGCTCTGACTTGTTGCAGAACGTGGTGCGTGTTGGCAGTGCCATCCTGTCCCCAGAGACGCGGCCGCACTGGGCTCTGATCCAGCGCGCCGACAGAGGCACCGCGGCGCTGCTGCGACACTTTGAAGAATACGCAAACACTCTGGCACAGAACATGAGGAAGACCTACCTCAGCCCCTTCACCATCGTCACTCCACATATAGGTATGAATTTTAAGAAGAAGTAACTATAAAAAGGAGGACACGGCTGGAAAATGTTACAGATGAGTTTAGTTTTTCAATTATTAAATGAAAAATGTGTAAAAACTAAAGCTTGGCAAATGTGTGTCCTGGTAGAAGGGGGGGGGTGTCATCGTGACAACGGCAGGGCATCTCAGTTACCAATTAATAACAATTAATTATTAAAATCAAATTAACAAATAATAATCAAACATGGCCTTGTGTCCTTAGGCAAGACGCTTCAAGTACGTGTGTGTGTGGGTCCCTTGCCCTGTCAGCTTCAGTGCTGCTGTGAAGGGTCTTTCAGTGTAATGTAAAACCAGTGCGTCATTAATACTAAATAAAACTACAGGGTCCCCCGGAGGCTTACATAATTAGTTGATCAATCTCTCTTACCCAGACATGTGTTTGGAACCCTCAAAAACATCAAAAATTAAACGTATCAACATAGTATACTTACCACGAGATACAATGTATCATATACATACAGTACACACCTGAACATGTTTTAATATAAACAACAGTTTGTAATATATGAGTCAATGCAGTTTGTTGTTTGTTTTCACTTGTGCTGCTCAGTCATCTCCGTGGATCGCCTTAAGAAGACTAACTTTGGTGGGGCCAAACTGCCGCGGTACCAGTCCCTCAGAGGTCCTCGCCCTGTGGATATGGAGACAGCTGTGACGCTGCCTGACTCTGTGTTTGAGCCTCCTCCTGTGGACACCAGAGGACACCGACACATGGATGTTTTCCCAGAACCCTTCCCTAAAAACCGTTCCGTGAACCGCCACCGGAGACATCCCAGCGAGGAGCAGCAGGACGCCGTGGCCAGCGTCATCATCTTCCACAGTCTGGCTCCACTGCTGCCTGAAAACTACGACCCAGACAAAAGAAGTCTCAGGTATATTTACTCTGCTTTCTCTGATGCTGAGGAATAAACAAGAATTCCATTACATTACACTGGATCTATGTTTGAAATTTAAAGGTTGAAAAGTACTTTTAATTCAATGCCCCAGTAGTTTTTTGCAATCTACTTTCCATCACCATTTTCCAAGCCTTTTAGGTCATATCTTTGATTATAATCTGAATTATGCTATTGTCATTGTCAGTGAGATGGTCATAGAATGCAATAACATATGATTACATATAAAATAAATTTAAAGGTATTGAGTATTGAGACTAAAATTGTTTGGCATTAATAAACACATTATAGTGTCCAGAATTATGAAACGATAATAAGTGACCCGTAAATGTGAGACGGCTGCGGCTGTAAAGTGCCAAACTGTTGTGTCCTTAGTCAAGACACCTGACCCACATTGCCTAGAATCAGTGTGGTGTGTAAATGGCGGCTGGTGGTCACAGGGGCCGATGGCACATATTGGTTCCCTTGCTTCTGTCAGTGTGCCCCAGGGCAGCGGTAACTACAGTAAGTTGAGTGTCCAAAAAAGCCCTATATAAAACCAATGCATTATTATTATTATAAGAAACGTTTTAATTTCTCTCCACACACATCAGAGCAATGAAGTCTGTTCTCCATAGTCTCCTTGATCTTTAATGTTACTTATATATTTGTGTGACTTGTTATAAATCCTCTTTGTTTCCTCCTCAGAGTCCCAAAGCGTCCAGTCATCAACACTCCAGTGGTCAGTATCACGGTCCACGACAACGACGAGCTCCTGCAGCACACTCTGGACAAACCCATCACGGTGCAGTTCCGCCTGGTGACCACCGAGGAGCGCTCTAAGCCCATCTGTGTCTTCTGGAACCACTCCATACTGTAAGTCACACAACACTTCAAATTCTACTTATTTTTATTTCTTTGAGAATTACCCCATAGAACCTAAACCAAAAAACCGTACTTCTTTTGCCATAACGTTTTTTTTCTAAATTTGTAAGTAAACTTTACTTTTAACGGGGATAAAGTAAATGTTCTTGCTGAGAATAACGAAAAGTTGAGTTTATTTATGGCGCCCATTTACAGCTTCAAGAGCCGAAAGTACCATACACTCCACAAGGAATAAGATTACTCTACATAAAAACACAATACTGCAGAAAAAGCAAAACAACGCATCAATAATTAATTTCTATATGAAAGACTAAAATCAGCTCAGTGCATGCGAAAGGCCAAAGAGTTCAGAGCTACACTCCACACTAAGGTCTATGAACAAAGCTGAAAAAACGCTGATTAGAAGAAGTTAAAAACAGGCTAACACTTAAGCTATTTATTAGAAGAACCTTCAAAGCCTTCATTAATGTTTCATTTCATTTATTGATTCATTTGGAGCGGATCACAAGCAAAAAATAATAACAAATGTAACAGCTGAACATAAGTACAGGAATTAGAAAAGATTTGGCTCGAAAAGGAGTGGGAAGAAGAAAACTTATTGAATCCCACCCATTGCTTCTGTTAGGACCAGAAACTCTTAATATAAAAAAACAAGACTCAAATCTCAAAAAACCTTTAAACTTTAAAATATGTGTACTTTTGTACTGTGTTTTTAATTATCTATGCATTTATCTCAGCATATATTTTACTAATTTAAAATAATTGCAGCATTTTTCAAATGAAGTCAGTATGAATTGGAGCACATTTTAGACCAGTCTCCTGTGCTGCGTGCATCTGCAGCAGGAGGAAGGTCAGGTGCATAGTCAAAACAAAAACGTCACCGCTTGCAATGGGTGAATTGGGTAGTTTAACTTAATAATACTTTTACAGCCTAATTCCCTCTTTCTTTTTAGACGAAGTCTATAATCAATAATTACTTTTAACACAGATTCTAATTTAAATGTTTGAAAAACGGCTTTAATAAAAACTTTAATAAAAACTAAAATAAAAACATAAAAAAATTCTCACAAACAGCTATGAAATATATCAGAGATACAATAATGGACTCACAAAATAAGCAGCAGATTTAAAAGAATGGAATCTAGAAATATGTTAGGTCTAAAAAGAATTGCACAGCTTTTAGCACTAATATTTGGGTTTCAAAAACATACTAATTCAAACTTCTATTCCCTAATGGTGTTTAAAAACGTTTAACTGTGTCATAACACAATGTTCAAATGGCAAATTTCGCAAATTTAACGGAATAACAACTATGAAAAGCCAAAAATCCTAAAGCAGTAGCTTTGCTCTGATTCAGAGCCAGAGCAGCGAAGGAGGGGGCCGTTTCCCTGACAACGGCAGCAGATAGTGCGGCGCACACACAGGCAGAAAGATACAGAAGAATAACTTTCAAGATTACTTTGTTAAGCGAATATAACTTATGTTGTTCTTTATACTTTTGTCATCCAAATCTAGAAGTGATCACTTTCCACACTAGTAACAAAAGGCACTCTTGTCTTTAACGTTTACGCTTCTATTTTATCGAGGTAGCAAACTAGTTTAAACTCAAAATCTCTTTCTAAAAAACAAAAACAACCTGTTGGATACAACCCTCTCATAGCTCAACTGTAGATATAACTCGGCAAAAAATGTAAATAACTCACAAAAGCTCTCATAGCTCAACTTTAGATAAAACTCTGCATTCTCCGGTGAACTCTGTTCACTCCAAAAACAAAAACTCCCTTTTTCTGTATGTAATTTAAACCGTGATCACTGAAATATAACAGATGTTATTGCTTCAACTTTTGTCACTCATTAAACTTGAAATTGGCCAATTTCAAGACTTTTGCAACAAAGGTCTCTGCACTCGTTTTTCCTCCCTTTTTATTTATTTTTTATTTTTACACCATGGTTTCTCTCAAAGGGACTTTAACCCTGAAGCTTCTTCTCAAAGGGACTTTAACCCCGAGGCTTTTCTCAAAGGAACTTTAACCCCGAGACTTTCTCAAAGGGACTTTAACCCCGAAAACGTTTTCTCAAAGGGACTCGAACCCTGAAGCTTCTTCTCAAAGGGACTCTAACCCCGAGACTTCTTCTCAAATACAATTTAGAGAGTTTGACAGACCCCAAAAACAGACCAAAATTTAGCTAATATCCAATTATGCAGACTTTACATATAAAAAGGTGTCTGCTTACCTTATTCTTGTCAAACCGGTTCCAAGGACTGTCCGAGAGGTCTGCCAACCTCTTTTCCGCGTCGGAATATTCAATTTAAAAAACAAAAGTGACAGAAGCGACAAGAAGCATCCAGGAACAGCTCTTCCAGCCTGCTGGAATCTCCGCTCCCAGACACAGCATGCCGGTCTCTCACGCCGAGGAAAAGAAACAGAGCAAACTCCCTCAAAACAATCCAGAGAATGGCACAAACCGAGCCGCGCATTCTCCACCAAATCTGTTAGGATTTAAGCAGACAGAGACGGATCGTGGTGTGCCAAACTCTGGAAGTTTATTTAAGTTTCTCTCAAGTTCCACTGGTTTACTCTGTTTCTTTCTCCCAGACAGAATAAAGGCAGTACACAGTTTATATAGTCATTGTCACGTCACACATCGAAAGACATACGTGTCACAAAGAGACAGTCACATCATAGTCATAACATGGAGTCCTTGTAGAGTCCTTGTACAGTCCTGCACGTAGGCCATATTGCTATCTAATACTAACACTACGTTACAATATTTAACTTAACTCCCACTTCAATTCCATAAAAAAAGAGAGAAAAAACACAAATAAGAAACATATTCTCAATGCAACAAAATTCATCAGATTTTCTTCACTTAAATACTGTTTCGTTTGTAAACTACTTTCACAGAACACAAAACTAAGTGCAATATCATTTTTGATTTCAGTCAAATATAGCTCATAGGATTGACAACATGCAAATGATACAACAGTTTAGACATTATCAGCAAGTTTACGTACCAGCGATGGTAAGGACAGAGGTACCAGCAACAGTAACACCAGAAACAACGATGGTAAGAAAGGTCAAGAACAGCACAAGAACTGATACAGAAAACAGCAACACCGCAAAATATCTAAGCTTCACTAACTCTGTATTCTGACTACACTGCATTTTTGTATAAGAATTTGAATTTGTGAATATTTAGGGATATCTTCTGCTGTAAATCCAGAGAATTAGATATAGATATAATTAACTTTTTACATTTCCCTGTTTTCTCAGCCAATGCTAAGTGATTATTGTGTGTGTGGACAGTGGTGGGAACGGTGGCTGGTCGGCAAAGGGCTGCGAGGTGGTCTTCAGGAACAGCTCCCACATCAGCTGTCAGTGTTACCACATGACCAGCTTCGCAGTCCTCATGGATGTTTCCCGGAGAGAGGTCAGAGCCAAAGATTTAATTAAAGCATTTTCTGCAAAACATCTACTGGTAATTGCTCATCTTATTACATGGGCAATCTAGGTTAAACATGTCCAGTAGATTCAGAATAGTGAAAAAACAAAAATAGTGCAAAAAGTGATGAAAAAAAAGTCAAAAAGATGCAAGAGTTGGAATGAGAAAATAAAGCAACAGTTTGTGAAATTAGACTAAATGGTTTGGTCCTATTGGAAAATCTTGTTTTGAGACAGAATGTACTGTACTTGGGTAAACCACTCATACTTTATCATTATTGCAGTGCAGTATGTCAGACTTGTTGTGGCATTTTTTTTATTATTCATATTTATATTTTTTTACGTCAAGCAAAATATTGTTGTTTGTAAAGTACTCATTTTAGTATTTTTTTAACTATCAAAATGAGTAAGTAATTGTGGAATTTAACTCCACAATTGACTCAGTGTTTTGGGCTTCAATGCCATAATGCAAAATGTACTACAAATTTACTAATCTATACACATATAGGTCGGAACAGGGCCTTTCTGAGTGGAGTTTGCATGTTTTCCCTGTATCTGCGTAGGTTTCCTCCGGGTGCTCCGGTTTCCCCTACCACTAAAAACATGCACACTAGGTATGAATGTAAATGAGAGAGTGAATGGATGGTGTTGATTGGGGGCTGATGCGCCAGAGTGTTCGGCGACTTGCTTCCGTCGTCACCGTGTGTGGAATGATTGGAACAATATCTGAACTCTGAACATTGTAAAGCGCTTTGGGTGACATTGGTCTCTAAAATGTGCTATATAAATAAACTTTACTTACTTACCTACATAAAAATATACTCATGTTTTACAGAGTGTTTTTTTTTCTTGTTTAATATCATTTCTTGTTTTATTCTTTTTTGACTACATGTTACTGTGAACTATTGACTGAAGGCCTTACATGTATGTTGCTTGTGTCAGAACGGAGAGATCCTGCCGGTCAAGCTGCTGACGTGGAGTACAGTGGGAGTGACGGTCGGCTTCCTCCTCCTCACCTCCATCTTCCTCCTGAGTCTGAGGGCCATGCAGAGCAACAAGACCAGCATCATCCACAACGGCACCATCGCACTCCTCCTCTCAGAACTCATCTTCATCCTGGGCATCAATCAGGCCGACAACCCGGTAATGACACACACACACACTTAAAGCTTCTAGGTTCAACTTTAGGTTCAAAGTGTGTGGTGTTGGACGCAAACACACAAGACGCACAACATCAGACCAATCGTCTGCACAACATCAACACAAGAATATTGCATGGCGCCGTGGTAAGAGCTCTGGTGTGTACAGTCTTCTCTGTCTAGTGCACACTGAGGCCGTCTTGCACAGTTTTTCCAATGTGGTTGTACTGCAAATAGCAAATAAATGCTTGTATCTTGTATATGCCATTATACTACACAGTCCCATCAGTGCAGTACATAATACTCTCAGAAAATACCACAAATAACCCTTGCACGGTGGAGTTTGCATGTTCTCCCCGTGTCTGCATAGGTTTCCTCCAGGTGCTCCGGGGGCTCCGGTTTCCCCTACCACTAAAAGCATGTACAGTAGGTCTGGCATGCGCCTCCTGTACTGGCAACTTCATTCCCATCTCTGGGTGGAGTGAGAAACAAGTGCCTACAATTGTAAAGTGCTTTGTGACTCTGGTCTGTGAAAGGCGGTATATAAATAAAGATTACTTACTTACTTATTATGTGTTGACCTCCAAAACCCCAACTTTTAAAATCGAACTAGCTGTATCTCTACACTGGCTTTGATGTAGCCTAAAGCATAAATTTTAAATATCAAATAAAATGTCCGGACTCTTCTGTTGCAGTTCTTTTGCACCATCATCGCAATCCTGCTGCACTTCTTCTACCTCTGCTCCTTCTCGTGGCTCTTCCTGGAGGGGCTTCACGTCTACCGCATGATCAGCGAAGTCCGAGACATCAACTACGGCCCCATGAGGTTCTACTACCTGATCGGCTGGGGCGTCCCTGCCTTCATCACAGGTCGGGCTTCGCGATCGCACAATTTCAAGCTGTAAAATATGCAAACGAGAGCCCTTTGTAAAGATGTGGTTGTGCAGGTTTGGCTGTGGGACTGGACCCTGAAGGCTACGGGAACCCGGACTACTGCTGGCTGTCCATGTATGATACTTTGATTTGGAGTTTCGCTGGACCGATCGCAATGGCCGTGTCGGTGAGTTGGGCATATTCAACGACTAGGATGCGTTTTAACATGCTCTTGTAAACTTTTTTTTATGTTTTTTTTTTTATGTTCTAGATGAATATCTTTCTTTGCATTTTATCCTCAAAAGCATCGTGCTCTCACAAACACCACAGCATCGAGAAGAAAGAGCCCAGAGTGTAAGTGTGCCATGTCTGAAAACAAATAATGTCCGTTTCAGTTTTGTTTTGCTTATTTTTTTTAATTAAGTTTAAGAATAAGCGCAGTACGAAGGTCCTGGGGTCGATTCCACCTCCACACCTTACTGTGTGGCATTTGCATGTTCTCCCTGTGTCTTTGTAGGTTTAAACAAGGTTCTGGTTTCCCCGACTTCTAAAAAAATATGTGATATAGGTCTGGCACTGTGTGGAGTGAGAGAAAAATGCCCAAAAACAAATGTAAAGTGCTTTGTGACTCTGGTCTGTGAAAGCCTGTTAAGCATATTTGATATAATAAGCAAAGCCATGTTAAATAGTGTACGTGGTGATGTCATGTGCCTGCGTGCACTAGTTTGTTATTGTGTGCATGCGCAATAAAATATAGTGCCGTGAGTTAGTGCACCAGAGTGATGATGGCGTCTTGTTTTCTCCCGTGAATAGAAAGTGCTAACTGACCACATTGGTGACTGGTAAAGCGTTAGACTGCTGCAGAAATGGCAAACGCTACAAAGCCGCTATATAGATCATGAATAACTTACTTATATATTCTTATCATTTCACTTCTGATGCACTAAAGTTGCGTCGTGAGATCGAGTATTTGTAGAGTCCAGTCTCATCAGTCTCTTGTCATTGCAGAGCCGGCCTGAAGACAGCTGGTGGGGTGCTCTTCCTGGTCCTGGTCACATGTTTTCTGGCGCTGCTGTCCGTCAACAGCGACATCATCATTTTCCACTACCTTTTTGCCGGATTCAACTGTTTGCAGGTGCGGGCGGCAAATAAAACTACATCATAACATTACACTTAACAACGCTATATTTTTACTAAAACCGATTCCACTCCAGGGCCCATTCATCTTCTTCTTCCGGATTGTGTTGAATAAAGAAGCCAGGACTGCGATGAAATACTGCTGCAGCCGCAAGCGTCCGGATCACATGATGAAGTCTAAAGCTGCTGTAAGGCTGTGTTTTTTTTTTTTTACTGAACCATTATAATGACATTGGGATTTAAAGATTTCATTCTCAATAGTTTTCTCAAAGCATTGTGACCTGGGCTGCTCCAATTTAATTCAATTATCTTTATTAACAAAACTTCAACACTGTCTATAGTTTGTAAGTGCTTTGTAAAAGAGAACGCCCATGAAGCTGTGTTAGCGAATAGACGGGCAGCAAAACAAAACATGTAAACAATCAATCCTTCAACTTTTATTTGCGGAGCGCCTTTCCCACACAAGGCAACACAAAGCGCCTCACAACCCACATCTCATCAGACATAAATCATAAGCTATAAAATCCACATAAACATTAGAAAATACGATTAAAAACAGACATTAAGAATAGATCATGAGAAATATCAAAAGTTATCAAATTTTGTAAAAACCTTATAATATCAGAAATGGGATTAAAATCATAAGTAAAGATAAAATCCCTTCGTTGTATGAACAGCTAAACTTTGAAAACGTTTTTAGTCGACTAAAATAGTGAGCAGCCCTTCTTACCATAAACCTCCCTCTATAATAATAATAATACATATTCCTTATATAGTGCTTTTTGGACACTGAAAGAGGATTTTCGGAGTCATATTTTCTATTCAAACTGAGGAAATCTTTAAATGTAACTCTGTAAAATCCACTTTAAATGGATCTCTATGCAGGAGCTAAACATGTGTTCCTCCAGGGTACTGTTTTATTATTATTAAATGATTAAAATATCTTTATTCCAGGATAAATAGTAGAGCACAGACAGAACCTTTTCACGATCGTCGAACCGAAGCATAAAAGCATTTAATCAGAAATGAAATGAGACGAATATGATGTCACATGATAAGCGTTCAGGGTGTTAAAGACAATCACCTTTTGTGCCTTTTCCCCCCCAAAACCTGGAGCAAAGCCAGTTTTCTAATCTACAAACGACAAAGGCTTTCAAAGTGTCGGGAAACATTACTATTGACATAAGTCTACTCTTTCTCTGCTTCATTGGGCTCCACACACTGGCAGCTAAATCCTGTGATAAATGAAAGCTTAGGTTTCCTCCAGGTGCTCTGGTTTCCTCTGCCGCTAAAAACTCCTAAAAGATTTGAAAGCGCTTTGGTTGACCTTGGTCTGTGAAATGCACTAGATAAATAAAAAGGACTTACTTTTAAAACTTTTTCTTCCAGATTTACAAATGCAACTCAAACTACAAGGACGGAAAGTTGTATCACCTTCCGTTCGCAGACTCCAGTGTTTCTCTGAACGGCACCATGCAGAGCGGGAAGAGCCAACAGAGCTACGTGCCGTTTGTGCTCAGGTACGTGCAACAGCAAACTTATTTGTGACGTTGTACAAAGTTATGCAAAAATATGTTTTTTTTTACTCATAGGGAGGATGGTTTAAACAGCAGCCAGGCCCATATCGCTCTGAACGACCACATGGCACATTTTCCCGAGCGCAAAGACCCTGATGGTGAAATATTTTAGTATTCATTGATGTTTTGTTGTTGTTTTCTCTTAAAGGTTTATTGATTTTGACTCACATTTGTATTCATAATTTGAAAACATATGTATCAAAAAGTGTGTCCCACTGGAAGAAGAAAAAAGAGGGTTCTTCTTCCAGGATTTAAGTCCCATGAACCCTTTGGAACTGTAGTTTTGGCTGTTACGTATTTCTTTGACTACTTAAATCAAACTAAATTACAAGAGTCATTTCACCACATGTTATTGTCAATTTAAATGTCAAATTTATTTTTATAGCACATTTAAAACAACAGACGCTGCCCAAAGTGCTGCACAGTAAAACAAAAATAAACATATATGTAATATATATAATCAAATACAAAAAATGGCTATATTTAAAACAAATGATTGATTGTATATGACAAATAAATAACTCTATATATCTTTTCATTCGTTCTAACCAGATCCTTTTGCTTGGTTACATTTCTCCCTAACCCTCTCCTCTGTGCTCAGACCGGGACAGTGACTCGGACAGTGACTTGTCTCTGGAGGATGATCGCAGCGAGTCCTACGCCTCCACGCACTCCTCCGACAGCGAGGACGAAGAGGGGCCCCTGCCTCCTGAGGAATGCTGGGAAAATTTGGCCTCTAACGGAGTCAAAAGACCCCCGGGACAAGGCAAGTTTGTAAAGGAGACACATTATGTATGAATATACACACACACACACACACACATATGTATATATATATACTGTATATTGTATAGCAGGATAACAACAGTGGTTATTTTCATATTAACTCATTGAATGCCAGCCTATTTCAGAACAGGTACTCCCACAGTGCCAGCCATTTCTGATGATTTCTACTGATTTTTCAAGACCCACAGAATATTGTGTACTATGACTATCTGAAATCCGACACCAGATTCTAAAAGAATGGACTGTCTACTTTCCTCAGCAAAAATAATTTTGTTTATAGCTTTTTTCGTTCCCCTCTAATCCTCCGTTGAGTAGAGGGAAGTTTTACTGAAATCACCAGAAAGTTGAGAAAAAAGAGGCACAACATGTGCACCTACATGTTTTCAAACCATTCAGAGAGCAATGCTGCCACCTGCTGGCTCGATAAAATATGGTCTCAAGTCATCCCCATACATATTAGATACAATAGACATCTGGGAACGTGAAAATAGCAAAAAAGGCAATTGACGTATTAATGCGTCAATGGCACACGACGTTACTATTTGCTTTGACGTATTTGTGCGTCAATGGGACACAATGTTAATATATCCCAATATTACAAGGAAACTGCAGATGTTTAATGTGTAAGATAGAATTCACAACCAATTATAGTTCCACTTATGGAACTATAAGGTCATGATGTGGCGCGGGGGAAACAGATTCAGTATTACAGATGGGACCAAAAACACAATGTACTACGACTCATATATTTTGATTGGATTTTTTCTTACAGATAATGGTGTGACGAAAACATACTGGCCCGACTATCCAGGCTCCGGCAGCGACAGTGAACTCAAAGATCCAAATCTCCGGCCAATCCCAGAGGCGCGCTCAGCCGAGTCCACCGCAGTGCAGATACCGGGACTGTGCCACCTGAACACACACCCTCACAAAGGTTAGGGCTATTTCAGAAACTATATCAGTTTGGATGTGTAAAACCTGGCCCTATAAAAAGTATTCATCTGAGTTAAAAAATGACTGTTAATTGCATCCAAAAAGAGCATTTATAAATAATTGCAGTGATATTGGTATCAAGTATCAGGTATTGTTTCTAGCTATAAATTGAGTGTGCTATGCATTACCGCACTGCTCTAATGTAATGCTTTTAGCTCGTTTTATTCCTGAACTCTTAGAGAAGCTATACCCGTTTCTGCAAGGTTTGAATGTTTAGCACCGGCTCCCAACTCGTTCACAGGCTTCTCATTTCCCCTACGCTCTCATAACACGGAGCCATCTAGTTTTAATTGTGATCTGATACATATGCTAACGTTAGCATTAGCGTAACTTCTTGTAAGTTGTACAACAATCACTGATGAAATGGTACAAAAGCAACGCACTGTTAACAAAATATATAATTAATAGTTACTTAATGTAACTTAAGTTCTACGAATAGGTGCGTAGTCCCTTAGGACTTCGCTAGTGGGATATCACTCGTGACCCCCAGGTCACGCGCCAGAGAGATCAAAATAATTTGCTCCAATCACCAGCCACCTTCCTCTATAAATGCCCCTGCACAAGGCCGTACCCCCTCTTGAACTCTGCCAAGCCGGGCTGGCCTGATGGGCTCGTAGCTAAGGGACTACGCACCTATTTGTAGAACTTAAGTTACATTAAGTAACTATTAATTCTACGTCATGGTGCTACGTCCCTTAGGACTTCGCTAGTGGGACACAACGCGGAGGCCGTAGGAAAATGTACTCCCAGCAGGCCAGCGAAGGTGATTGGAGCTCCGCCCGAGCAAGACCCTCACAACGTGAGAGGACTCAGGGCAGAAGAAACAAGCGTGTTACGGGGCCACTCCTACCAAGGATACCCCCACGTAACACAAGCCGTAGGTCATCCGTAGTCACAGGACGCCTCTCCCAAGAGCTCCTGACGTGGACTACCAGACCGACCACACACACAAAATGTACCGCACCTGTAGGATGCCTCTCCCAAGAGCTCCTGCACCAGGGCGGAAAATAGACCGAAGGCCCCCCTCAGGGGAGGGACCCAACGGTCTAACTCAGTCCGCTGCACTCAGCACGGAATGGGCCACCGACCGGTCCGACACATCCGAAAGATAAGACCGGACGAAAGAGGAGGACGACGCCCAAGAAGCCGCACGGCAAACGTCCTCGACCGACGCCCCCCTGAGAAGGGCCGTAGAGGCCGCCATCCCACGCGTGGAATGCGACCTGAAACCCACCGGGGGGGCCAGACCCTGCGTCTGATACGCCCGCCGCACCGCCGTGGCGACCCAATGCGCCAGCCGCTGAGCCGACAGCGGGGCGCCCCTGTTCTTGGGGCCCAGACACACAAACAGCTGATCACCCAACCTGAATGACGAAGTCATGGCCAGGTAATGCCTCAGCATTCTGATAGGACACAGAAGGTGCTGCCGCTCCTCCTCGGGGGAGGCATGCGGCGGCGGGTGGAAAGCCCTAATCCTGATGACCCTCGACCTAAAGGCCGACGTGATGACCTTGGGGAGAAAAGCCGGATTGGGCCACAATTCCACCATGCCGTCGTCCTCTCCAAAGGACAGACACGACGCATGGACGGAGAGCGCACACAAATCGCCCGCCCTCTTCGCAGACGCCAACGCCAGTAAGAGGGCCGTCTTAAAGGCGATACACTCGGGACTCGCCTCCGCCGCCGGTTCAAAAGGCGGACCCGACAGCCCCCTAAGGACCACCCTGAGGTCCCAAACCGGAGGCGTTCTCTGGAGCGGGGGCCTCCTCCTGCGCGCCCCCCGCAGAAAACGTTTAACCAACGGGTGAGAACGGGCTGTGAATCCCCCGAATCCGTCGTGACCCGAAGTAATGGCTGCCGCGAACACCGCCAAGGTAGCGACAGCCCTCCCCTTGTCGAAGAGCTCCTGTAGGAATCCCAGGACCCCCTCCAGCGGGCCACACCTGGGATCCCAGGAACGGAAATCGCACCAGACACTGAATAGCCTCCACCTCGTGGCGTAGGCCCTCACGGTGGACGGCGCCCTCGCTCCCTGAATGGTCTCCACCACCGCAGGGGGAAGACCCAGATCTACGAGGCTCCGCCTCTCAACCTCCAAACCCAGAGCCTGCGGCCGATTATCGGACGTGAAAACAGGGCTCCTGCCCCCTGGACTAGAGCCCCCGGCTCGTCCGGGAGGGCCCAGGGCTCCATCACCGCCATGCCCCTCAGGAAGGGGAACCACCGGGCATGCGGACTGTCCGGAGCCACCAGGATCACTGATCTCCTCTCCTGTTCGATCCTCCGCAGCAGGACCGGCAGGAGACGCACCGGTGGAAAAGCGTACAACAGGCCGCCTGGCCATGGGTAATGAGCCAGAGCGTCCACGCCTAAAGGCGGCTCGTCCGCGGCCCTTAAGGCGAACCAGGACGGGCACTGTGCGTTCTCTGCACTGGCGAAAAGGTCGACCACTGGACGGCCGAACCTCCGCCAGATCTCCGCAGCTACCCGTGGGGCCAGGCCCCACTCGTCCTGGAGTGGGCCCCCCCTGGACATCCTGTCGGCTCCCACGTTCCGGACCCCCGGGACGTGGCGCGCCCTGAGAGACAGGAGGTGAAGCGCCGCCCACAGCAGCGTCACCGTCGCCATGCGATGGAGAGCGGGGGACCTGGTGCCCCCCTGCCTGTTCAGATAGGAGACCACTGTGGTGTTGTCTGAGCGCACCATCACGTGTCTCCCCTGCAGCTGAGGGGCAAAGTGCAGCAGTACCCTGTGTACTGCCTCCATCTCCAGCAGGTTGATGTGACGGGCTGAGTCCGACCAGCAGCCTCCTACAGAGCTCTGGCCGAGGACCCCGCCCCATCCTTCAAGCGACGCGTCCGTGAACACCTCGACGTGAGACACGGCGCAGGCCAGAGTCACTCCGTCCCGCAATAGACCCGGAGTGAGCCAGAACCTGATGTCCGATGCTGCCCCTTGGGGAACCCAGATCAGCCTCCCCCCGTCCCGGGAGGGGTGAAGCCTGAGGCGCGAGAACCACCTCTGAAAATTTCTCATGTGGAGCAGGCCTAGCCGCACCACAGCATGAGCCGCTGCCATCATTCCCAGCAGGGACCTGAGGCGCCGAGCGGGGACTCTGGGGCCCGCCAGAACCTCCCGGGCCAGACGGGTAATATTCATCCGTCTGTCCACGGACAATGCAGCACGGAATATCACAGAGTCTAGCTGCAGACCGAGATAAACCATGCGTTGGGCTGGCTGCAGCTTGCTCTTCTCCCTGTTCACCACAAAGCCCAGACGCTGTATGTGGGACAGGACCCAGTGCGTGTGGCTCAGGGCCACTTCCCTGGATGGGGCCAGTATTAACCAATCGTCTATATAGGTTAATATTCTTACCCCCGCACGTCTGATCGGCTCCAGAGCTGCTTCCACACATTTGGAAAAAGTCCGAGGCGCGAGTGCGTACCCGAAGGGTAGACGGCAGTACTCGTAATTCCTCTCTCCCACTGCGAAGCGCAGAAACCTCCTGTGTTCTGGCACTATGGGCACGTGGAAGTACGCATCTGTCAGGTCTATGGATGTCATCCAGTCTCCTTCCCTGACACACTCGAGGAGCTGCCTTGTGGACAGCATCCGAACTGCCGTATGGAAATGCACTCGTTTAACATGCGCAGATCCAGAATGGGACGCACCCCGCCTGATTTCTTTGGCACTAAGAAGTAAGGGGAGTGCAGCCCCCTGGTGGCGTCCTGCGGGTCTGCCTCCACTGCTGCGCCTCGACTCAGCAGAGAGGAGACCTCCGCTTGTAGTGCCTCTGTCGATCCCCGTACCTGAGAGCGTACTGCCCGTACGCCTCGGAATGGTGGTGGCTTTCGGAAAAATTACAGCGCGTAACCTCTGCGCAGAGTTTTCTCCAGCCAAATATCTGTCAGTAGGCCTTGCTCTCTCCAGATGCTGTAGAAATCTGTGAGGGGCGGAACGGGAGTTGGAACACGAGACGTCACGGCCCCGCCCTCTCCTGGTGTTCCTAGCAGGGAGGGGGGGTGGCTGAAAGGGCCGGGGGGGCCCCTGCGTCACACCGTGAGCGCCGAGGGCGGTCACGTGTTCTGCAGGCCCGACGTCATAAGTACGGGACTGCTCACCACACGTGACCCGGCTGCTGTGCCCCCCCCTGGCTCTTGCCTCATGGAGGGGGGGGCGAGCCCCTGGAGTGGGAAACCCCGTGTTAGCCTTGTAGCTCTGCTCACCACACGTGACCCGGCTGCTGTGCCCCCCCCTGGCTCTTGCCTCATGGAGGGGGGGACGAGCCCCTGGAGTGGGAAACCCCGTGTTAGCCTTGTAGCTCAGAGATGCTAACACGCGTTCGGCCGAAGCACACACATTATTACTCACCAGATCCCTCCGCCTGCCCTCTCTCCGGGAGGGCAAAACATGAACCCGTGAATCGGAGCCCGTGGCCCGCATAGCACGCTGCACGCCCTTCTCTGGGGGCTGCAGGCCTAGCGGAGCCACGTTATATGCTCGAGAAGTAACACAATCAGAATTCAGATCATTTGACATGTTACATACCCCCAAATGAGACTCAGACAGCGAGTACTGATGAAATGCCGCGCGGCTTTTATTGAAAGAATTCTTCCCACCCCGACCTCCTCTGCCATAGGGAGGTCGTCGTTGGGTGCGTTGGTCCCGCGAGCCTCCCGTGTGCCTGTCTGGGCCCGGGGGCCTCGTCGCTGGGGAACGATGAACCACGGAGCGTGGATATGGTCCGGGGCGCCTGCCGGGCGAGCGCTCCCTGCCTCTGTCTCGGCTCCGCGCTGGTGGGCGGGCCTCGCGTCTCGCAGCTAGATGCTGGGCTAGGCTAGCAGAGTCCTTAGCTGCGGTGTCCAGCCTAGTTATCAGCGTCTGCATCTCCGGACCGAAGAGTGACGTTTGGGAGATGGGCAGGTCCAGCAGCTGCCTCTTCTCCGCCTCTCTGAGGTTCACCGGCCCCAGCCAGAGGTGTCTGGCCCCCACTTGTGCTGCTGCCATCGTGCGGCCGCCATCGACAGCTAGCGCCTGGCACATGCGCAAGATCGCTGCTGAAGTGGTCCTCGCCTGGGATAAGGTGTCTCCACTGAGCGCCTGGCCAGAAGAGAGAGACCTATCCAGGGCCCCGGTGATGAAGGCCATGTTGTTAGCCACCGCGACGACCTGAGCCGCATTGGCGTAACATCTATCGTGCATCGCCAAAGACATCCTATCCCGCTCGGAGGGAAGGAGAGGTCTAGTGCCGGGCCACACGGATGCGGAGGGGTGCAGGGCCGCTCGAACCGAGTCCTCGATGTCCGGGACCCCGCCGGTCCAGGACCAGTCCTGCACGTTACAATACATGCCGTACCCCAAAGCGGACCTCTTGGCCGCTAGGGGCTTTGGCCACTCACGTGTCGCGTAATGGACGATCGGGTCCATACGCGGGCACAACGTGGGCTGCGTCCTCCTCCTCCCTCGAGTGGTGGCGTAACCAGAGGTGAAGTCCTCCACCCTCTGGTTCGGTTGCGGTGGCAGGGGGGCATCCATGATGGCCGCCGCCGTGGAGTAGAGCCCAGGCATGTGGTCCAGCGGGAAGCGGTCCGGCTCCGGGTTGGACACCACCTCGTCCAGCGTGAAGAGAGAGCCGACCTCCGACACCTCTCCGTCTTCGCAGTCACCCCACTCCGCGGGCACGGGTGGGAGGTCGAGGGGGGCCCAGTCAGTCTCAGACTCCTCGTCCTGAGAGGAGTCCGGACGGGGCGCTGTAGCGGCGAAGAACGCGCGCCTGCGTTCACTCTCCTCCCTGGGGAGAGCGAGACACGAGGCGCAGGTGGCGCTCAACGCCGCATGGCCCGAACCCAGGCACACGAAGCAGCTGGAGTGCTGGTCCTTGCGCTGGAGCTTGACCCGACAAGTCGAGCAACGACGACGTCCGACGCCGGATGGCGAAGGGGAACTCGGACGAGCATCAGAAGACATCTTTCCTCAGGTAAATTGAAATGTAGATCTCAATCGGCGCCAGAGTGAAAGAGGGGGTACGGCCTTGTGCAGGGGCATTTATAGAGGAAGGTGGCTGGTGATTGGAGCAAATTATTTTGATCTCTCTGGCGCGTGACCTGGGGGTCACGAGTGATATCCCACTAGCGAAGTCCTAAGGGACGTAGCACCATGACGTAGAACTGAAAGATTACTGCTAGTTCTGCGTCCGAATTTGGTCCGAGCATAGATAGTCCGAGGCAGTCTCCCATAGACAAGTCTCTCCAGAGGATACGATGTAAGCTATGTTCACCCGGGCTTGATTTCTTCTTTGATAATTTTCTCGCTTCAGTTCGCTCTTCTCTTCCTCACTATTGTGTTGTTTGGGCTGTTTTGCTGAGTCTGCAGTTACAGCCAGATGAGCTATAGCCAATTCTGCTAACATTCTACTGTGTTTAGCAGCGCTGTAGAGGCTAGAGGACGCAGCCTCGTTCTGTGATTGGAGGAGAGCGGGCGTCACGCTAAAGTCTCTACTTAGAACTTTTACGGCCTGAATTCATACACAAGCTGAATCAATGAGCTCAGGTTTTCAATTAAATTACGGATTATAATACAACTTGTATGTAGTAATAAGCATTTTTATGAACTCATTAGAAATTGGGTATAGCATCTTCTTTAATTAAGCTTGATTTATTTATCTACTTGTCTGGTGCACACTGGGGACTTTTGCACGTAAGTTGGAATACATTTCATGTATTCCAATGTGATTTTACTGCAAATGGCAAATACAATGAATCGGAATCGGAATCTAGAGTTCAGTAAAGTTTAGTCTTAGTTTTTTTTTATAAGTGATATTGAATATATATTTGTCTCACATTGACACAGGTATCCTCAAAAAGAAGCAGCTGTCTCCGATCGTGGAGCGAAATGGAGGAAATCGCATCAGCAGTGACCTGGTGGAAACCGGAGCCTCATCTCCGGGCTCGTCGTCCAGTGAGGACCGTCCCGGTCCTAAACCCGGCCTCCAGGAGCAGCTGAACGGGGTGGTGCTGAGCATAAAGGCCGGGACTGTGGACGGAGACTCTTCAGGATCAGAGTGAGTTAACTACACATGGTCTGGCAGGAGTGGGATAACCCTTTGAGGACCGCTTTGTCCTCCGCAAAACACTCATAGACCAATGGACTTCTGAGAAAGTCATTCACAGTTTTTTAACCGCTCACTTTCAATAAGTGCTAGAATTGGAGGATGTAACTTGAAATAAAACAAAGGCTAATGCCAGCTGCTAACAGTAAACAGTCTGTTGCTATGGTAACTAGTACTGGCTCTTGAACAACAATAAAAAGTAAAAAAATAAATAAGATGAAATAATACAAATAATTGCATTCAAATAAATCACATATAGAAACAGAAAAAGTAGACTAAAAATGTGCATTAATAATAATTAAATTTCCAAAACTAAATGCCATCAAATTGACTGCTCTGGTGATCCTAGTGAGGGATGGGTCTTCTATATAGTTATTATCAACGACACCCACGAATCATCTTTATCTAGTTCCACCATTTTACATCCTCACAGTGATCTGAAATGACTTAATGAAAGTAAATGGCTGAACTGTGCTGTAGGTAATAGATTTATACAATAAGATGTGTTCAACTGACACTGGGGAAAAAAAGAAAAGTGACTTGAATACAGAAGAATCAACATGCATGTACCACTCCAAAAGTAACTTTGAGTCTATAAATGTTAAGAAACAACAATCACCTGGTTATAAGTCACATTCATATAGAATACTGCTATTTAAAGGTGTTACCTGCTCCCTGTGTCTTATCCCTCTGTCCTTTTCACTGTACGTCTGTCTACGCTGTTTCTGGGCGCATCTCTGTCGTCTGTCTCATGTTCATACGTTATGCTTGTAATATACAGTTAAATATACTACACTTCTAAGATAACCCTAATCAAAAACTAATCAATTTCTTGCCTTCTCTCCCTTTTTCAAAAACCATAGATTTTTATTCTTTAATTTTATCCCGTGATATGGACCTTTTTTCTTCCCAATCATTTCCCTTCTCTCCTCCACATTTGTTTTGTCAACACAAACATGTTTAACATCTTTCATTCCATGACCTCACCATATTGTGTTGTCTTTTACGTTTGTCTCCCGCCATCGTCGTCCGTCCCAGCAGCCATTGCAACACGTCCATGTGACCGCGCTTACGGAAGGGGTGTGTCTTTGCAGGTCATAGAGCCACCTCCCCGCCTCGCTACAGACGTCTCCATCGGGACAAAAAGATGGATTCTTGCCTTCAGAAGGAGCGCCAATGTATATTTATAATACCATGTTGTGAATGGACAAAGAAAAGTGTTGTGCCAAAACCTCAGGAGTCACTGCACTGTCCCATATTGTCCATTTATAATTGTTTACATACTTGAAGCAATGCACTTTTGTTTATTCCTGCCTGTGTCCACTTGCAAGGCAGTTTTTATTTTGTTTTTATATATGACCAATAATAGGCATACGTGGATCCATATAAGTAAGCATTCAGGGAACTTTATTTTCTTGAATTGTTTCACTGTACGTTAATATTTCGCATTGGTGCCAGTTTTCATCCATGTCCGAGAGGCACTAAATAACTGCCCACGTGTCGAGAACAGTGGGACGTTTACAAATTGACAAGTTGATTCATGGACTTTGTGCGTAAATGAAGCAAAGATCTTCTTGTGAATAAGCTATTTCTCAGAATGAAGGAGGCAAAAGCTGAAGAACCACTGTCTGCATACAATGTAAAATGCTGAGACTGCTGCTGCCTTTCGGAGCTCAATTATTTCTACAGACATTGTCGTTTTTCATCACCGGGTGGAGTGGACTGACGCGTGGATTCAGAGGCTGACTGGCTGTGTTTTATAGTCTAGCTGTGAAGTTAAGTCTTTGTAAAATAATGAACTGTATGTAAATGTGTGCTGTAAGACTACTGGAACTGTACAGAACGGCCTGTAAATGGAAAAATAGGACATATCTTTAAATGAATCTATAAAGTAAAAGTATCTATACGTCCATTGCGCATACAGACCATGTTGAAGAGATCAGTCTGACTTTTTAATCATTGTAATTGTAAGTATGGATGCCATTCTGACAACTGTATACTGAACGTGAACTATGAGCTCACAATGCCATCAGATGTTACATTTCCACTGGTATATGTCTTTTACAACCATTTTTTACTGATTAAACAGTTTTATACAAGTTTCTGCATTTATTTAATATTCAAAATGGAGTTTACAGTAATAGTTAAAGTAAGTATATCATTGCTGTCCACAACGTGACCTCTGATGGTCTTTGATGTATTACGTACGACACATTTCAATAAAAACATAGGATGGTTGTGATGCAGATTGGACTAATGAGTGGGCATAATTTTCTTCAATTTGGTTGATAATGGAAAGCATACTCAAACAAAATTGTTCAAAGCTCAATCTTGTCTGCGCTGAAGTAGCAATGGCTCGATGGCATCTTGTAAATACACTGTGCCATTTTGTCCCTCACTTAAATCTGCATTGTTTGTCTTATACAACCTCTACTTGGAATTTACATGAAACATCTGTTTTATCTGCTTGGAAAGGGTATTGAACACCTGCTTTACAAGTTCAAAGTTCAAAGTCAGGTTTGGGCAGAATTCAACTGCAGCAATGTAAGCAGTGCCAAACAAACCCAATTCCTCCATCGTGAGATCAATAAAGTTTACCTTTTCTTAATATGGGTTTCACATTTCAAGTTGAGTTAATAAATGGACAATTGGTGTCCCCTGTGCATGGCGTAGGAAAAGGTCATTATCAACCACCAGCTAAAGCTCGTCTATTGTCAATGTTACACAATAGTTTTCAGTTGACAAGTAGAAATAAGAACATCTTTATTTTGTTACATTAATTTGGAAAATGGTAGAAATGTGTGCTTATGTGCAATTTAAAGAAATACTTTTAGAGTTTCCTGTAGGCTGTGTTTATATCATCAAAGTGACTGTTGAAAAATGATCCTTCACAGGCACGATCCCACAGAACAAAATGGTATGTAGTGAAGGGTCCAGTCCGTCTGTCTTCACAAGCTGTTTACAATATGACTTTAGCTTCAGGGAGTAACATCATCATAACAATCATACAGTGTTTAATTGTCTCAGCCGAGAATCCCCACAACACAATAAATAAAGTTGTAAGTACATGTAAAACATAATGAAATTAAAACTCTTTAATAGTGGTAACAGGTGATACATTGTAGTTCTAGTTCTTACCCACAATCGTCCTACTGTACCATCATGAGCCGTGTGTCACTGATTACCACTGCAGTTTGTAAATGTGCGTCTAAAACATCTGGTAAACAAAGTCCATTCCTTTTGACTTTCTTGAATTTGTGATGCTGTAAAATTGTACAGCAATTATAAAAAAATAGGATAATGTAACAGAGCATTTTATTAAAATGTGTTTGATCCAGAAATATTCAGCTTAAATACAACCTAAAATGTATATTTTCTCATAATACTGGGAATGTGCTACTTTAAAACAAATTGTATCTAGTAACATACAACAATAGAGTAGCAATAGGAACAACGGCCACAAGAAAAATTATCTGTGGGGTCATAGTCCAAACCACCAATAAAACAAAAATGCTGCTCCTCATAAATAATCGCACAACGATGAAAGTGAAGGACAACAATCCAGTATCACCTTTCCCCACACGGCCACAGAAATACACCAGTTTGAGTTCAGTTTGAGTCCTCCAGGCTGCTGCCCTTACGCTCTGGCCCACACATGCGGACCATAATGCTTTGCAGGCTGGGCTCCACAATGCCCAGCAAAGGCCTCTGGGATGCGTCTCCGTTCCAACACGCCTCCATTAGCTGCCAGCACTCCTCATCGAAACCTGGCAAACGCTCCGGTCGGGAACCTGCGAAACAATAACAATTACTTCTGTAGAACTATCCATCCATCCATTTTCTACCCTTTAATCCATGTCTGGGTCAGGGGGGTGGCAGTCAGAGATGCCACCCAAGTCTCATAGCACCAGCCCCTCACTGACCCTCTGCAGGTGGTGAGTCCACAGGAGGACGGCTGCTCTCTGAGTGTGAGCATAGCCTTGATCTTTCAGTGGGAGCTTTTTGGGCAAAGTGGGGTTAAGTGTCTTGCCCAAGGACACAACGACAGCAGTCATCAGTGGGAGTCGATGGAGAAGGTGCAGAGGTGGGAATTGAACCCACGATGCTCTACCAATGCTCTACCAACTGAGCTACTGTAGAACTAAAGAAGCTTTATTAGGACAACTCTGTACAAAGCACAAGGCATGTGTCTATGTATTAACACACGGGAGAGTCGAGCATCCTTAACACATAGGGCAGAGGAGAGTATCCTTAACACATGGGGCAGAGGAGAGTATCCTTAACACATAGGGCAGAGTATAGAGTATCCTTAACACATAGGGCAGAGTATAGTCTCCTTAACACATAGGGCAGAGTATAGAGTCTCCTTAACACATAGGGCAGAGGAGAGTATCCTTAACACATAGGGCAGAGGAGAGTATCCTTAACACATGGGGCAGAGGAGAGTATCCTTAACACATGGGGCAGAGTTGAGTATTTTTACTTGTTTGCACCTTATACTAGAGCAAACTCCTAGTTTGTGACTTCCTGTTACTTGGTGATAAAAATAATTCTGATCTAGAAGGAACAGCTCACTGGAGCTTCTCTGTTCTTGACATGTGATGAATATGTCGTCTTCACCTTTTTTCACATTGGTCCAGAGCTGGTCTTTGCTGGAACACTTCTCAAAAGCTTCAGGGAGCTTTACTGACCCAGTGCACAGGTACCAGAACAGGATCCCAAAGGCGTAAACATCAACAGAGTTATCATACTTTCCTGCAACAGAAAATAGAGGCAAAGAGATACATAACATTTATGTACTTAAGTGCATTTAACAGATAGTTGATGCTTTGCAGAAAAAATTAAATTGATACATGCTCCGAAGTCATTTTCAAAGCTAGTGAGATTTGAAAACGACTTCTGTTTTTTACTAGAAATATGTAAGGCTAAAACTATCTTTGGAGATAGTGACGGACTGTTAGGTCCATATTCAGCAGAAAACTGAAGACATGAGTCCCAAACCTGTGAAAAGCTCTGGTGCCATGTGGATGGGGGTCCCCACGATGCTGCCCGACATCATGGCCTCAGGTTTACAAAATCCCAGGTCTGTGATCTTGGCTCGATTCTGCTTGTCCAACTGCAAAAAAGATAAATTCTCATTAAATATGAGATAGAAATGAAACATGGAGGATCTTGTTTCATTATTCTAGAGTTTCTTGATGAACATTACAGCACTCACCAGAACATTCTTTAGCTTGATGTCTCGGTGCAGAAGGCCCTGACTGTGGAGGAAGCGGATCCCCTCCACCACGTCCAGAGCGATCTGCAGCCGCTCCTTCAGGGACAAACCGGCCTGTGAGAAAAACACAAGTTAATTATACAAAACAAAAACATTTTAAAATAAAAATGCATTTTATTTAAAGAACAATTTTAAAAAAAATCCTGGCGAGCCGTGCCATTTTTTACATACATAGTAGTACTCAGTATCACGATATAATGAGAACTTTTTTTTATTATTATTTTTTTACTATTTTTATTATTCACAATCATAAAGTGACAAGCATACAGGAAAAGACACAAAATGCAGATAATGAGAACATTTATAAGACTGTATTATAGATGCCATCTGAAGTTGGTATAAGATTGAAAAAAACAGTTGTCAAACGATTGAATTAACATCTTTGCATCCGTTATTATCACCAGGAATATCCTCTCACCAACCATCTCATGAAAAATGTAGTTGGTTTTAGAGATTTTCCTTGCCGATGCAGTAGGGTCTGTTGGAAAGTTAGTGTCCAACAAGAAGGACTGTGGTGATGATCCTGGACACTTTAACATTCTACAACATTTATGGACATTTATCAACATTCATGGACATTGGTCTCTCCTATCGACCAATTCATGTGTGTATATTTTGTGTCTTAACTGTTGATTCTCTGATCTGTGTTGGTGATTTCAATGGTTTTGTTATGTCCTCTGAGATGACTGGGGTTGTGATTTAGGGCTATACAAGAATACATTGTTTTGATTGTTTTGCTCTATTTGAAACTCACATTTACAAACTAGTTTTTAAAAAGAAAAGTTTGAGATCCACAGAACTCACTCTAGACTAGCGTCTTAAATAGTGTGGATAATTGTAGCGAGTGTGAGTTACCTTCAGCCCTGTGTACAAGTCTCGGTGAAGTCTCTCCATTATGAGCAGCACCGCAATACTCGAGCCTCCTCCGTACGTGTGGTCGATCACTGACCCATGGAGGTCCACCAACCGCTCGTGTTTGGGAAGAGACCTGGCAAATCAGGTGACATGTTAAACCTTATAAGGTTATTGTAGGCTGCGTAAGATATACATATATATCCTCATGTATACATATGTACATATACACAGTACAGACCAAAAGTTTGGACACACTTTTTCATTCAATGAGTGTCCTTTCTTTTCCAAGACTGTTGACTGTAGATTCAAACACAGGCTGTGTAAGGGCTATTTGACCAATAATAATAATAATAATAATAATAATAATAAATTTTATTTATAATGCACTTTATATTTGACACCAAATCTCAAAGTGCTACAAACAGGAGCATAAATAAAAGCAAACACATAAAATCAGATAAAAGACTATAAAAGAATTAGCAGTACGCTTTAGTAAAAAGATGGGTTTTGAGTCCCTTTTTAAAAACTTCCACCGTCTGTGGGGTCCTGAGGTGGTCTGGGAGGGCGTTCCACAGACGGGGAGCAGCGGCCTCGAAGGCCCGGTCCCCCATTTTTTTGAGCCGTGTCCTGGGCGGGAGCAGACGGTGCTGTTGGCCTGACCGGGTTCTGCCTGAGGAGTGTGGAGTGAGGAGGTCAGTGAGGTAGGTGGGGGCATCACCGTGGAGACAGTGGTGGGTGTGCAGGAGGATCTTATATTCTATACGGAGGTGAACGGGGAGCCAGTGGAGGGTGTGAAGGATGGGGGTGATGTGCTCATGCTTCCGCACCCTCATCAGGACCCTGGCCGCGCTGTTTTGTACGTACTGGAGCTTTTGAAGGCTCCTGCCAGGGATCCCGATGAGGAGTGCGTTGCAGTAATCCAACCTGGAGGAGACAAAGGCATGGACGAGCTTCTCTGCAGCCGGGAGAGAGAGAGAGAAGAGCGGAGTTTTGAAATATTACGGAGATGGAAGAAGGAAGTTTTGCAGATGTGATGTATGTGATTTACGAAGGAAAGGTGGGGGTCAAACTTGACCCCGAGATTGGTTACAGAGGGAGAGAGGGGAATGTTGTGGCCAAAGAGAGAGATTGAGGTGATGGGAGAAGAGTGAAGTTGATGGGGAGTACCAGTTTGAATGGCTTCTGTTTTTGAGCCATTCAACTATTCAGCCATTCAATAAGGAGAGTGATGGGTGCTGGGCCAGATGACCTGGCCTCCACAGTCACCGGACCTGAACCCAATCTAGATGGTTTTGGGGTGAGCTGGACCACAAAGTGACGGCGAAAGGGCCAACAAGTGCTAAGCATCTCTGGGAACTCCTTCAAGACTGTTGGTCGACCATTTCAGGTCACTACCTCTTGAAGCTCATCAAGAGAATGCCAAGAGTGTGCGAAGCAGTATCCAGAACAAAAAGGTGCAACTTTGAGGAACCCAGAATATAAGACATATTTTCAGTTGTTTCATTTAGGAACGTACATAATTCCACATGAATTAATTCATAGTTTTGAGGCCTTCAGTGTGAATGTACAATTTTGATAGTCATGAAGATAAAAGACTCTTGAGATGGGTGGGTGTGTCCAAACTTTTGGTCTGTACTGATATACAGTATATACTTGGACAATCTGCACAGCCCCTGATTCCAATCAGGCCTGCTGTAAGCTGCTGAGAAATGGACAATACCATCGTCCTCTTTTGTATGGACATCCTTTGGACATTATTTGGAACAATTGGATTTCTGAATTTGGACATAATTTGTACTGAATTGGATTGCTGAATCTGGACACTAAAGCTGAAACGTGTGATTGAAAGACACGTCACAGAAGAACAAATGCAGCCTGAAGAAACCAACACGGAGAAGTGGGAGAGACTGTTTTCAAAGCAATATCTGAGAACCACCATCGACTGATGAAGTTTGGTATTTCACTGAAGATTGTTGACGAGTTTTATGAAAGATCTGAACATGTTTTATAAGTTTTCTGAGTTTTTGAAGTATTGAGTTATGACGTTATGTTGCTGTTTATCGATCCTGATGTGTGACCAGAGGGGGGAGTTTAGGAAATTCATGACACTTTGAAGCAACTGTGGTTAAAGTTCTAACTCATCATTCTAACATGGCTCTAACAAGCCAGTACTTTTCCACTGCATGTTTTGGTTATCTCAAGGTTGAAGCTACTTGCACTGTGGCAAACGCTGATTGGAGGACTCCATTCCTCCATGCTGTATATTATCACTTGCAGTCTGTAAAATCGTTGTTCGTGTTCGTGCAGTCTCTACCAACGACAATAAAACATGTCTTCTGTCTGAATGAAAGACACGATCCCAAACTTTGTCATCTTCTTCACCGGTTTTCCTGGTGTCCATGTAAATGAGTAAATGAATCTCAAGCGTTACTGGTGACTGAGAGGTGATATCATCCTTGCACACAGTTGCTAAAAGCCTCTGGGCCTTAAGAGCCACAACAATTTAGTGTTAAATGGGTGAAGTCATGACCTTTTGTAAAGCAGCTGCCATCTTGGATGAGCTGCGTTAGACAAATGCTTTCAATATCACTGGAATTTCCTCTGGCTTTAAAACGATACCAGTTCTCAGGTGCGGTTTGCTTAGTGCTGGTTTGAGCATGGTCTGGTGACTGATCTTTTTGATTCCACTCATTCCATTTCAACCAATGAGCCAGGGAACATAGTTATGTGCATTGTTACTGCGTTTATAAGAATATAACGTGCATTAAATCTGCTTAGTAATAATAAAATACACCGTTAACATTGGGATCTTTTTCATGAGCTCTCGTAATCCTGTGGCCCTGCCTGGAGGCCCATGTTTGTTTGTATGTCATTATTGGATGTATGGACCATGCCCTCAGTTACAGACTGAGTTTTTACCTGGTGTAGTGAAACTCCAGGGCCAGGTCATTCCAGTGCTTGTCATCGGGGGGCACCACAGACTTCAGAGCGCAGGGGTAATGTCCACCCCAGCTGTCACACAAATACACCACTCCATACTGACCCCGGCCCAGCTCCCGGCCCAGCTTCGGCTTACCTGGAACCAAAAGACAAAGTCATTTTAACCTTTATAATACATAAAAAATACATTTTCTTTTTAGCAAGTGCTCATAAAAAAATCTATGTTCCTTCAAAAGGCTCGGCTCTATGCTAACTCCAGACTCCATGTAGTTCTGGAACGCTTTACTTTCGGAACGTTAACGCTGTGAAGAGGTTGGTAGGGCATGATGCAAACAGTTATTCTTTACTCTTAAAAACAAAAACAAAAAAAATCTAATTGAGAAGGATCTATTTTTATATGTTTTATGACATGTTTTAAATTGTAATGTTTGCAGTGTACTTTGCTGGAATTTTACACCTTGCCTGGGGACTACAGTTGGAAACTAGCTGTTAGCTAATACTGACACTTTTACAGCAATGTTGATTAATGTGCATCGTCCCTATTCAAATAAACTAATAAATAAATACAATTTTAGGAAAGAAACGTTGATTATTATTGTTCCCCAGTTTATCAGTTTAGTTCAATTCAGTTCAATGTATCGCTCTAAATCACAACAGTAATTACTGTATCTTGGAGGACTTTACACAACCGTTGAATTCACCCACACAGATCAGAGAATCAAGAGATAAAATAGAAAACACATTGGTATTGGTGCATAAGGGGCAGAGACTAATGTCCAGAAATGTTGCCGAGTGTCCTGGATTGTCACAAATGTCCTCATACCAGGGTCACACCAAGGTCAAACAAACTTTATTTCATTTGTAGTTTTTGGGTGGTCGGAGAAACTGAAAGAAAACCTCTCAGACCCAGTAAGAACACTCAAATCCACCTGGGAGCTCTCACCACTCCCCACTGTGCAGTCTTTTTATGTATTAGACTTTAAATGTTTATATTAGATGGTTGATTCCACGGGTCTGCTGTGGCGGCTGTGACTCACCGTGCAGCAGGACGTCTCTGAGGGAGCGGCTCTCAAGCGACAGGCGGGCGAGGCGCGGGGCGTGGTCCTTTCTCACACGCAGCCAAAGGTCCTCTGTGCGCTCCAGGCGACCAGTGTGCCCCTCCTCCAACTGCAACACATGCCATTATCAGCTATCCACCGCAACAAATAGAATACTCTAGAATAATCTATCATAATGAAAACATTTGTCCCAATTAGTTGAGAAAAACCTTTGCAAACGCCCATGTATCACAACACATTTAACACACGCATGTATTCAGAATTCTATCACTAAATAAATAAATGTGTTGAAATAAAAGTATTCCAAAACACACTGAAAGCAGGAGAAGGCGTTTTACAGATTTTCTTTCCTTCAAAACAGTTGATTCATTAGTTTATACAAAATCAACTAATGAATATGGTCAGCAGCAGACAACCAAAGACAAGTTCTGTAGTAGGCAGGGAAGACCCTATTTAGATTATTGTAGGTGATATGTCTGCATTTTTGTGGCCCTTTCAGAAGATTGTGTTCCTGAACCTGAGGATGTGTTGTTTGAATATTGTTTAAGGATATCCATTTCAAATAATGAAAGGAAAAGTGTCATTATGACCTGTCGAACTAAAGAGGACCAAGCCCTGGTGTTTCAAAAGAAATGTGGATCCTGTTCTAATGGAGTAAAAGTGGCTTTGTTTCAGGCACACTGCTCCCCGCTTTACACCACTCATCTATGGGTGAACTATAAAATAATCCAGCCTACAGAGACTGAAAGTGGCCAACAGCGATGCCTTCAGACTGTTAGTGAAAGCCCAGATGGAGCAGCGCTATTTTTTCCTTTCAAGTGAACACACTGAAGGCCAACTTAAGGAATCTAAAGAAGAAGAAAGCCATTTCTCAAAGATATCCGTAAAAAGTCTCTTTTAAAGTTTGCCACAAGCCACCTGGGAGACACACCAAACATGTGGAAGAAAGTGCTCTGGTCAGATGAAACCAAAATCGAACTTTTTGGCCACAATGCAAAATGATATGTTTGGCGTAAAAGCAACACAGCTCATCACCCTGAACACACCATCCCCACTGTCAAACATGGTGGTGGCAGCATCATGGTTTGGGCCTGCTTTTCTTCAGCAGGGACAGGGAAGATGGCTAAAATTGATGGGAAGATGGATGGAGCCAAATACAGGACCATTCTGGAAGAAAACTTGTTGGAGTCTGCAAAAGACCTGAGACTGGGACGGAGATTTATCTTCCAACAGGACAATGATCCAAAACATAAAGCCAAATCTACAATGGAATGGTTCACAAATAGACGTATCCAGGTGTTAGAATGGCCAAGTCAAAGTCCAGACCTGTATCCAATCGAGAATCTGTGGAAAGAGCTGAAGACTGCTGTTCACAAACGCTCTCCATCCAACCTCACTGAGCTCGAGCTGTTTTGCAAGGAAGAATGGGAAAGAATTCCAGTCTCTCGATGTGCAAAACTGATAGAGACATACCCCAAGCGACTTGCAGCTGTAATTGCAGCAAAAGGTGGCGCTACAAAGTATTAGCGCAAGGGGGCCAAATAATATTGCACGCCCCACTTTTCAGTTTTTTATTTGTTAAAAAAGTTTAAATTATCCAATAAATTTCGTTCCACTTCACGATTGTGTCCCACTTGTTGTTGATTCTTGACAAAAATTTTTTTTTTTATATCTTTATGTTTGAAGCCTGAAATGTGGCGAAATGTTGAAAGGTTACTTTCGCAAGGCACTGTACTGTACCTTTGCATTATGGAAACACTGGTATGTTTGCCTCCTCTAAAGAGATTTGGGGACTTTTATTGTTTTATGTTGTCTGTTTCTAGTGTGTTGTGTCTTGTCTATTTTTTGTTCAGGACTACGAGTCTGTAATAAAGCTATCCATCCATCCATTATAAAACAATAATGTTATAAAAAGCTGTTTTATAATGTACCATAATAAACAAACAGTTTTTTCCATCCACCAAGTTTAGTCATGAATTTCTCATTTTCTCTAGACCAATCTAGTCATTTAGTTGTGAATATTTCTTATTGTTTCAAGTCATGCCACATACCCAGCATTTATAGAAAGATTCCAACAGATTTTGTTTCGTTATAAATTTCCCAGTGAGTAGAACTGAAACAGTTGACCCATTCAGACACAAAGACCCGGACAATGCTTACAAGCATATAATGTATGTAACTTTATTAAGAGCGGGACCATGGAAATGCAGGCAGTGATGCGAGCCACACTGTTCGTCATGTGAGTATTGTCGCCAGAGCAGTTTTACTCAAACTGATTGGTCAGGGACGTCAAGAGCCACAGTTGCACATATTTACATATTGAAGAATAAAACCAAAGCATCAAGAAGGATCAGAAACTTAAAGTGGCAATATGTAATATTTTTATGTCAAGTCATCATTAAATGGCCCCAATATTTCAAAAGGCATTATTAAATCAATCAATTCAGCCGAGATAATTGAATATCAAAATTAGTTTTATGACCCGTAAAAGTTGTTGTTTTCATTTCGATGTCCCACCCTCTGCCGTTTCACCAGTCAGGAAGTCTGTGATCCGGGTTGCCAGAACTCCGCGCGGCTAGCTAATCTCAGTGGTAAAATAACATGTGGCCGCAAAACTAAAAAAGGTATTGTAATGACAAAACAAAGACTAAAACAAGGATTTATATTGGGACGCCTTTGAAAAATTTAGACAATTGAGACAATTGAAGGCGGATAAAAACTTTTCGTGTGATGCAAAACTTGCTGCTTTGAGCGCGTTCTTCACAGTTAGTGAAGACAGTTAGTTTCTGCCTCGATTGTTTCAACAGTTGTGTGCGATGGTGGTCTAATGGTTGAGCCATAGCGCCAGCACCATAACGACCCGGGTTCGAGTCCGGGCTGCATCTGTTTGTATTCAATTATTCAATATTACATTCTATGACAGACCAAAAAACGATAAAAGACAAAAATCAAGACATGTTTTGCAGATTAAAGCTTATTGTAAAAAGAATAATTTGAGACCACATGTACCCCAATTGAAATAATGTTATAATGTTATAATGAATAAATATAATTGAAGGGTATATCCTCTGGAGGAAACCCTGATGTTGATACGCTGAAGAAATATGTTCCAACATCCATTCTCCTATTATGGACATCCATTGCTTATTTAGTTTGCATAATCTATGTATAATTACATTGCTTTTATTTAGTTTTTTCATCTGTAATGTTCAAATAAAAAAAATAAAAAAAACATTCATTCAACATTAGCATGCCTCATGGCGATGTGAGAGACAAACAAACAACTGATAAAATAATTCCCTGTGTTTGTTGCTGGATTTGGTGTGTATCTGGCAACCTGAGTCAGGGAGAGTGGGAGAGGACTACAAAATATTGACTGTGACTGCAGTACCACTTTTGGCCAGACTTGTATATACTGCTCCTTTAACGTGACGACGACTACTAAGTAATTGTTGCCAAGATTGCAAGGAAAACTAATAAAAACAAAACAGCAACGGTTGGTTATTATTATTATTTGTCACTGGTCTGATAATTATCCACACAGAGAGGCCCCATCTGAAGGTAGACTCAAACCCAGGATCTTCTTGCTGTGAAGCACAAGTACTAACCACCATCAACTGCCCAACTTGTAGAGTTAAATAAGAAATAATTTACCTTTAGCTCAGGACAATTACACATGAGACCATTGATACCATTTCAAATTGTGTCACTCACCTCACAACTTCAGACACAAGTCTGAGCAAATGCATTTCTAAAATGCATACATTGTGTGCGGTGTAGCCTTCATAGAGATGATTGTCAATGACTGGTTGTGGAGTTTGTTATTGGAAAGTGAGTCATAGTAAGATTTTCCAAGCCAGCTTGACAAAAGCTAAGAGAAGGCTCTAACAATTACTCGGGTACAATCAAAACTTATTTTAGGTAAGACTTGAAATTGTATTTTTTACAAACACTTGTACAATCACTGTTTGTCTGAAACACCTTGGCCTCTCTGGTGCTGTCCTCAAAGGGTTAACCACTTATCACAGATAGAACATTCATTGAACGTCTGGATACTTAATAACTTGATTCTCTCTGGTCCATAAAATCGCATGTAGTTTGTCCCAGGGTTCGATTTTAGGTCCAGTCCTTTTTTACTTAAACATGTTTGTATATTGTCATGGACCTCATTAGCTGCAGCAAGCTAAAGCTGTTCTTCCTGGGGACCCAGCTCTTATCTTCCATAGTTCTTCATGTCTCCTGATGACGCCACCCCAATGTATGCTCTTTTTAACTGCATTTTAGACTTCAAATCCTAGATGGACAAAGCTCAAAGCACATTCTTTTAATCCAGAGATTACTTTGAGATTACCTTTATCCTTCACACTAAGAATGTCAGAAAAAGAGGTTTCTATGATTTAAAGAACAAAGCCAGTGTGCTCCACTCTCTCTCGGGTCAACACTTTGGAAAGGGTTAGAAGATTCTGAATGTACTTGATTCTTTTAAAAAAATCAAAGTTTATGGGACCAATGCATTTTGACACATTTTAATTTCAAGATAACTGCCGATTCATGCTTTTACCACTGGTCGAATACTAGACTCAACCCATTTCCTCAAGTCTTCAAGCCCTGGGTAAATGCGTTGACGGCCATGTAGGATGATTTGGGTTGTTTTTTTACCAACTGTACTGCACTTAGGTTTACACCTTTTGTAAGGCACTTTATGAATAAAATGTGATTGAATGAATGATTGATACATTCAGAGAAGAGGAATGACATGTGTTGTTGTGATAAAAAGTGCCTTTACCTGGCGCAGAGACGCTGCAAAGGCCTCGTGTGAACTATTGAGCTTTGTCCTGAACTGGGAGCAGATGCTTCTGGCCAGTTTGGCAGCGCTCAGACTCTCGATGGCGTCCTGTGCCACTTTACGTTTCCACTCTGGAGAAATTGCCGGTGGATTCACGAAGGTTATCCGATGAATTATCTAGAACCATAAAAATACACACATTGTAGCAAATCTTTATTAATTACATTTCAAAATGTAATTTAGTTGTGCTAATGATAAAGACCTGTTTAATTTGTTCCCACACAAAGCGCGTTACGGAGGAGCCCGAGTGAAAGGTGACCTCCACGTGATACGCAGCGTTGAGTAACTGTCACAAAAACAAAACAAAAACAATGGAATCAAGTTGGAACATTAGGTTTTTAACTCGCCTGTTAAATTGCTTCAAACTTCACACACCAAGATAAACAGACATTAAATGGTTCTAAATGTAGGCATTTTTCTTTTTTTACTTTCTCCTAGTCTGTAAATGGTGAGATTCTCTATCATCGATTACATCTTTTACATTCGGTGGAGAGTTTTCAGATGCCATGTTTTGGGTTGCAGGATGCTGGTTTTAGTCAGACAGCATGTGCCTTCATCCGTGTCTGGCTTAACTATGCACAATATATAGTAATTCAATAAGTCACGTGAAGTGTTTGCCTGTGTGCAAAAATGTATCTACATAATTAATTCAATCACTCCATCAAGAAACTAAACTAAAAAATTAACTAAGAACTGGGGCAAAATCTAAATATGGAGTTAGAAAAACTATTTAGTCTCTAGATGTGCAAAAGAGAGCCACTTAATGGAACAATAATGAAATCATGCATCATTTTGCTTTCACTTCACATTTGAAAATAGTTTGGGCACTCCTTTCAATTAGTAAGATTTTGATTATAAATCATTGGTCGTTTGGGTAAGATTTACTTTATAATGCAGTCTGTAGATTTGTTCTAAGATGTCCTTTCACGACCCACCACTGTACTCTTTATGACCGACTGAACTGGCTGCAGGCAAAGGAAAGGAGACTTTATCATTGGTACATTTTTGTCTTTAAATGTGTCAATGGTTCTAGTCAATGCCCCCCCATCTCCTCTTCATATGCTACCTCTTCATATGCACCGAGACATCTACAGCATGTCACTCTCATTACTCCCAGAATACATTGGGATTGGGAAATACGCTTTCTGCTACAGAGCCCCTGAGGACTGGAACAATCTCCCAGTTTCGATAAAAAACTATTTCCTCGCTTATCAGTGTTAAAACTGCTTTAGTTACACACCTTAAGTCGCCATGTGATGTTTTAAGCGTTCAAGGCATAAATAAATAAAAGTAATAACTGTACCCGAAGTTACTGAAGGAGCGGATGTGGACAAGGTTTTGAGATGGGCATGGTGGGGAATGGTTATTTTTTATTTATTATTATTAATATATATATATATTTTTTTTTTTTTTCTTTCTTTCTTTATGTACTGTATGTGCTTATTGTCTTGTCTGTCTTTGTGGTCATGTATGTAACTTGTTTTATAACCGGACCCCCTCGAAAAAGAGATGATTCATCTCAAGGGGCCATCCACAATAAATAAATAAATAAAATGTCAGTAAATTATATCCTGTAGGAGACAAACACAGCGATATTTGAGAAGTGATATAAAGTTTGTGTCATTCACAGAAAGTGTGCAAGAATGATTTAAACCATACCACATTAAATCACAAATCAAATAAACAAATAAAAAGCTCATAAAAGGATAGAGGCACAAATACGGATTGTGAATTTGAGACGTTCCGGGTGGTTGCGGACCTGTTTGAGGTGGTTGGAGGTGACGTTGTGCACGGATGAATCCATGTTGGACTTCTCTAAACTGTCGAGGCAGCGCTCCAAAGTGCCCACGAAGCTCTCTCGCAGATAATCCACGGAGCTGGTGAGTTTGTTGGCCACCGCCTGGTTCAGCTGCACCACGATCAGCTCCTGGATCTGGTGAATGCACGACTTGATCTCCTTTGACGTGACGGCCTCTCCGCTCGTAGTGACAATAATATCTGAAGAAGTAGCAGAACCCCAAAAACAAAGATATTTTATTGGATTTTTGTGAAAGACCGACAACAAAGTGGCAGACAATTGTTAATTCAATTCTATTCTATTTTTGTATAGCCCTAAATCAGTTATCTCGGAACCGTTGAATTAGCAAACACAGATGCGAGAATCAAATCGTTCAAACACTCGAAATGCAATGATTAAAAAAACACACAAGGGGCAGATGACCAATGTCCATAAATGTCATTGAATGTTGAGTGTCCAGGATAATGAGCAAAATCATAATTGCACGTACATTTTGTAACCTCTTACAGCTAATGCAGTGAGGAAATAAAGGTTTTAAATAATTTAATAAAGTCTCGACTCATTTGAACAGATGTTGCGGAATGTAACAAACTGAGTAATCTCTCACACACACACCGCATAAAAGCTTATCAAAATAAATCTGATTTTAAATCTGATTTTCAAATGTCTTTGATTACATTTGACATGGGACTGGAGAGTATGCTTCCAATTTTTGTACAAAACATCTTTTCTGCACAAATGATAAAGTTCAATTTAGCCAAATTAATTAAATTAAGACAGCCATTACAATTTCAAAGGGATTTATTTAAAACACACATTTGTATGTCCCCTACTTTGAGGAAGAATACGAGTCTACACTTTAGTGCCATTTCTTCTTGTGATAATAGTGCTTGGTCAAGGCATTTTTCTATGAATGTGATTTTGACAGATTTGTAGTTGAGTAACCCATGTAATTGAGTAATTTGGGGTTTTCCAGTTCAAGTCCAAATATGCATATGCCTAATAAAATATATTTTTAGGTAAAGCCTCAAACCAGATTACATTGAGAGAACAAGATTATACAAACCTGTGAATTCAAGGTTGGCTGCATCGTCCAAAAGCTGCTCCTTCATGCTGCTGAGCGTCTCAACAATCATCTCCTTCATTTCCTCTTGTTTGCGGTTTGCGATGGCCATGAGGGAGGAAAAGAGCTCACCCTCCTTCTCCCGGGTGTACTCCAGTCTGCGGGGTGTAATCTGGAGGTCCCGCTGCATGTCGAAGGCCTGTGGAGAGACAGAGTCATTTTGGAATTTCTGCTCAGAATATAATAATGTGGACACAAAGGTGTAAGTCACATGTTAGATCAGGGGTGTCAAACTCATTTTGGACGAGGGCCAAGCGTAAAAACATAAGAGCTGGTTAGAGCTAGAAGTATAAAAATGTTTACTTTTATCATTGTCATTTTTTATTTTTACATATTTTTGTATTTTGACAAGTTAATTGTATACCACGTGGGTTTTGATATTATTATCCAGTAGATTTTAATGAAATTACAACTGGGCCAAATATCAAAAATAGATAATTGACGGTAATTGACGATTCATTGTTAAAGGAGATATACCAGTTTCTGCAAGATTTGAAAAAATTAGGTATAGCTTCTTTAAATCCATCTTTGGATAAACTTCAATTCTAATTAGAGTTAACATTAGAAAAGATAATTCTTGATAAATCAATCTTTAAAATGAAGTATAACATGCTATAGTTGGCCATTACCATCTATGATACAAGTTACTGGAATAATGATAATTCAAAATCATTTCAGAGATTTGAGTTTGACATGTCTGCGTTAGATCAAACCTGGTTGATGAAGATGTCCAGGCAGCGACAGTGCAGCCCGTTGAGCACGTTAGCAGCCTCCACCTGTTGGTTCTGCAGCACTTGTCGGGCAAAAGGAACGAGCAGTCGGTGCAGCCGATCAAAGCCTTCTCCCAGCATGCTCTGGGGCTTGGCTCCTGGAGCAAGTGCTTGACTGGCACCACAAGAGCAGTTTCCTGACGACCCACTGAGCAGACCCAAAGACAGCAGCTGTTTGTGCAGGGAGCTCTTCTCTTTGTCCTTTTCTGGGCGATGTGCAGGGTCAGGGGGCACGACTGTGGAGGTGTCGGGGGCCCGGATGAAGCAGACAGGATAAGGAAGGATCTCTTTAACTTTTCGGAGTTCGCACACCTGCTCTGTGCTCAGTGTGTCCTGGTTAATGGCATACAGGATGATCGGAATCACGCCGCGACTGTAGTCCTCCAGGGCCTCTTCAATGGGCTGAATGTTAGGGCACGGGACCACCATTACTTTTGCTTCCTAAAAGTACAGAAAACGTTGTCAAACCTTATCCTCATGCTTCAAAACTGTCACTCTTTGCTAAAAATAAATATGTATATGGTCAGTGCTTATGCAGCAGTAACCCTGAGCAAAAGTCAAATGTTTATAAAAACACAAAGCAATATTAATAGTGATCCTGGAGGAGGGCAGACCACAACATTTGCACATTTGAAGGTTTGTTTAACCCTTTTTGAAAAACAACTAGAAATAGACTGATGCTGAGACCCTGAGTCAGAAAGCAGCAGCACAAAGGCGACAGTCAGTCCCGTCTCCGAGAAAAAAGCCTTTTGGAGCACTCCCCTGTTACAAAGATGGACTGAAAACACTAGACTAGAAACAAAAATAGGCCCAGTTTGAACAGCCCTGAACCACAACAAACGATAGAGGCATTTGTGTGTTTTCTTTGCTCTTCATTATTATAAGAAAGATATAGACATAGATATAATTAATGATGTCAGTAATAAACACCTTTGTGACCTTGCTAAATTTACAACAAGGATCTGATAATGAGCCGAGCACCACTGGTCATTGCTCACATCCATAAACTTCTAACCAGAAAGCATTTCAGAAATAACTGAATAGGTCATGACCTATGTCCTCTGGGTTACAGGGTGATTAAGTTCTGGTTGGGAAACTTGGTACATTTCTGGGATAAAGCTAATTAGCACTTGGGTTTATATCTGCTAGTCTCAATAGAAGGGTCGCTGTAGCAGTGAGGTGTGACAGTCACAGTGAGCAGAGAGATTCTTAAGCTTCAGTCACAAACAAATAATTCCGATATTACAACTAGGGCCTCAACACTTATTGCACAAATAGTGACTACTTTACACATTGTAGAGATGTTTTTGCATGCACTGTACATTTTACCATAAAGAGTCTAAAGGCAGTGCAATATTATTGAATCAAAGCATAAAACAAATCGTTTATAAACAAAAACAATTAATTTTATTCCTGAGTATTATTCACGTCAGTTACAAATCTAAATTACTTTCTTGATAAATCCATTCAAAGTGTGAAATAGTGTAATGTGACTTCAACTCATGACGATATAAGACAGGTGAAACTCTAAATCTCTATTCAAATTTTCTATCTCAACTTAAAATGTAATAATAATAATGCATCGGTTTTGAAATAGTGCTTTTTTGGACACTCAAAGACTCTTTACATGTCATTATTAATTCACTCCATACACAGTGGTGATAAACTACCACTGTAGCCACAGCTGCCCTGGGGCACACTGACAGAAGCGAGGCAACCAGTAAGCGCCATCGGCCCCTCCGACCACCAAGTACCATTCACACACACACCAGACTCATTCTAGGCAATGGGGGTAAAGTGTCTTGCCTAAGGACACAACGGCAGTTTGGCACTTTACAGCCGCAGCCACTTATACTTGTACTTTGCATGTTATGAGTCTGTCATATTAGATTAACATTTTACTCATTTTGAAGGATATTCTACTGGAGTAAGGATTCGTACATCAATACCTACAGATTGGGTGCGTAGGACGAGAGGCCTGTATAGCCTAATGTCAAAGAGAGAAATCACGCACACCGTCTTACTTCCTGGTGCTCTTTTCATGTTTGCTTGATGAAGGCATAACCGAAACGTCGCAGCACTTAAAATAAATAATTTTTATTTGCAAGAAAGACTGTGTGAAAATATTATAAAAGAGGATATTCCTTTAAAGAATGAATTCAGAAAAACTACTTAAAAAAATAAATACTAAATGTCAAAAACAAGTCATTTTGAAGGAAGTAAGAAATTTAGAGCACAAGAACAGCAAGTGTCCATGGCTGTAATCATGGCAACTTCATCCCAGCAAAGGGGTGTTTTTTTTTTTTTTTTTACAAGTCCAGGGAAGTCATGTGAATCACACCAGACCAGCAACATTACGTAAGGGGGCAGGGCGGGTGGGCTGCCCCAGGACACTGCTCGGCCTAGTTTGTGGGGGAGAATGATGCTAGAAATAGCCCTTGCTTTAAAGGATTTAAGCCCAATTTCTACGTGTCACCCCTGATAAGAAGTGACTACAATCCTCACACCGGGAAAAACCCATTCACTCCTACAAGAGGTTTTACTTTTCAAGTTGCATCGACCAAATACCACAGTTAAGGGGAGAGGTCTTTCAGCAAGAGGCAAAATAGAAATACAAACTTGAGTGAAGGGATTGCAGGAGTACTGCACTGGATCAAATAAAGTAAAAACACTTACAGCTGCTCATCCAACTCGTGGGTTTGAGAAAACTGTTGAAATGAAAGAAATGGAGAAGGAATGAAATGAATGAAATGGAGAAGGAGGCACTCTGAAAACTGTGTTCTTTATCATTTGAAATTATAAAGAACACAGTTTTCAGAGTGCCTCCTTCTCCATTTCTTTCATTCCAACAGAAATACAAACTTCTTTGAAAGCAAGCTAAAAAAGATGTTATTACTCTTGAAAAGACTAAACTCTGCTGTGAGCAAACTTCTCCAACACGACTATTGGGGGAAAAGTCACATGGCCTCGTGCCAACAGCATAATACACACAGGATAATTATAAATAATTTACTTAAAACAAAAACCTCATGTGGATTTACATGCACTGAACTTTCACCGTAATGAAAACAAGTTCTTCTGATAAACTGCAGCTGATGAGTGACTAATATGTTCACGTTTTTAGTTGTATGGGAAACCCCCGTAAGCATGAGGAGGACATGAAAACTCCACTCAGAAATATGTACTTATTTTGCAGGTTAGTTTTGTAGAAGACCGTCACGACCGTGTCTTGGTAGGTTTTCAGTTGTGTCACTCTCTTTGCATTTGCACATGGTGGACTGAGTGCTTGGATGGCAAGCTAGCAAACATTTTCATGAATTGTACTCACGCGTCACAGGACAAAAACATATCTACACGTAATTACGTTACACTCTGCAATCGAAAAAGGCAAAAGGCGCCTCTGGTGTAAATAATGACATTCTCTACGGCCGTCTTCTTTTACGCACACGTTATGCAAGTCGTATGTGTGTGTAATTAATCAAATTACAGCAACAAATATGATTCATCTATTGGATAAGATTACATGCAAATGGTGTAAACATCCAGTATGAGATTATAAACAAGTCTTACAATTACCTTTATTAATTATTCACCATCATTCTGATTTATTTGTACATCAGTATCATGGTCTTGTTTTCAAGACTTGGGTGTGCCAATACGACCAAATTCACTTTTTTTTTTTAACCATGAAATACAAAATTGAAGCAACATAATAGGTTTGTAAGGCCATTATGAAGGGGGAGTTCATAGAATCATTTGTAAACGCTCTTTATAACTATTTTTTCATTTTCAAAATATAAATTGTACTAGTTTCCGTCTGTAGTAGAGAAGTCTCGTCAATTACTTGTTATTTCAGTAGTATTTGTGCTTACCTGTAGCAGTGGGTGGTGCAGGGTGATTTCCAGCTCTGCCAGCCTGTGAGCCGGGTCCTCACACTCCTCATGAATCTCCAGGTCCTCTCGTGGCACAGTGTCCCAGCGCCCACAATTGGCCCTGAGCTGATGAACCAGCTCGTACTGTCCGGGTAAGGCCAGACTGAGCCGTGTCTGTCTCCCATAACTGAAACACAGTTTACGTCTCTTGCACACTGTGCCCTGGACGCCCTCACAGGCCTCTCCGGCCTCCGGGCCCAGGGGTAAAAGCCTCTCTCCGAGGAAGCAGTTCAGAAGTTGGTACCGAGCAGCACAGTCCTGTCCCAGGATGATCACATAGGGGGCAGCACCCACTGTGTTTCTGAGAAACTCTTCTTCATGAGGGGGGAATGCAATACAACTGAGCTGCCCTGGAGAAGAGAAAACAAGGCATTACATAAAGTTCCCAGTAACTATTTTAAGAGAGACACGTAATATTATTAGGAATATCCACAGGACAACAGAATAACAAGTGTTATTCAATCTTATGCCATTGGCTATCCATTCCCAATTTAGTCCTCAGAAGTGGACTACAAACAGAAGAATCAATTCAGCTCCTTTATTAGGGGCACTCGGCATAATCCTTAGTGATGCTGAGTCACAGTCTCAAGCACTTGTATAACAAAGAACACACACAGCTCTGCAGTGCCCTACTTTGTACATCACTTTCTTATTCTGTTGTGTGTGCTGTCCTGTTTACACCCATAAAGACCAGGGGATAAAACTTTACAGAAAAAAATTCTCCTGTACAAACAAAATTCCTTGAATGTAATTTTTGAGCACAAATTATTTTCAGTCTTATCTTTGGCACAAGTTTTTTGACCAAATCATTTATTTATAATTTATGTTATGACATACACTTGTTTCTATGTATGCACACGTTATTTAAAAAAAAAAACCCCTTGACAGAAGGTTTGTAAAAAATCAGAATTAAATTAAAAACACAATATTCTTGTTTGTTTTAGCAATTACTTGACTCATACAGATCCAGAAAGCATAAGAAATATATACTTTGTTGTAATTGAATTACAGATGATATAATAGTTATGTTTAGTAAGTATATATAGTAAATGTGTTTTACTTTCCCTTTCCATTATGAGGAGACAAGTAGAACTGATTGACAATGTTTATGCTCGCTGAGCTATAACTAGACCATGTCCTTCATAATAGTGTGGGATGAACAGGTGGAGACCTACCTGCTTCAAAGGAGGCTGACTCCGTGCCCATGGTGGATGCACATGCATTACTGTAGTTTTGTCTTATTTCCCTGAAGAAAGCATTGGTCTCCTTCAAGTTAATCTTGAGTTGGATGGAGTGCTTGTTGTAGCTGTTGATAATTCTCGTCAGCTCCCGGGCTAATGGGGTACTTTTCTGCGGTGGTGCTGTACCTTCCATAGTGACAGACGTGAGCTGGACCAGAGTGCAGTCCTGGCGTAGAAGTTATGCAGTAATTTGTGTTATTAAAGTTACTAAGCAATGCTAACTAACCTCAGCAGTGCCAGTACAGATGTTTAAGACATTTATCAAACAAGCCAAGAAGCATTCTAGTAAACAACTAACACGAAAAAGACGTTTACAATAAGCTGAGGATCAAGTATTTATGGCAGTGCCATTCGTGCCAAGGCTCGCCCACAGCTAGCTTTAGCTCGGAGGCATCTGCCCGAGCTCCTAGCCTGGCACAGCAAACATGTCTTCAGTCTTTACGCGTTAAATCCTGTGTTCAGTGTAAAAAAGCATCTAGATCCAAGCTCACAGCGTCTCCTCGCTGTGTGTCAAAGGCCGTGTTTAGCTAATATTCCTCCGGGGATGTCTTCCTCCTACAGCCGCAGAGCCCAGTGGACATCCCCCGTCTCCTCCACCGGGAAGAGCGCACCTAAGGGCGGACACTGACAGACGAGTGGCCGCTAGACACCCACACATGCACGGGTCCGAGCACAGGGCAAGACAAGGAAAGGCCGACAAGTCAAATCAGTGCTAAACACAAACTTGACAGAAAAAAACAGTTCAGAAAGTCTCATGGGCGGGGCTCGTATGGCGCAGTTCCTTGTGGGAAATGTAGGCGGTTTGGCTAGCTAGCTGAAAGCTGTTGTGTTCATGGATTTATTATGGTATGGTGCATGGATGTGAATTGTCTTTTATTCATTGTTAGATATTTATAAAGGTCGTGTTACGTTATCCTTACCCACAGTGTTTTAAATGATTATTCCACTATGTTGTCCATGGTTGTTCCACTCTAAATTTAGTTATGGCCATGTCCACACTGAAGTAGATGCTTAAATTTGAGACTTATAGCGCCATCATGTGACAATGCACTGCACATTCATAAACAAATAATAATAATGATGCATCGGTTTAATGCATAGACTGTAAATATTATTTAAGGCTGCGCTTTTTTGAACGTGGAGTGTCATTATTCTTTCTCTCCAGACATGGTGGTGATAACACTACCCATGCAGCCACAGCTACCCTGGGGCACACTGACAGAAGAGAGGCAACCAGTCTGTGCTATCAGCCCCTCCGACCACCACTTCACGGACACACCAGACTCAGCCTAGGCGATTTGGGGAAGCGTCTGCCCCAGCTGCCCCACTGTGGCACCCATAGACTGTATGTATTACATGGCACCTGGTGTTCTCAGAGGTCTTGCATCCCAGTTCTAACCAGACCTTATAGCTTTAAAGGTTTGGCAGGGTCTGGCTTTCACATGCAGGAATGGCCAAAAACATACATTTTTCAAAACATCATGTGTTGAAATTGATTAAATATCTATTGATTATGTATTTGTTTGTAATCCCAAATGATTCACTCAACTACCCTAAACAAACACATATTACACTTCCATTGGTAAATTCATAAGTTTTGAGTAGGCTACATTTGCATGATGCAATCAACCATGACAATGATAAATCTAAACACATGGCCAATCTGGGATAACTGGGATTTTGTCATTTGCAAATTATTTTGTTTTGTGGAAAGTCAAGTTTAACAAATCATTGTGAGGGAATGGCTTCAATCAGTCAATTGTATCTTTTATTTCAGTAAATAAAAGTGATTGTATAAAAATTTAATTAAATGTGCATGGATATTATCATACATCATACATCCATTGCATGGATCTGTTGTACGTATGAAGCTAAAGCGGAAATTCAGCCTGGAAGACAGGAAGAACTAAACTCGTGTGCTCAAGTCTGGAACAAGTATTCAGTCAAACACACTCACCCTGTATCAAGCGTCATGTCATACAGGAATCCTTCATTCAACAACTTACAGTCTATAGCATGAGTGTCAAAGTCAATGCTGGGGGCCAGATCCGGCCCACGAATGAATTATCTTGGCCCCTGGGATGATATTTGATTGGTATTAGAACCGGCCCACAAAGAGTCTGAAGAGAAGAGAATATTGGAAATAATCATTTAATGTTCAGGACATGTGTTTTCTGAAGTAAGTTTGTTTTTGTCTGTGAGCCTGTTGAAAAATACTGGATTATTCATCTAATTATATGAATATAATTAGATGAATAATCCAGTATTTTTACCATGGTACACTGTGTGAGTTCTTGGTTCAATAGGCTATATGCAATCATTATAATGTTTTAATAAACATTAAACCAGTCCGACCCTCGGCTTGTAGAAAATGTGTTTTTTGGCCCTCTGTTATATTTGACTTTGACATCCCTGGTCTATAGCAACAACACTCCTTCTCGTCAGCCGGACTAGTTTCACCCTTCTCATAGTTTCCATCATCATGAGGGACTAGGCCCCAGGGGATTTTATCTCAACTTCTGTGTTTCCATTCCCCCTTCTGCAATCATCATGCAGTGCTCTGCTGGGTCTAAGTGCCAAATTACAACCACATTTTTTTGTACAGCATGCAATGAATGTAGTCTCGCAAACATTTTACCTAGCGTCAGACTGATTGCCAACCAATTTACAATTCTAATAAAACCCCTGTTTTGCCAATTCGAGTCTCTCTAGTCTATGGTTTCTCTAGGTTAAAGTAACAATTTAAACCAGTGATTCTCAAAGTGTGGTACCACCCCGTGTACCACTGCTTCTTTAGTGGTACGCCAAAGAATCACTGAAATAATTTTTTTAAATAATTGAATGAATTAATATTTTTTTATTCAACTTTTATTTAACCAGGAAAGTCCCATTGAGATTAAAAACCTGTTTTTCAAGGGAGTCTTGGACAAAAATTACATACACTTACAGATTATAAAACAGTTACATACAATTACAGATTATAAAACAGTTACATACAATTACAGATTATAACACATACAAATTCATAAAATTACGGATTATAAAAACAGTTACATTTCAATGGGGATGTCTCAAGTGCTCTCAATCTGGATCTAAAAGCAATCAATGAAATAAATTCAGATAATTTGCAGTCTTTTTGCAACATGTTCCATGTAGAAGGAGCAGCATATACAAAAACTTTTTTCCCAGTTCTGTGCAAAAGGAACAGAGTAACAAAAGATCATTTGATCGCAAACCATATGGACCAACATCTCTTTGTGTGATAAATGGCAGATGTAAGAGGGCAGCAGACCGAGCCTTATAAACAAAAGTGCACCAGAGTCCAAACCTTCTGGTGGACAAAGAAGGCCATCCCACTCCAGAATATCATTCACAGTGGTAAGTCAAGGCTTTGCAGTTCGTAATGAATTGACCATTTTAATTTAATCATTATTTAAGTTCAGTTTTAAATGTTTTCCCTATATTTAAGCGTAGTCTTACGGTTGAAACTGTGTAAAATGTTACAATGACTGACAATATTAAACATACTTCTTTAGGAATTAAACCTCTGCCTTTTTTTATGAATACTTAGGCTTACTACGCTACTGTAGTGTTTGTCATTTGTGGTGGTACTTGGAGAGGCAAGTATTTTCTGAGGTGGTACTTGGTGTAAAAAGTTTGAGAAACACTGTTTTAAACAATACAGCAGTTGTGAACGTACTGCCCTCTAGTGATAAATGTAGGTTAGATCACAGACAACTGAAACGTCACTGCATGGAATGGATGCATTATAATGGTGTAACAACATGGGAGACACAACAGTAACTGCTCACTATAGTATATTCATTTTAAGTAGCTCAGTGGTGTAATTGCTCACATCAAATATTTGTTAGATATATTACTAGTTACAATCAGAGTAACTAAAGTTACATCCAGATGTATTCATTTAATTGCAAATTTCACTTATTCCCACATTGTTTACAAGATCTTTCCGCTCCTGAAACGGAAAAGGTATTTAAAACAAATACATCGAACAGTGTGACAAGTCTGAGAGTGACGCAAAGTAACAGTATCAGTATCAGTATCAGTAACATTCTGCAACATTGTAAAACAACCGTTTTACATGTTCATCACTTACTTTAATTTAAAAAGGTATCTACGACTTACTATCAATATAAAAAACAGGTACTGTATAAAACATACATGATCAAACATTGCTTCAAGGATAGGTAAATAAAGACAATAAAGAACCAAAGTCTCATTACGCGCTTGCTGCGGCTTTCAGCGTACACCGAAAAGGCGCGTTCATCAAGATGAATAAAATCCATATAGTTACGGAACCACTACCCTACATTTGCATATACACCGTGTCCACGAGACCACTAAAATGTAAATACACCTTGGACGTACCCATTGACTGTATATATTCCGCATCACATAATGCATATTAAAAGTAGGCTGGACTCGTTGGTTATCCGGTCTGCCCAGAGCTATAAATGGAGCGCTCCTCTTTTACCTGAGACGCCTCTTCGACACTAGACCATTGGCCACACTGCTGCACACACAACCAGCCACCAGTGCCGAGGGGAGCACGCTTCTCCGATACTTTCAATCTCTTTTCCCTCCTATATACTTTAAACGTCTTTTAATATTAGTGCCAGTACCATAGCTTCAAGCCAAGATGGATGTGTTGGGTTTACGGCGATTGTCTGCGAGCAGTTGCACTTTATCTATTGACGAGACCAAAACGATGACCAAACGCCAGGCTGTGAAGCGGCACCATCACAAACACAACCTGAAGCACAGATACGAGTTCATGGAAACTCTCGGCAAAGGAACCTACGGGAAAGTTAAGAAAGCCCAGGAGCGCTCGGGAAGACTGGTGAGACGCTGTACACTTTATAATAAACCCACTCATTCAACAGCTTTTAGATTTGGCTTCACTGCTCCGTGCTTTTGAGTGGCCACCTGTTGTCTGGATGGGTCACTATTTATAGGAGAATGACAGACTGCGCACAGGTATGGGTTTGAGAGGGGTTTTACTTATAGGTATGTATGAGGATTTTCCCAAATGTTAAGACAGAACCGCCCTTTCCACTTTTTTACAAAACACTCACACAGGAGAAATGTACATGTCACGTCTGGCATGGATAGAAACACTCAAGATTGTGCAAAAGAAATGTGCAAACATGTTAAATGCAGGATATATATGTACAATAAAAAGTGGCAATTCAAAAGCAATCAAGAAATAGTGTCAATAAGTAGTGCAGGTTCTTTCAGTCCTAATGCAAGTGACTTATAAGAGTATGATGATCACCAGAATGATTGACAAGTGGGAGAACCAATAGTCTTGATGATCCACCCTCAAGTAGCAAAATACTCCTTTATACCTTTTTAAAGAAAAAAAACCCGCTAGTGTCTACTTTAAGCTCGTTACTAGAAGCCAAAGCCCAGTTTCTGTGTGCAAAGTAACAAAAGAGTAAATGTCATGTTTGCACAGAGGGACAAACTTTGGAGATCAACCAAAGTCATCAACCCCAAAAGATCAAAACATCTGCCACATCAACTTTTATCTTATCTCTTGGAATTTCTAATCTTTTTGTTTTGTTTTGTTATCATAACGTTTAATTCTGTTGTAATTGTTGCTATTATACCAGGAGCTAATTATTCTATACCAGATAATAGTAAGCCTGGTATAGACAAACCAATATCTTTATTGAACCTTCCTAAACATTCCCCAAATTTAAAACACTTTCCCCAAGTAATAGTAAAATAATATTAATTCATAATTAAAGGCATGCAACACACATTATAACCACGTTTCACCCTTATTATTCAACCTATTATTGCTCACTCATTACAGTGTTTTGGTATGTGTGATTGCATTTGTAGAAAACTAGGCTTTCAGGTAGTTTCCCAGCGGCTGCAATGACCTCAAGAGAAACTAGAGTCAATTAAAATAAAGTGGGTATGAGATTATCCTTAAAGGAACTATGTCAAAGGCTGCAGATAATCTCAGAATTTTATTACAGCTGCTGTTGTAGAGTTTGTTACATGCTGGAAATGAACCATGTTTGGCCCAATCGTTTATATTGTCCACCAAACTTGGGTTTGAATGAAGCTATTTCTTAACTTAGTTTTCAGTATATTATAACTTTCACAAGATTTGCCCGCAAAAATACGGTTCTGTCCTATTTAAGCATTTTTTATTATTTTTTCATTGAGGTTTTACTTTTGTTTTAACACTTTTGTTCTTCTCTGTCATAACGGCTCATAGCTGTCATGACTTTCTAGTTCACGTTGATCAGACATGTAGGTTCTGGTTCTAAGTATGAACCATTGACAGTGACTAAACATGGCTCGGCTGCAGTCGACTTATCAGTAATAGTCATAACAATGTCACAAAGGCTGTGAGGGAAAGTTGAGGAGAGCGTTGAGAGGAATTTCCCCTGTACCTGCTGCTGTTTGGGTACAGTCTGGAACACGCCCATGGTCCTGGCATGGCTTGACTTGCTTATGTGTTTTTACAGGAAATAACTGAGAGGCCTGGGAGTTATCAAGTCTTCCTTCCCCCTCTGTCTGCTCTGTCACTGTTAAAATACTGATTAGACCTCCATCTCAGTCTGGTTGATTAAAAAAAAGAAAGGGATGGATTAAGTTTGTTGTCCTTTTGTTAGTTTGTTATGTTCCTCTCCTTTTACTGGACAATGGTGTGTTATCCGAAACAGGCAGTGACGCATTACAGAGAATGGCTTCATCTCGCGTGCTATTGCTCGATGACAACAGCTGCTGTCATTGTCTTCTTACCGCAAAAGTCCAATTATGCAACTTGCTTAGTGTAAGAGGAGGATGCAGTAAACAAACTAATACAAAGCCCCAAGCTTTAGCCACAGGATGAATATGAACAAAATAATACTTTGAATTTACCAATAACTGCTGGACATAGCAGTCTCATTTATTAAGTTAACTTGATATAATGTAAGGGCAAAAGATAATGCACAAATGTTCTGGTCTTTCAGTTTGGGATTTGCATGTTCTCTTTGTGTCTGCATTGGTGCCTTGATTCCCCGCCCACTAAAATACTTAGTTGTTCAGGGTGAATGAGTGCGTGTTTGTAAGTGGGATAGTAGGACAATGGATTTGCTACATTCATTAGATTTGGTTACAATCCAGAAAGGTGTGTTCATTAACATACACTGTTCCAACCAAAGACACGATAAATATATATATATTAATACATACTGTCCCTTTTTTTTTCAAATTTAGACAAATCTAAATAGAATGAAAATCTTTGAAACTAACAGATATGCAACCATGTGTCCCTTGTCAATCGGTCGACTGTGAACCTCACGTGAAACTGTGAAATATGTCTGGATTGGTCCAGAACAGTCATAAATTCATCCCTGAAGTGCTTCTTACGTAGGGGCTTTGAGATCTGCTCAGACAGTCGCAACACTCACTCGGGTGTGAACGCATCATAAGCAGAGCTACTCACCGCCCTGTCAGTAGGGCAAACAAACGCAGGAAGTTTAGGTTCTTCCAAAAAGGCGAAAAGGTCAGCGGACACAGTGCTGCCGAGCGACCAGACGGTGAGTCACAGGCTGAGCTGACGCTGGCATGACAAGGTGCTGCACTGCTAAGCTTTTGTCTGCCGCTTTGAGCCCCTTTTGATGAGCTCAAGAGGACACCCCACCACCACCTCCCCTTTCCATCTGCTGCCGACACCTTTTAACCTTGGGGTGGGGGGGAAATTTGTGACTCACTCATGGACATTGGAATCCCAGGCATCTGAGCTTAAAATTCACAGCAATGTTAAGGATTCTTGTTGGCGACGCATGACCTCTCATCTCATGTGGATAACTCGTGTAATAAATTGCAGACAAAAGACAAGACTCTTGCAGACAATAATTATTATTTGTCCCCCAGTGGGGAAATTTCAGTGTTGCATCACCGGATACAGAACAGTAGGAATGAGGAGCACACAACACACAAAAAATGATAACTCTATACTAAAATTGAAACAAAATCTCAAGCTTTTGCATAGTAAAGAAGCAAGTATAATTTACTTTATATTCTAGTGCAAGAAATGTATAGCTGTATGGATACATCTGTACATGTTAGCAGAATGAAGTAAGTTGATAGTGGATACATTTGGTTCTATATTGCATTCTGAGATTATTAAAAAGTCCTAAGGCGCCACTGGGAGTTCATATTTCCTTTGCTACACGAGTAACATTCAACCAATTGTTTGTAATGGATTACAAACAAGTTACAAGTTATCACAATTGTGTACCTTGTTGGAAAGTGAATATACAGTATACATGACCTAATGCAGTAATGTCAGTATTGTCTTTGTGTTCCCAGGTTGCTATAAAATCCATCAGAAAAGAAAAAATCAAAGATGAGCAAGATCTTGTGCACATCCGTCGAGAAATCGAGATAATGTCATCTCTGTGTCATCCGCATATAATCACCATTTATGAAGGTATGTATATAAAAGTATATTGGCTTAATTATTATTATTGGCTTATCTAGTCTATCTGTTTGTGTGTGGGATGCTTCCTCTGCAACATGTGCTGCAAGAAACGTGACAGCTGTCAAAAGGTGCCTCTCCATCAGGCTTGGTTTCTGGAGTCACGCACATCTTTTTGTGGTCAGCGGGGATTACATAAGCAGCAACGGCCAGTTAGACAAAGTTATTGTGTGTCTTCGGTGTGGTGCAAACTGGAAAGATAGCCATTTCTCTGTGTTCCTGCTTATTTTACTGTGAACTATGGGATTGCATAATAAAATGTAGCCAGCAACCAACCGTTTCTGTGTCTTGCCTAATTGGGAGTGTGTTTGGTTTTGCAGTCTTTGAAAACAAGGACAAAATTGTGATCGTGATGGAGTATGCCAGTCGAGGAGACCTTTACGACTACATCTGTGACAAAAGAAACCTCTCAGAACGTGAGGCCAGACACTTCTTCAGGCAGATAGTGTCGGCTGTCCACTACTGTCATCAGGTAAGCGTAATCTAAAGCAGAAAAACAGGTTTTAGCGTAGAAAAATTTTCCATAACAGCTTTTATAAATGCAAAATGAGGAATTGCTGCCGCCTTCAACTGGCACGCTCTACACCTTGGCTTTTTATCCCACTACTTCATACTCTACTTATTTTTTTAAAAAAAGGTTCTTTGATTCAATTATGTACTGAGGATGGCAATGACATCTGGAGAGCGGCAATATCTCTTCTCTGAGCATACTAAATTTCTTATCAGTACTGTTGTTGACTATATAATTATATGTTGACATTTTGCTTTGTGTAGATCTGACTTAAACAAGACTTTTGTTATGTTGCTGTGTTGTGTTAATAAGAACAGTTCAAGCTGTTAATAAAACTGATTTGAAGCATAGTGCATAGTGTACTCTCTCTTGTCGCTCTATCTCGGGTCTCTCTGGTCCCTCTGTAGTCTCTCTCTCTGGTCCCTCTGTAGTCTCTCTCTCTGGTCAGTGAGTCTAATCTCAATAAGACATTGCTAAAAGATAAAAAAGCAATAAATGTTGCATTGTGGAATACATAGTTGCTGCTTTTTGCTAAACTCACTCACTCACATATCCTTTCAGAATGTCATTGTGGTTTCCATGGAAATGACACCCCCCAAGTTACATAATGGGCATTAATCAGAGGGAGTCTGTTGGCTTCAGGGGGATGCCATGAGAACGCTGCACTAAATGAGCAATGGCTGTGTGAAGAGCTCGCGTCAGGGCGAAAGGCCAACAGACCCGGCCCAGACACTTGTGCGCTGTGTCTAATGAGGGTGTGATGGCACAGGCCTCGGTGTGGGCTCTGGGCTCATGAGCGATAGTTTGGTGAAACTGGGCGGTGGTTTGCAGCTTTAAGAGATATTTGCTCAAGTGAATGGCCATGTCATTTTGTGCACACCGTCTGTTTCTTTATTTGGCTAGAGGCAGCAGCAGCCAGGCTAAGGAAGCCACATTAATCTTGTGTTCAGTTTCTGTTGACACACTGCAATAGTTTCCTCTGTGTGTCCTAATAAACCTCTAGCACAGGGATATTGTCAAGAATCAGGATGGAAATTATCCAGTTTTAACTTCAGAGTCTTCCCTTTTATCTCTCTAGTTGCATGTGCCGTTCACTCCTGCGCCTGTGTGCTGGGGTTGCTAGGTCTACTATAGTTCAGTGTGGCTACAAAAACAAACTTGGATGTTGAGCGAGAAAAACCCATCAAAGATTAGTGAAATCACTTTTATATTGGTCACATGAAGTAGATGTGATGACAGAAACGAGAGAAGTAGATGTGATGAATTCTGCCCCGAAACGGTTGGCCATGTGTGAGTGAGGATGAAACGAGATAATATAGACCTTAATATAATAACAATAATATAGAGGAGTTTCATTTTAAACAGTTCTTGCTGGTGCTGTGCCTCGTAACTTTTTTGCAGCTCAAACGTTGGGAAACACTGCCATAGTTCACAGCAAGGAGCTGGCCTGCATTTTTTATGGAAAACTTTAACTTCCTCTGACAGAGTTCAAGGCATGCCCCCCTGGAGAGCTTGGGACAATGAGACATAGCTTGCATTCCTGGAAGAACAAAAATGTCAAAGAATCCTATGAAACAATTTAATATACATTTTACAGCACTGAAGAAATAAAATGTATGTGCATTATTTGTATATACATGTTTGTACTTACAGAATGGGGTTGTTCACCGGGACCTGAAACTAGAGAATATTTTACTTGACAGCAACGGCAATGTCAAGGTATGTTGTGAAGCTGACCCCGCACAGTGAAATCAGGGTTTATGATTCACTGATATTATACAGTGTCACTGTACTAACCTAACTGTAAATGTTTGAAGATGATGAATCTCTATTCTATCTATTTTTCTGTTCTATTTAAGGTTTACTTTGTTGCAGATTGCAGATTTTGGCCTTTCAAACTTGTTCCACTGCGATGAGTATCTACAGACTTTCTGTGGGAGCCCCCTTTATGCTTCTCCTGAAATCGTGAATGGACGTCCATACAGAGGGCCTGAGGTTGACACCTGGTCTCTGGGGGTGCTGCTGTACACTCTGGTCCATGGTTCCATGCCTTTTGATGGATGCAATCACAAAACACTGGTTCAGCAGATCAGCTCTGGAAACTATCGAAACCCAAAGAAACCATCTGGTGATTCTCTGCTTTAATTAAACTAACAATATTATTTTCCCTTAATTCCTAACGCTGGTCTTTTTTTTCAGATGCCTGCGGACTGATTCGCTGGATGTTGATGGTAAATCCTGAGCGCAGAGCGACCATAGAGGAGATTGCCGGGCATTGGTGGCTCAACTGGGGCTATCAGCAACCGTTACTTTCAGAGACAAAGCTCTGTCCATTGGAGCAGAGCCCAGCGTCCCCCACCAAAGCCCACACAAATGGTCTAACCAGTGTTGCAAACTGGCTCAGGCGAACATCCCGCCCTCTGCTGGAGAATGGGTCTAAGGTGAGGTGTCTGCTGCGCTCACAGGGAGCAGGTGACGTGATAAGACAACGCTCCATAAGGAGGTCGCGTAAAGAAAGTAACGTATCTCAAAACCATCATGAAGGCGGTTCAGAGGGCCGGCCCTTCAAGAGCATCCTGAAGAGGAGAAACAGTGTTAAACAGAAGAGTGTGAGTGAGACCCCACTGGGGATGTCTGTGGAGACCCGAGCAGTGAGTCTAGCTGCGAGCGAAGTCCCTTCAGTCGTTCGTAAAGGTATTTTGAAGAAGCCCACAGAGCAGGAGTCTGGCTACTACTCTTCCTCACCCGAAAACAGTGACTCTAGTCTGGTGCCCCCGGCTCAGGGCTGCCCCTCGGAACCCCCTCACAGAAAAGGCATACTAAAGCACAATGGTAAATACTCCTCTGGTGGACTGTCGGAGTTTGGGTCACTCGACCAGTTGGCGGCTAATTTGCCGCGGGGCGCGTCCCACCTTAAACCCAGTGGAGCTATCAGTGAGGACAGTATTTTGTCTTCAGAATCCTTTGATCAGCTGGATCTTCCAGACCGCATGGGCCCCTCTGCTCCACTGGACAAACCAGTTAAGAGCACAATGCGAGGCTGTGTGTCTGCAGACAACCTGCTGGACATCCATGAGCGACGGGGGCTGGCTGAGGGCTTACAAAGACCCTGGACCTGCTATGAGACCGGAGCAGCTGACAGTGCCTTCTCCCTCACAGACTGTGACAATGTGACTGAGGCCTACAAACAGGCCATGGTCCTGCGCTGCACAGCCACAGGACAATGACCCATGTACTTTGAACATGGCAGCAGTCTCTGCCTAGAACCAAAACACAGGAAAAGTCTTACTTTAAAAAAAACTGGGAATGCTGGATATTTAAAAGGCATTCATGAATTATAAGGATGATAAAGGTTTTACATTTTGTAGTAAGGAAGTGTCCTTTTTTAGGAGGCATGACTGTGAATGTCAATCATACACAGTAAGTTGTATTGAAGTCATTTTCAGGGCTATCAAAATAAATTATGCCAAAAAATATTTTCAAAAACCGTCCAATTTAAGTTTTTAGGAATTCTAAAGATTTTTTAAAAATATATTATTAATTAAAGCAAAATGTCATTTTGGTGTCCTAAAATGGCTGGAGTTTTGTGTAGTTTTTTGTTATTTTTTACTATTATTCTGTATGAGGCACGAGGTGTGTCCTGCCTTCCAAAGAGTGTGTTGCTAATGGTTTTATATCAAATGAAAGCGCTGGTCTATACTTGAATGAGAATCTCAAAGTGATTTCATGTTTGTTCCCAGAGCTGACCTAACTTTAGGAGTGACCTGTCTGACCGGTTCATAGATGTTGACATTTAGTGCAGCTAATTGTTAATTATGTTGTTTTAAATACTCTTCATGTGTAATGCACTAGTGCCTCAAGTGACCTTTTAATATTGCTCAAACATTTTGACCAAAGTTTTTTTCCTGGACTTTGTTTATTTTAAAGGAAGAAAAAAGCAATTTGCAGACATTAGGAAATCCGCTGTGGACTTCTCAAGCACAAATAATCACAATTTGAACGTTTTTAAATCATTTGAGTGTGTGTAACAACTGTTTGTACAATGTTGCGCATTGTAAATGTATGTTTTGGAAAAAAAATCTTATCAAGACTACATTTAAATATTGCAAATCTGTGCCAAAAAGGCTGTGTTGTTCATTTCATACCAGTACCGAACATTGGAACGATGCAGATGGGGAATCAATAAACAAAATGAATGAGCTTAAACTTTGTCAGTATTTTGTTCATAGATTTCATTTAATCAGAATCTATAGATGGATTACAAATAAGTCAAATATTCTTCTGAACACAAGATATGCATATATATATATATATATTTTTTCAATATTCAAAGTGCTGAGAGCAAAGGTGTAAACTGATTAGTGGCAGCCATATTGATTCTTGTTTTAAGAATCTTTAATGATGTTCTGCAGGTGCTAATGTTTAGTAAGGGGAGGCAAACTGAAAACCAAATGAGGCTCTGCCTGAATTGAAGACTTTAAATTAATCTGCATTAAAACCTTCATCAGAAAAGTCCATGTATGAATTGATTATATTTAAATCTCTGCATTTTTTTCCTTAACCTTTTGTGGTATATATAATCTATGGCACATGTTTGTGGTATATATATAATCTATGGCACATGTTTAGATTCAATAACATTGGCTCCACATTGCAGGCTGTGACTTAAGATGTACTTCAGATGGTCAAAGCAGCGAACCATTGAGGCCTGTTCAACATAAAAGAACAAGTTATAGCTTTGATCAGAGCATTATGCCTTTCATAATCTGGAAAGAACCGTTGTTTTACAAGGTCTGTGGTCAAAGTGTTCCCCAAAGATTTCATCATGACTTCAGTGGAGACACCTAAGTCCATCTTCTCCACAGCCACAGTCACACACGCACAGGCAATAGTGGATGGAAGAAAATCTAGATATGCGCCATCTGAAATATAAAAGATTCAATGAATAACATTTCACTGGAGAATATATAGATACATTTTCACAATGGTTCTCTCTGGTGGAATCATAGAATTTTGGTTTAGGAAATTGCTGATTTTAAAAGGAGACTCAAGACGCTATCTTGTTACTGACGACAGTTTTATAATAGATTTTATTTAAAACACCTTACATATGCGTTAACATCTCAAGGTTAAAAACACAATTAAAACATCAGAATAAAAACACATACAATTACAAAAAAGGTTTCTAGCTTCCATCTGCCTATGCCATGTATGCAGGGCTCAAACAATAACAAAACTATTATCTCTGTTTCCTATATATGGTTACAAAGTTAAACACTCATAATGCGCCTGAAAACGTATTGAACTGTGATTCAGTTCTGTGTCCAAATGAATGCTGCCTTTCTATGAAGCTGACAATCAGACAGCTAAGTCTGCCAAAGAGGGATAGAATGTGAGCTAGAAGTGAGCCAGAATTGGTAACATCCACACAGTAAGTTACAGGTTTATGTGGAGAGGCTGCTTACGGTTAAAATACAAGTTTTAGCATAAAAAATAGAAGTCATTTGATCCTTAGAGAGTCAAAGTGATTCATTCAATATTTCAAAATATTATATTGTACTTCTTTGACATGACACTCGACATTCAACAATATTTATGGACCCATAGAATATCTATGGACATGGTCATCTGCCCCTTATGGACCAATGGCTCTATGTGTTTTCATAATCATTGCTTTTCTTGTGTTTGTGCTGTTTGATTCTCTGATCTGTGTTGGCGAATCAACAGTTTTGTCAAGTCCATCCATCCATCCATTTTCTTCCCCTTAATCTACTTCTGGGTCAGGGGGGTGGCAGTCATAGCTGCACCCAGTTCACAGAGCACCAGAGATTTGTTAAGTCCTCCCAGATAACTATTATTGTGATTTTATGGGTATACAAAAATGAATTGAATTGAGTTGCAATGACAGGAGTCTGAGTGCCTCTCGTTTAGCTAACAGAAGCAGTATCGGGTTCCTTGGGTGTGTTGGAGTGAAGCTGTAGATACAGACACACCCTTTGAATGGACAATGGTGAATAGTTTACCAAAATTTTGACATATGAGCCCAACATTAAGCCAACAGCTCCAGGGGGTAAAATGAGCTTCACAGGTTTGTCCCTATGAATTACTCATTTACGGTTGGTAAAGACAGATGGCCAGTGACCTGTGTCCGCGGGCACGTCACAGATTCATGTGAAATGATGCAGCTGAAAGCATGGACGCTCCTCATTCAGAGTCAACAATACAGGATTACACGAATGCAGCTTCAGACAAACTGCTGACATGTGCCATATGATTCACTGAGTCACTGTGGACGGTAGCCTTCATGCTTTTTTTGCATCGATGCTGAAAAGACGACCACATTGCTTTTTTGAGCCACATGCCTTAACATTTCTTAAAATATTGTTTATTATTCCAAGTCTATATAGAACTTGGATTAAAAACTAAATAGAGTTCTTTAATAACAATTCATATAAAAATATAATATAAATATAAAACAAACTCACAACCCCACATTATGGGTTTTATTATGGCATATTGTTTGTATTATGTGAGTGTGCGTGTGATGATTTTAAAGTACTTAGATGTTGTGACCTTAGTATCTAATATCTGCTCCTGCTTACATACAAGCATACACAATTACCATTACTTCATCGGACAATAATTCCAAACTGTTACCATAAATACAACGTTATCACCCTCTGGCTTTCCCTCTTTTATTGAAACCCAGTTATATAACATACCAATAACTGCTAGAGAGATGTAGGCGTGGACATGCCGGCGCACGGTGGAGAGATGTTGGGGCTGAACGAAGGCAAGAGTGAGAAGAATTGGCTCCAGGAAATCCGAAGGAATGACTGAGGCTAAGGCCCAGTCCAAACGGGACACGACCACTGCCTCCCAGTGCTGCAACAGACAAGACACTTCAGCGAGAGTTATGAAGTCATTTATAATCACTTCTATCTACAGATAATCATGGCTATTTACACTCATCCAATAAAAAGTTAACTTAAAGCTGGGGCACCTAACTTTTACATAAATCAAACGTCTTGCTTGTCCCAATGGAAAATGTCTAGTAAAGGTAAAATATGAAAAAAAATAACAACTAACAATAAGTTACTATTTGACGCTTCAACCACATGTGTTCATTGTCACTTTACACTAAAATAATCACTATTTCATACTTTATTATGATAAAGTTAGAGATTTTATACATGCTTCATTATGCTAAAACTTGAGATGTTATACTTATTTATGATGCTACAGTTAAATATGTTATTTTAGTATATAGTTATTGTTCACTTATTTTGTGTTGTGTGCTCCTCATTCCTACTGTTAACCTGTGATGCAACACTAACATTTCCTCACTGTGGGACAAAAAAAGAATCTCTTAATCTTTGTGCTGAGAGCTGATTGGCTAAGTGAGGCTGGTTCTGTCTCTATGATTTAGACATGTGACTGAGGCCCAAAATCCCTGCCTGTAAAAAACTACATTTTATCAAATTTAAATGTGTTGTAGTTTGAAAATCAAAAGATGCCTCTGATATTAATCATTAATCCAACAAGCATGGGGAAAACAAGAAAAAACATTGATAAAGGGACACACCAATAGCTTTATCTGGTTCTTTCAAATAAGCTGTTTTTAAATGCTTGTGGCTATGTGATAAAGGTGTTGACAGATAGATCATGGAGATTACGAAGACTCAGACATGTGACTATTTAAAAACCAACCAGGAACAGCCCGTACCAGGATTTCCGAGACAGACACAGAGTTGTCCGTGTAGATGCGGAGGTTGCTGGCTGTTAAAGGGACAGTCTCTCTCATTTTGGAGGCCATGAACATGCACGCAGCTCCCAAAAGCTGAAGTCTGCACTTTTTGACTGGAAAAAGACCCAGGTATCTGTCCATAAAATGCACTGCCAAAGGAAACACCTCTTCTTCACATTTCTGCTCCTCACACACCTGAAAACGTACAATAAAAACTTGTGATCATCCCAAATAAAGACAATGCATATCCATTGCGTTCAGTGGTTGGAAAATTGTGTTTTGTCTGAAAAAATATAAGGCAAAACAACAAAATATATGGTATTAAATATGCAATTTAATCTTTATTTTGAGGGTAGATTTTCTCACTGTAAGGAAAACCATTTAAATTTTACCTGCTTACAAAAGATAGCCAAAAAAATGACCTAATCTGGCCAAAATAAAGAACACTCCCTCTGTTTAAGTTATTATTAGCCATAGCTTATCATTTCTAGTACTTACTCTATCCATTATGACGTCAGCATTTTTTTCTAAAACCTCAAATGGTCCAATTGTCTCACGGTTAATGCGATGTTTGTTTATTAATTCATGTATTAGGGATTGCTCCTTGAGATTAATCATCTCTTTTTTGAGGGGGTCCTTATCATCCGTTTTCTCTAATATGCACATACAGACATAAAAATAAAATAAAAATCAAAGACAAAGTTGGCTCGACTGGTGCTATGTGTACTGGGTGGAATCTCTGGCCACCCCCCAACCAAGAAAATGGAGTAAGGGGTAGAAAATGGATGGATGGATGGATGGAAGTTGGCTCGACCCCACCATGCCCATCTCAAACCCTTGTCTCTATCCTCTCCTACACTGACTTTGGGTACATTTATTACTTTGATTGTTGCTTGATGATGATCTTAAAGCTACTTATAGCAATCACATGGTATGTAACTAAGGCGGTTGTAGCAATTGCAGTGAGGAAATACATTTTATTGAAGATCTAACCTGGAATATCCACACAGCCACAATTCTCCTCATGTAGGGCTCTATGTCAGTCTGAATGGTGCCAAAGTAGGAGTGCACAGGACAGGATTTCTCCAGGGCCTGCAGACTCAGCAGAACCCGGTGGTCTGCAGTCAGCACTGGATCCAAGCCGGCCCGGACCACCACATCACAGTCAGGAACACTGCTCAGGGGGTCTGGAAGCTCCCCAACTCTACTCTGAGCCATCTGACAGCTGCATGAGACTTGACTCAGTTTGGAACATCTGCTGTACTACATGATATATATCTCTGGATTAGTAATCTAGAAATGTTGTATAAACAATCAGTATAAAGACCAGTATTAAGCAAAGCATTCTGTACAACAGGCAGAAACACAGTGGACAGTGTGTGTTCATAATAGCTTTATGTAGATTATTAATGACTTCTCAAAAGCTGCATTTGAATTAGGCAAAAATACAGGTCCTTCTAAAAAAATTAGCATATTGTGATAAAGTTCATTATTTTCTGTAATGTACTGATAAACATTAGACTTTCATATATTTTAGATTCATTACACCAAACTGAAGTAGTTCAAGCCTTTATTGTTTTAATATTGATAAATTTGGCCAAAAAAGTAAAGAAAAACCAAAAATGCCTATATCAGAAAATTAGCATATCATGAAAGGGTACTCTAAACGAGCCATTAACCTAATCATCTGAACCAAAAAATTAACTCTAAACACTTGCAGAAGATTCCTGAGGCTTTTAAAAAATGCCGGCCTGGTTCATTACTCAAAACTGCAATCATGGGTAAGACTACCTGACTGCTATCCAGAAGGCAATCATTGACACCCTCAAGCAAGAGGGTAAGACACAGAAAGACATTTCTGAGCGAATAGGCTGTTCCCAGAGTGCTGTATCAAGGCACCTCAGTGGGAAGTCTGTGGGAAGGAAAAAGTGTGGCAGAAAAGGTTGCACAACCCCAAGAGGTGACCGGACCTTGAGGAGGATGGTGGAGAAGGGCCGATTCCAGACCTTGGGGGACTTCCAGAAGCAGTGGACTGAGTCTGGAGCAGAAACATCCATAGCCATCGTGCACAGGCGTGTGCAGGAAATGGGCTACAGAAACCACAACCAGAAACAGCGGCAGAAGCGCGTGACCTGGGCTACAGAGAAGCAGCACTGGAATGTTGCTCAATGGTCCAAAGTACTTTTTTCGGATGAAATCAAGGTGCCAGAGTGTGGAGGAAGACTGGGGAGAAGGAAATGCAAAAATGCCTGAAGTCCAGTGTCAAGTACCCACAGTCAGTGATGGTCTGGGGTGTCATGTCAGCTGCTGGTGGTGGTCCACTGTTTTATCAAGGGCAGGGTCAATGCAGCTGGCTATCAGGAGATTTTGGAGCACTTCATGCTTCCATCTGCTGAAAAGATTTATGGAGATGAAGAAATCCTTTTTCAGCACGACCTGGCACCTGCTCACAGTGCCAAAAACCACTGGTAAATGGTTTACTGACCGTGGGATTACTGTACTCAATTGACCTGAACCCCATTGAGAATCTGTGAGATATTGTGACGAGGAAGTTGAGAGTCACCAGAGAGTCAGCAGTGCCACAGGTTGATTGCCTCCATGCCACGCCGTATTGAAGCATTCATTTCCACAAAAGGAACTGAACATCATTATTTGAAGGTTAAAATGTTTTGTATTAAAAACACTTTTCTTTAATTGGTCGGATGAAATATGCTAATTTGTTTAGATAGGGATTTTGGGGATTTTTTTTGCCAAAATCATCTATAGAGATATCTCACGTGACGTCACGATGCCTCGAACTCGCGGGGCATCCGCCATACTGGAGGACAAGCAAACGCTGTATGATAGTGGCGTGCACCCGGGGCCGCATAAACATGTTCAACATTTTTGCCGTTTTTGGCTGCAGCAATAGGAGAGACAGGGAAAATAAGTTGTGTTACCGACTGCCAGCCGTCCTTACTTCACACGGCTCGAAAACAGAAGAAATCTCAAAGAAACGAGAGAGAAATGGCACAACATATTCGCAACAACAAAAAACTAAAAGCCCCCAGAGTGCCCGAATACGCTCGGATCATTTCATTTCTGTTAAGTAAAATCAATTTGATGGCGGATTTAGTGTTATTCCGAAACTAAAAGAAGTTTAAGGATAAAACATATCTGTCTGACTGCAACGTGGGGTTGCTCCATAGACTGTAGCTTAGCTTGTAGCATAGCTGTTCACAGGGTATCTGACTTACCGAAGGCCAGCAGACATGTGAACGACTGAGCCGTGTTCGAGGGTGCCCCGTGCTAGTATTTATTAATAAAATATACGGCTCCTCACAGTAGACGCAGAAAGCTCCATTGATTTGAATGTAATCTCATTATTTCCACTGCAGTGTAGCCACACATAGATCCATGGTGTAACAATAAACACATTAAATGTTAATCGGATAATACATTATACATAGACATTCTTAACACACGTGCACAGAGGTTTTCAGAATTTTCTGTTCATGAAAAAACACTGTTTTAATGCGACAATATGCGACCGCGGTAAACCTGGATGTAACGATAAACATTAATACATTGTATGACGCATTTCCAGAGGATCTCATTCATGAATTTAGGTTGAGTATATATTTGGGTCACTAACTGCTGAAGTTTCAAATTCTCTGTTCAGTTTTCATGTAGTTCGAGAGAGTTCTAGTTTTGAACGTCCAGTTATAGATAGCTAGCAGGGCTGTTACTCGCCGAGGTTGTCCTCCAGTATGGCTGCCGTGGCTGCTAGTCACGTGACCGTAGGATCCCTCTTTAAAACAATAAAGACTTGAACTACTACTACTACTAAGTTGTGTGTAATGAATCTAAAATATATGAAAGTCTAATGTCTATCAGTACATTACAGAAAATAATAAAGTTTATCTCAATATGCTAATTTTTTTAGAAGTACTTACTTCCCTGTCATTCCTTGTGCTTTTAAATGCAGTTGTTTGAGATTTGAACATATTTATGCCAAAGGATAAAACAGGAAGAGGAAAGTGCAAAAGAGGACCACGAAGACAGTATTTTGCCTGAATTCAGATGTTGGGAAAGTTTCAGCTTGTTGTACATTTAGCGACGCTCCACCAAATGTATGCTAACATTTTAGAGCTAATATATTAAAACCAAGAGAGATTCATCTCGAATTAGTCATTCAATTTGTCTCAATAAACATTGTGTTAAGATACCTCAGCAGATGTCAGATCATTCAGAGATTTACTCAGTCTTCTTCGCCCCGGCGGAGCGTGTTCTGGAACCTGGCTCGGACCGCGCGGGGTCGTGGGCCTGCTCACGTGGGCTTATACATAAAACTGAATTTAGAAGAAAATGTTGAGGACGTTGGTTGCAGGTCTATGCCATTTTGTCATAAGAATTGGAAAGAACACAGGGCTGTATAGAGCTTCCCTACCGGTGTCTATGATGTATATTCTATTATAATATATTTAAGCCAGTTTCTTATTCTTATAGCAATTCTACAGGCATAAAGTTGTATTGGTGTATTATGACTATAATGGATCCAGAAAAGAGAAACACTGACATTGAGAGACATCCACTGTGTATATGCACGTTCAAATGTTAAGAAAACAGGACAGGGTAAGATGTGTTACTTTATTTTCATATTCAAATGGGGCAGTGATTACAAACACACAACCCCAGAGTCACTGAAGATAAATATTGTATTTTACACAACCAAGACTCTCAGCGAATACATGTGAGTGACACCATTGACAACCTCAGTCCATGTCCACCGTCGCAGGCAAACCAACCTCAATGTCCCGGGACTCTGAATTTTGTAACTCTCTTCGAATTTCTGCTGAAACCACTGGGTGCGTCTGTATCTTGAGCAGCTCCAATAACGATGCCTTTTGTTCGGACGCTAAATCCGCCTTATAACGTTGAGCCAAGGTGAGTAGGCTCTGATGCCACAGCACAGGAAGCACACGTTTTTCACTTCGGAAAGAGAGGAAGTGAGCCACCAGGGCGTCTAGGACACGGAAGGGCAGAGCGTACTTCTTGTCCAGCATCAGTCGCAAGAAAATGCTGTTGGCACCGTTGTATTCCATTTCTGCCAATTTTAGCATTGCAGCACTGAAAGACAAGCAGGACAATGCTTTTCATAATTTCCATATTATGTAAGGTCACACACACAGAATTCAGTTACACAGCACTAGGCAACAAGGTAAAATACCAAGCTCCAGATAGTATGAAAGAAACAAGACTGTAAAATATTGATTTGAAAATTTACCTGGAGTGGAGAACCGGAATTGAGCATTTTGTGAGAATACTTCCAATAATTATGGCTTCTCTTAGAGTACATGTCCCAGATTCACACATGGGAATCAATATACCTGTGAATACATGACAAGAATTAACTACTAAATGAGGATAAATAATACACAATCCCCAAGAGATTTAAAAAACAGATGTCACAACCATTGTTCGATATTGAAATATGACTTGTCGATCTCAAGACAGTAACTACAAAGCTTGCAGAAAATGTGAAGCAATTTTCTGTTGTTGAGATAAAAGAGATGATGGTCTTTAATCTTAACAACAACGCCCCCTAGTGACATTCATCCTCTACTGGTCCCAGATTTTCAGGGGACCCAAATAGGCATGAAATCGACATGCGACTGCCACTGATCTACACAAGACAGCTACCATTGGTCAAGTGTCAAAAAATGCTGAATGAAATTAAATGTTGTTTGAGTATTTCATTGTGCCGTTTGATCCAATATCACCTACAAATACATGAAAAGATTGAGAAAAGATACTGTCAAAATTATACAAGAAAATCATATAAAAAGGTTTTTATTGAGACCCCAGGCTCGTGTCACCTAGCCCCACTCTTTGAACTTCCTGGATTGCATTTTTAACCCTTTAGACGCCATGACACTTTCTATACTGTGACCTGGGTTCCCACAAACATCTTCCTTACATTGTTTTTAACATCTCTCTTTTATGTATTTGTTAGTTGTTGTCATGTCACATCACATTTCTGAATGAACATAAATGGTTAATAATTCTTCCTCTGAGACCCATGAGCTGTGCCGTGCAGAGAAACAAAAGGTTGTGATGTCATCTTTCCTCAATTATCAACATGTGTATTAAGATGGAGAGACACCAATCCAGGGGTAGAAGATAAGAACTTGTTTCTTGTGCGTTCTCCTAAAATCACTGTTTTGGAGATCAAACTGAGCCAGGAGCAGACAGCATGTGATCTTAAGCCTAGTGTATAGTCGCGCTGCGCGGAGCTTACGGTGGTGACGTGATGCAGCCGGCTCCGCAGAGACGCTCCACTGTGATTGGTCCGTGTGTGTGTTTTGGACAGAAGCATGGAGCGGCTGCAGGGAATATGGACAAGACACTTCGAAGCAGATAGCTTCATGCTTCGAAGGCACCGAAGGAAAAGTAGTTTGGGTTCATGGCTCAGAGCCTGATATACACGGAGACTGTGGACTGTTCAGTTCTGTTGCATATCCAACTAATAAACTGTGCAGTCGTTACTTTTGCACTGTTCCTGCGCCTGTCTTTGTTTGAATTTGCACTTGGAGTTTATTGCGTCTTTTGCATTCCTCCTGTACTTGTAAATCGTTCATGTTTGGTCTCAGATATTTACCATCTATTGTTTCGCTGCTTGTGCTGAATAAAACTATGTTTCCAACAAGAACTTTTTCTTTATTCACAGCATCACAGTTAAATGACTTATGAAATAGTGACTCCATAGAACTATCACATAAACCTGCACTAGATACACATGTAATGATTTCAAACAGCTTGGTTTGCTAATGTTTTTGTTCTGAAGAGGAGACCGTAGTAGAGTGAATGGGACCGCTTTGGTTTCTCAGGCCACTCCATGGATCTAGAGCCCGTGGTACTGCAAACTAAATTCATGCGGGCTACCCAGAAAAAAGTCCCATAGAACTCAATGTAAACTAAAACAGCTCGACCTCAGCTGACAGAGAACCTACAGCTTTCATAAAGATCGGATTTTGTGGAAATTTTAGTGTCCCTTGTTATCCTGAACTTGTTTTCTTCTTAAATCCTTTGGTTTTCTTTAAATCCTTTAAAAACTTTACTGCCACAAACTCTGCTCCTTTCCTTCCCGCTCTGCTGCTGCTCTGATCAGCAGCGCTGATTGGTCAAAGCGCAGCCGAGCCCCTCTGTGCGCGTGCATGAAAGCCACACACGCGTATTTTGCGCAACGCATCATGGGAGCTCATCCACTGCGCAGAACCGGGAGGACCAGAAGAAGCCCAAATATAAGCGAGTTCTGCTAATCTCTCGGTCTCCGTGAAGTCCCATGCGCTACTGAGCACAAGCCATTCATTTGAATAGGGCGCCATCTTGGATCACAGGGGCTTGGGCAACTCCTGTGAGATCGCCATCAGGTGGTTGGGTGTGGGATTACAACACTCTCTTCAAAACGCGTAGGTCCAGCGCATCTGCAACCAGCGCCGAGCGAGTATACACTAGGCTTTACCCCTCTTCATTTATAACATTGAACATTTGAAATAAACACATAACCTGTATATAACATTCTTTTTTTTTACAAAACTTGTGTCTGAAGTTAATTCAATTAAGGTATTATTTATATTTTTATTTATTTTAGCTTTTCTATTAGTATTTCTAAAAAGGTATAGCACAGTGACCCAAAATAAAAAACAGCTTTAGAGTCAAACTATTTATAATGGGAGTGCACACTATCAAAGAATAAAAGGGGCCCACTCACATAATGAATGAGCAAACAAGGGCTACATAATAAAAAATTGGGATCTATCAATTTAAAAATAAATTATGATCTATTAAAACATCAAAAATCTCTTTGTTTTACACAGTCAATCAAATGCGCAGGAGAGGTCATTGATTTTTGACTAAAGCCCATTACTATGCATATTTTCTCTATTAGTTTTGTGATAAGAAATATTACCTTTAAACCAGGCGCCAGGTTTGAATAGAGCCTTCTTTAAAGCGCTGTACAGATGGAAGTTGAGTCGTTTATACTCTGCAATATCATCTCGAACCCGAGGCAACAGCACCAAATTGTAAAACCTCTGGGCCATACGCTCTTTTAGATTGGAAGAAAAGATTCTGTAACACATTTAAAAAACTTAACCAATAAAATCTTTCTACTTTCATAAAGTTATATTAACATAAACATTAACAACATGGGAACACAGATCTTGCCCCCTATTTTATCGAGATCTGATTGGGCTGGATTCATTTTATCATGTAGACAATGTTGGGGGTTTTGATAATATTAAATAAAGCAAAAATGTGCCGCCTCACACACAGTAACTATCAGTGATGTCACTTTCATCAGAATCTGAAAATTTAATTATGCATTGCTTAAGATAATTCATCCAACCTTGTTGCTTGGTACATTGCAGCAGCGGTCCAGCTTTCAGGATCAGTCAAGTATAGGACTTGCTCCCAGTTAGCCAGAGCAGGAATGATTTTAAAAGCTTTAGGTAATTTTCCACTGCGATATTTGGACAGAACCTGCAGTATCAATTAATATCATTATTTAAAAACTTAACCCTATGCAAATATCATTCATTTAATATACACTTACCTTCCCAACTCCTTTGTACACTTCTATAACCCTTGGGTCCAGCTGTGGCATAGGGCATCCTGACACCTCTGACATCACAGTCCCTACCTCTGTCTGTTTTTCAGTTATTTTTTCCATTATAATATCTGCTAAGGTTCGCCTAAAAAACAAATTTATATTAGAAGCAGATGGGTAAATTGGGTTAGTATCAGATTGTACTTCAGTACCACTATTATGGAGTGTTACAGTAAAACCTCCAAAATAAATGTAACTAGCAATTGTCTCGTACTAAGTCCATTCATACCTGACTGGAGGATTCTTGCTCATGAAAATTTCAATAGCCTTCTCATCATCTGCATCAACAGCAACCTCAGAGTCAAATCCGACATCACTGACATTTTCTCCCCCTTCTCCTAGTGCAGGCCACTCTTCGTCAGAGTCTCCATCGTTATTGTCTGGACCTGAAATATTCAAACATTATTTTTAAATCAATGGTTAAAATGTGGGTGGTGCATAAATAAAAATGTGGCAAGAAGTGTGGGTCCCGTTAATAATTAAGAAAAGCTTATATAGCTTATGTATATCACACACAGTATGCGTTTATTGAACTCTTTTGTACTTGTACTATTATTTGACTGTTTCCATTCCTACTGTTCTTGAACTGACATTTCCCAATGTGGGACATAAAGGCTTTTGACATTATATACATTTGAAATAATTGTAAAATAATAATAAAATAGTCAGTGTCATAGGGCTGGACACATCAGTCTTTGCTGAACTCAAAATAAACAAGAAATAATATAATCATTGGACTAACCAAGGACTGTGACTGGAGCCCTCTTCTTTTCTGGAGTCAGGTCGTATTCAATTTGCAGCTCCTCTTGTTGTATTCGAGCTTGTTCAAGAATTTTCCTAGACAAGCGTTCATCCACGTACGTGTCCTCATGTTGTCCCCGGGTGTCTCTGCTCTTTACCCGAACTCTGGGCCTCAACGTGTCGGATTCTTGGATCTGGTCTGCCAGTGCTATGGCTCCGCTCTTTTCCGCTCCTCTGGACTTCTTCACTTTCGGCATTTCTAAACGACTGTGTCCTAAGGAACCGTTGTTTAGAGTAAATACCCGGTGTCGCACATTAAAACCAAACACGGCACATAGACTAAAACAGAGTTTAAGGCCACAGCGTAAACATTCGTGAATCTACACGTGCAGCAGAGGAAAGACCAGGCGGAAGTGACGTCACCAAAGGTTATTTAAATTACATAAAAAAATAGTCACTCAAGTCAATGTGTATTATTTTGTTTGCACATGTTTACTGCATGAGCGTCTGAAACCATAAATGATATGTTGTTGTTATGTTTTCCTCTGAGATGATGCATCAATGTAGTTCACATCTGCCTGACCCGGAAATGAAAAGCTTTCGTACTATTTACAGTCTATGCTCGTAACAAAACAATGGGAGTATCATGGTACGCTACACACTTCATTTTGTGTTCTTTTTGGAGCTTTACAACATTGGTTTGGCTGTATTTTGGTTTCTCGTTGTTTGTACTCTATCTATGTATTATTCTGTATTCTGTATATAGTGTGTGCCATTTGCCCGTGGCGGAGGGGAAGAGCGTGCAGCAGACGGTGGATCTTCTGCATAAGAAGCTGGAGCAACTCGGAGCTGTGAAGCAACAGGGAAACTTCAGTGTTGACTGTGAAACATACCACCCCACTGCTACCACAAGCGGTAAAATCCTTTTTTTCTGCGCAAATCAAATTTGCCATAGACTGATGCTTTATCAAAATTCAAATGATACGTTAAAATAGAATTTAAGGGATTATCACACAGTCTCTATATTACTCGTTACTAATACCTGATTTTTGTCTTCTCTGCAGCTCAGCCCTCTAAGCTGCTGTATGTGATGCACACTTCTGAAACTCCATTGAGCTGCATGGCCCTGTTTGAAGGGGGGCCTTGTCTCGTTGCAGATGCAAATTTTGATGTGCTCCTGATAAAACTAAAAAGCCACTTTCAGAATGCCAAGGGACACAAAGTGGAGTGTAGAGGACCAAAATATCGCTACAGTGACTTCTCAATCAAAGTTGGGACGGTCACAATAAGCTCGAGTGCCAGAGGGATATCTGTTGAGGTATATCGCATAATTACTTAAAAATAGAATTGATGAAGCATGTGCTGTCAGCCACACATTTTTTATATTGTAGTTACTGTTATTCTCTAAAGTATGTGGTTTGTGCTCTTAATGGCTTAATACTAGTTTAATGCCTTTATTTACTAAATAATATTTATCACTTTAATATTACAATCCAAACCCTTGTTAACAGTGTCTTCACTCACAGCTGATGTGACTATTCTGCTACTGTAACATGGCTCACGCCAGATGGCTGTGTATATCTATCTCAATTGAGTTCTTGTGATTTCCTAAATTCACAAATATTGCAAGAATATAGATTACAGCCCAAGGTTACAGCTGCTGGTAGAGATTTTGTCACCCAAATGAGAGTTCTAGTTGGATTATTATCTTGAGAATCAAAAAATATAGAATGCTAACATTAATTATGTGTGTAATTATGTTATTTTGTGCATGTTGGCCTTGTGACTGGGAAGGATTCTCTATCAATGATTCTCTGCAACATTCAATGCAATTGTCAAATGGCTTTACATTTTGTAATGAGAGTATTCATTTTAAATTTGTATTTAGCATCTGTGTTCCAATATTAAATATGTGGGTTAGGGTTTGTGCAAAATAGAATTTTATATTCTTATTAGAGAATCATCGCTTTTTCTAATTAGGGAGTAAACCCACCCATTTTGGTTATTTGTGTCGGATTTGACAGCAACGTTACATACGTCGCTATTGTTAACAGAATTTCTTTATTTTATAGGTGGAGTACTGCCCTTGTATTGTTCCAGGAGACTGCTGGAATCTAATGAAGGAGTTCATGCAGAGTATTCTTGGCCCTAATGTTCCTGAATTACCATCGGTTTTCACTGTGAAACCGGAAGGGCTTTTTGCTCCATCGGACATTATTGACACTATGACACAGTATCTGGAGTTGTTCAACAAACTTCGGAAATTACAAATGCCTGGGAGTAATATCAGAGTATAGATCAAGACTGTTATATGTTGTCAAAAAATCCTGGATCTATGGATAAGATTATTAAATTGAGAAATGGTTGGAACTTCTGTAGCTTTTCAGTGTGGCCAAAAAAGGACAATTTCTTGCTTACTTAATCATCTACACGACAGAATTAGTGCTTTGTCTTTTCAGCAGCCATACTCTTTAAGTATGTTTGCTCCATTTATATAAAAAAATGGATTATATCAATCAGCCTTTTATATATATATATATACATAGAGCCCTTTACCATACTTAAGGTGAGTATGCTTTACAATATAATCAAGTAAAATCCATAAAAAAACATTCATACAATCAATAAATAAAGGTTATTAGGCATTAAAAAGGGCTATCTTGATAATGAGTGATAAAAGTGTTAAAAACCAGTCTGAATAGATAATTTTTGAGCCTTGATTTAAAAGGCCAAAATCAGTAAGCACTTGCATATCAGGGGGCAGCTTATTCCAGGGTCAGGGTCAGGGTCTGGGGCCATTACTTCCAGGAAGAGCTGAGTTGAGGACCTCAAGGATCTTCCCGAGTCACAAACGTATTATTTGTTTCGAAAAGCATATTTCCCCAGTAACAGCCGATGAACCGGAAAGGCGCGTTACCCATATTAAATAAAGATAAATTGTCCAAGTTCTTATATACTATATATAAAAACAATGTGGATATCTAGCCCACATAGCAGTGTTTTCAAGTGAAAACACTTGAAAGTTCTTTATAAGCAAAATGTGTTAAACTTTTTTTATAGGCTCATGCTTATGTATGCTCACCTTATTTTGTAAAATAGAACAATGAAAAGTTTGTAGTAGATTCAATTGTTAAGATATCCACTAATCTGCCAGGCTAATTTCAATCCATTTACATTTTTTAAAGTTTTTTTTTAATGATTCAACCCTTAGTAAATTGATTTTGTAAATCTATGCATGGTGGGGAGAGTTAGTTATACTGGGGATTGATCCACGCTACTCTGTTCGGGGGGTGGACCGTGGAGTGGACCGTGGAGTGGACCGTGGGGTGGACCGTGGGGTGGACCGTGGAGTGGACCGTGGGGTGGACCGTGGGGTGGACCGTGGGGTGGACCACCGCGGTAAAGTGGCCCGCATCTTTCAGCTCTATGAACATGCGGGCCGCATCGGGGAAAAGACGGTGCGCGTTTTGTTGAGAACTTACGGTAACAGCGGAACGTCCTTTCGGAGTCACCCATTTTTATCGAACAGAAAGCGCGCTGGGGTCAGGGAGACACGTTTTTGTGATTAAAACCTTATAGAGATGACACATAGCACCAGCCCCCTACGATTCCTCCGGCAGATTGTGAGTCCTCAGGAGGATAGCCACTCTATTGTTTACATATATAAAGTACACAATTTGGTCCACAAAGTATAAGTACACAATTTGGTCCGCTAGTGCAATTTTCAAGTATTGTAACTATTTACTGGAAAAAGGTGTGCGACTAATTTCACTTGACTCATGAGCTTATTATTACCCTCTACCACTGTACCAAAGACCAGAAACTTTTACTGTAGAAATATTGAGAAATATTGAGGTAAAGTAGCCATTTTGGTCCAAAATACCTCCAAAATAGTCAAAACATGTCACTTTTGATCTACTGTAACTTTTTACTGTAAAAAGGTGTGCGACTAATTTCACTGGATTCATGACCTCAACATTGCCCTCTACCACTGTACCAAAGACCAGAAACTTTTACTGTAGAAATTTGGAGAAATATGGAGTTAAAGTAGCCATTTTGGTCCAAAATAGCCTAAAAATGGTCAAAACATGTCACTTTTGATCTACTGTAACTTATTACTGTAAAAAGGTGTGCGACTAATTTCACTGGATTCATGACCTCATGATTGCCCTCTACCACTGTACCAAAGACCAGACACTTTTACTGTAGAAATATTGAGAAATATTGAGGTTAAGTAGCCATTTTGGTCCAAAATAGCCTAAAAATTGTCAAAACATGTCACTTTTGATCTACTGTAACTTTTCACTGTAAAAAGGTGTGCGACTAATTTCACTGGATTCATGACCTCATGATTGCCCTCTACCACTGTACCAAAGAACAGGAACTTTTACTGTAGAAATATTGAGAAATATTGATTTAAAGTAGCCATTTTGGTCCAAAATACCCCCAAAATAGTCAAAACATGTCACTTTTGATCTACTGTAACTTTTTACTGTAAAAAGGTGTGCGACTAATTTCACTGGATTCATGACCTCATGATTGCCCTCTACCACTGTACCAAAGACAAGAAACATTTACTGTAGAAATATTGAGAAATATTGATTTAAAGAAGCCATTTTGGTCCAAAATACCTCCAAAATAGTCAAAACATGTCACTTTTGATCTACTGTAACTTTTTACTGTAAAAAGGTGTGCGACTAATTTCACTGGATTCATGACCTCAACATTGCCCTCTACCACTGTACCAAAGACCAGGAACTTTTACTGTAGAAATTTGGAGTTAAAGTAGCCATTTGGGTCCAAAATAGCCTAAAAATGGTCAAAACATGTCACTTTTGATCTACTGTAACTTTTCACTGTAAAAAGGTGTGCGACTAATTTCACTGGATTCATGACCTCATGATTGCCCTCTACCACTGTACCAAAGACCAGACACTTTTACTGTAGAAATATTGAGAAATATTGATTTAAAGTAGTCATTTTGGTCCAAAATAGCCTAAAAATTGTCAAAACATGTTACTTTTGATCTACTGTATCTTTTTACTGTAAAAAGGTGTGCGACTACTTTCACTGGATTCATGACCTCAACATTGCCCTCTACCACTGTACCAAAGACCAGGAACTTTTACTGTAGAAATCTGGAGAAATATGGAGTTAAAGTAGCCATTTTGGTCCAAAATAGCCTAAAAATTGTCAAAACATGTCACTTTTGATCTACTGTAACTTTTCACTGTAAAAAGGTGTGCGACTAATTTCACTGGATTCGTGACCTCATGAATGCCCTCTACCACTGTACCAAAGAACAGGAACTTTTACTGTAGAAATTTGGAGAAATATGGAGTTAAAGTAGCCATTTGGGTCCAAAATAGCCTAAAAATGGTCAAAACATGTCACTTTTGATCTACTGTAACTTTTCACTGTAAAAAGGTGTGCGACTAATTTCACTGGATTCGTGACCTCATGATTGCCCTCTACCACTGTAGAGGGCACTGTAGAGGGATTCATGACCTCATGATTGCCCTCTACCACTCAATTGAGAAATATTGAGGTAAAGTAGCCATTTTGGTCCAAAATGGCTACCTATAACTCCATATTTCTCCAGATTTCTACAGTAAAAGTTCCTGCTCTTTGGTACAGTGGTAGAGGGCAATCATGAGGTCGTGAATCCAGTGAAATTAGTCGCACACCTTTTTACAGTAAGAAGATACAGTAGATCAAAAGTGACATGTTTTGACCATTTTTAGGCTATTTTGGACCAAAATGGCTACTTTAAATCAATATTTCTCAATATTTATACAGTAAAAGTGTCTGGTCTTTGGTACAGTGGTAGAGGGCAATGTTGAGGTCATGAATCCAGTGAAATTAGTCGCACACCTTTTTACAGTAAGAAGATACAGTAGATCAAAAGTAACATGTTTTGACAATTTTTAGGCTATTTTGGACCAAAATGACTACTTTAAATCAATATTTCTCAATATTTCTACAGTAAAAGTGTCTGGTCTTTGGTACAGTGGTAGAGGGCAATCATGAGGTCATGAATCCAGTGAAATTAGTCGCACACCTTTTTACAGTGAAAAGTTACAGTAGATCAAAAGTGACATGTTTTGACCATTTTTAGGCTATTTTGGACCCAAATGGCTACTTTAACTCCATATTTCTCCAAATTTCTACAGTAAAAGTTCCTGGTCTTTGGTACAGTGGTAGAGGGCAATGTTGAGGTCATGAATCCAGTGAAAGTAGTCGCACACCTTTTTACAGTAAGAAGATACAGTAGATCAAAAGTGACATGTTTTGACCATTTTTAGGCTATTTTGGACCCAAATGGCTACTTTAACTCCATATTTCTCCAAATTTCTACAGTAAAAGTTTCTGGTCTTTGGTACAGTGGTAGAGGGCAATCATGAGGTCATGAATCCAGTGAAATTAGTCGCACACCTTTTTACAGTAAAAAGTTACAGTAGATCAAAAGTGACATGTTTTGACTATTTTGGGGGTATTTTGGACCAAAATGGCTACTTTAAATCAATATTTCTCAATATTTCTACAGTAAAAGTTCCTGTTCTTTGGTACAGTGGTAGAGGGCAATCATGAGGTCACGAATCCAGTGAAATTAGTCGCACACCTTTTTACAGTGAAAAGTTACAGTAGATCAAAAGTGACATGTTTTGACAATTTTTAGGCTATTTTGGACCAAAATGGCTACTTTAACTCCATATTTCTCCAGATTTCTACAGTAAAAGTTCCTGGTCTTTGGTACAGTGGTAGAGGGCAATGTTGAGGTCATGAATCCAGTGAAAGTAGTCGCACACCTTTTTACAGTAAGAAGATACAGTAGATCAAAAGTAACATGTTTTGACAATTTTTAGGCTATTTTGGACCAAAATGACTACTTTAAATCAATATTTCTCAATATTTCTACAGTAAAAGTGTCTGGTCTTTGGTACAGTGGTAGAGGGCAATCATGAGGTCATGAATCCAGTGAAATTAGTCGCACACCTTTTTACAGTGAAAAGTTACAGTAGATCAAAAGTGACATGTTTTGACCATTTTTAGGCTATTTTGGACCCAAATGGCTACTTTAACTCCATATTTCTCCAAATTTCTACAGTAAAAGTTCCTGGTCTTTGGTACAGTGGTAGAGGGCAATGTTGAGGTCATGAATCCAGTGAAATTAGTCGCACACCTTTTTACAGTAAAAAGTTACAGTAGATCAAAAGTGACATGTTTTGACTATTTTGGAGGTATTTTGGACCAAAATGGCTTCTTTAAATCAATATTTCTCAATATTTCTACAGTAAATGTTTCTTGTCTTTGGTACAGTGGTAGAGGGCAATGTTGAGGTCATGAATCCAGTGAAATTAGTCTCACACCTTTTTACAGTAAAAAAGTTACAGTAGATCAAAGGTGGGAATTTTCTTAGTTTTGTGTATTTTGGACTAAAACGTGTAATTTGTCTCAATTTTACCCACAATTTCCAAAGTAAAGGTTTGTGGTTGTAGGCACAGCGGTGAAGGCAGTGGTGAGGTCATACACCCAGTGGAATAAGATACTCAAGTCTTTACTGTAATAATGGACAGCAGCTGAAAATTTCACTTTTTGACCAAATTAAATGTCGAACATTTTAAGTTTTTACATGCTTTTCCAAATAAGGGTTTACTCACAAAACGAGTCTCCTAAGCGCTTTCTGTTCGAGGAGAAAAGCTGACAGCGAAAGGCTGTTCTGCTATTACCGTAAGCAGTCAACAAAACGCGCACTGCTTTTCTCTCGATGCGGGCCGTTTTACTTCGGAGGTGAAAGATGCGGCCCACTTTACCGCGGTGGGTGGACCGTGGGGTGGACGGACTAAACTAAAGATGGACAGTCCGCCCTGCTGCCTGTTGTTCCCCATCCCGCCAATGAGCGCCGCGATACGGCTCTGTGCCAGTCCAATGAGAGCCCCTAGCATCGAGAAGAGGACAACAACCAGCTCAGTGTGCCGGATGAAGGCTATTGTAAAGTATTTATGTTTATCATCAACAGCAGAAATACGCGCTAGTGTGGCTCAGAGTCTGGTAAACATGTGCGGTGTGTCGGACGGAGATGAGCAGATGAAAGGTGTAGGTTAGCTACAGTCGCACAGCATCAGTGTTAGCGAGGTCGCTGCCCGATATGCATCATGCATGATGGTGTGAATATAAACATTGCCTCTGGCACAGGAAACATACATTAAGAATGCAATGTCTGTGTGAGTTGTCATCGACATGAATCAATCGCAATGCTACGTTTCTGAAGTCTTGGTGAAAGGAATCCATGTCTGTGTCTTTCTTGCATGATTATCTGAACATATTCTTTAAAGAGCACACGTTTCACTTTGCCGTGCCATTCGGTTAGCTGTGCATGGATTTTAATTATATCCACAGTTTAAAGAAAAAAAAAAAATGTGTTTTTGTCCAAGCCTCTTTGCCGTAGTTAACGCTGTAGGTTTACAGCGCATGCGCAAATCACTTTTTGCAGCAAATGTTGTAGTGAAGCAGATCGTGCTGTTACCCACGGCCAACAACAATCACTGATAACTTCGATTGTCCTCTCTGAACCGCTATGCTGAGCTGATCACGCCAAACTTTCGCTTTATTGAAGCTGAAACGGAAAGTTTTATTACTTAATGTATGTGACAGTGTCATTTGTTAACTAAATGTGTATTTACTTGTACTAGGACACATGCTTTAATTAGGATTTGTGATGTGGTAGCTAGCGGTCAGCAGAGCTAGCTGGCTGCTGCCTCTAAAGTTCTTGGATGTTCCTTGAGAGTGGCTCTGCTCTTTGTTCTGTATGATGGACTGCATTTATCATGGCGATTAGACCGCTCTCCTGGAGTCAGAAAGTAAGAACAGACGGAGCCAGTCGTAATGCTAAAGATTAATTTAACCAAAATCACCATTCAAAACCCAGTACTCCTATGGTAGCGTGATGTTTAGTCATTATTATAGACACTCACATCGACCATCCTATGTCCGCTACAACTGGCCTGGGAAATGGCAGGTTTTAAATTACGTGTTCTTGTTTTCAGATGTTTTTCTTCGTGGTGACCAGTGAAACTGAATAAGATGAGTGACGTGATTTGTTTATGGAAATACGATTTCTAGTGAGTCATTTATATTTGGTGTTTATTATTTGTATTGATGAAACTGTTGACATAAGTGTCTTTTGATGTGTGATTTACTTGTGCAATATTTTATATCAAACATGTTTTCACAGATGTGCTGCTGTGGGGCAACAGGACATTTGTCCTTTTGTTGAGGCCACATATGAATCTGAAGCCATGGATCGCTGTAAGCATGTGGGGCGTCTTCATCTGGGGCAAGACCATTCGATCCTTAATCCTCAAAAATGGCAGTGTGTGGAGTGTAACACCACTGACTCTGTGTGGGCCTGTCTCAAGTGCTCCCATGTGGCCTGTGGGCACTTTGTGGAGGAGCATTCTCTCAAACACTTTCAGGAGTCACAGCACCCACTAGCCATAGAGGTCCGTGAATTAGATGTTTTTTGCTTTGCCTGTGGAGACTATGTACTGAATGACAATGCAGAGGGAGATCTCAAACTCCTCAGAGGTGCCCTCTCTACAGTCCGCAGCTCGGGCAAACGTTCACTCCGCTCCTCTGCTGGAGGGGATGGAGCCCCCTGTCTTTTAGAAAATGGGACCCACCCAGGCATGCAGTTTGCCTCGCGCTACAGGAGGAAAGCACTTTTGGGAAAGATGTTTAACATGTGGATGAAGAAACACACTGAACTGCAAGAACAGCGACAAGAAAAACTTGAAGAAGAAAAAAGACAAAAGAAGGAAGTGAAGAAGAGACTACTGGAAGAACTGGGAAGCGTGCCTCCCAGAAAGAGTGCTCGTCTTCTCACTCAGGGGCCTCGATCCACCATCACACTCATTCCCCGTAAGTTTAGGGACCCTCCAGAACGGCTACCTCCGGCCCCCAAAAAGCCCAATCCTCTACCCTTATCCCCCAAGCCCTCTCAAAACGGGAGAGCTACAAAGTTGCGGAAATATTACTCCACACATGCTGTTTCGCGGCGCAGACTGGCTCCTGGCGTCACTGGCTTGCGTAACCTTGGAAACACATGTTACATGAACTCAATACTGCAGGTGCTCAGTCACTTGCAGAAATTCAGGGAGTGTTTTCTCACATTGGACCTGTGTGAAACAGAGGTGCTGGCTAAGAGTAATCACACTCAGCAGGTGAAGGATGCAGCAGGAGGCGTTGTTAGTTGTGTTGACACAGCTCTGTCAGGATGTCCTCTTGGAGGAATTGGGAAAGAAGCGAGCTTGAGTCTGTCTGAGAGCATGAAGGAAGCTGCCCCTCCAGCTCAGTCCGCGGAGCTGGTCCAGCCCAAAGAGCCGCGCAGCTCCGCCCGTCAGCGCATGTCTCTGTGCCATGAGTTACATACACTTTTCAGGGTGATGTGGTCTGGCCGCTGGTCACTAGTGTCTCCTTTTGCCATGCTACACTCTGTGTGGAACCTCATCCCAGCGTTTCGTGGCTACGACCAACAGGACGCTCAGGAGTTTCTGTGTGAGCTGCTTGACAAAGTTCAACAGGAGCTGGACACTGAAGGATCAAAGTGCAGGATTGTTATCCCCATCACACAGAGACGACTTTCTAAGAAAGTGTTAAAAGTTCTCAATACCATCTTTCATGGGCAGCTCCTCAGCCAGGTGAGAGGTCACACCTTGAATTCAAACTTTGAATTAACATTTTGCCATTGGAATGTACATTCAAGAGCCTGTTTATACCTTGTGTATTTTAGGTGACGTGTTTGTCTTGTAAGCACAAGTCTAACACCATCGAGCCATTCTGGGACTTGTCTCTGGAGTTTCCAGAACGTTATCACAGTGTAGAAAAAGGATCCGGCTCCACAGCTTACCAGCGCAGCTGCACTCTCACTGAGATGTTGTCCAAGTTCACTGAAATGGAGGCTCTTGAAGGCAGGATTTACGCCTGTAATCACTGCAACAGTAAGTGTTATTCGTTGTATACATTTTAACCTGCTTGTCCATTCCCCCCGTTTTGTTCTTCAGTGGGCTAGACAGAAAACTACCCTTTGGTGTAATGCGTATAAATGTGTACATTCAAAATGCATTCATCTGTCAATAGAAAGGAGAAGAAAATCCTCTCGCAAACCCTTAATTTTGTCAGAAGCGAAAAAGCAGCTTCTGATCTACCGTTTACCTCAGGTTCTACGGCTGCACCTCAAGCGCTTCAGGTACGTTTACCAAACTGAGAGTGAAGGAGCAAGACCATGTACAGTGCCTTGCGAAAGTATTCGGCCCCCTTGAACCTTTCAACATTTCGCCACATTTCAGGCTTCAAACATAAAGATATTAAATTTAAATTTTTGTCATGAATCAACAAGTGGGACACAATCGTGAAGTGGAACGAAATTCAGATTCATTTATTTGCCATTTGCAGTAAAACCACATTGGAAAACTGTGCAAGACTACCCCGGTGTGCGGTGTGAATTCATTGGATAATTTAAACTTTTTTAACAAATAAAAAACTAAAAAGTGGGGCGTGCAATATTATTCGGCCGCTTTACTTTCAGTGCAGCAAACTCACTCCAGAAGTTCAGTGAGGATCTTTGAATGATCCAATGTTGTCCTAAATGACTGATGATGATAAATAGAATGCACCTGAGTGTAAACAAGTCTCCGTAAGGCTCAGGGTTCTGTTTAAAGCGCAGAGAGAACCATGAAGACAAAGGAACACACCAGGCAGGTCCGAGATACTGTTGTGGAGAAGTTTAAGCCTGAAATGTGGCGAAATGTTGAAAGGTTCAAGGGGGCCGAATACTTTCGCAAGGCACTGAATATAAATAATGGTATGTTTATGTGGCAGATGGTCGGGGCGTAATCATCGGGACAAGATCGGTGTCCATGTGGCCTTTGACCAGGTCCTGAACATCAAAGCGTACTGCTGCACAGACGCGGGTCAGTCTGTGCACAGAGGAGGGTACGTGTACGATCTGTCTGCTGTAGTCATGCATCACGGCAAAGGCTTCGGCTCAGGGCACTACACCGCATACTGCTACAACACTGAAGGAGGTGAGAATCGGTCCCATAGAATGTCCCTGACTCAGTTTATCATCTTTCTCACATTCATTTTGTTTCCAGGTTTCTGGGTTCACTGTAACGACTCTGACATGAAAGTTTGCAGTGTGGAGGAAGTGTGCAACACTCAGGCCTATATTCTTTTCTACACCCAGAGGTCTGCATAGAAACCTCACAGGTACCTTGTTGTGAGGTTGACCACAACTTGGAAACATAGGGCTGCATTTAGAGTTATGTTCTGTTCCCTGATATAGGCTCAACATTTCACTAAGTCATGTGGAATAAAGTGTGGTCAACATTGTTTTGGTACAATGTTGATGAAGCTAATTAAAAAAACACTTTGTATAAATGAGGCCAGGGCTTTCTCAGCCTGTGGTACCAGCACATTCTCATCCAGCCTGAAGACTGTGGTAGACAGTTTCTCAATCTGTCAATCTTCACAAATGACAAGACTGAAACCCTGATACTTGCCTCAGAATTTGCATTTAATGGCAACATAGACACGAGTTAAATGCATTTATTACAATCATGTGCATTTTTATACTAAGTATTGTTTTGTAAATGCACAATGTTTTGTTGGAGATGATTGATAATAGAGGCAATAACTCTGACTCTGTGTTACCTCCTGTTGGTGTTACATTTTTCTGGTTCATACTCCATTTGTTGTGTCCTCGCCTCTACTGTACTACAGTGACTGAATACTGTGTCTCTGGCCTTAGGCCTCTGTCCTTTTCTCAGTGAGCGCAAATAATTATTGTTTTTCATAGAAATGTTTGACAACATTATTTTTTGGTATAAGCAGCGTTGATGTAGAGGGCGTGCGGCTTGAGTCTCTGTGCAGTGCTTTTGCTCCTGTCCCATCTAAAGGCAGCTGTTATCGTGGTCGGGCCCTGACTGAAAGTCCAAGGATGGACGGAGAAACAGACGAATGTTTTGGGCAAATCTCCCCAATCTAGAGCACCTAAAAGCAATATTTTCAACACCTTGCATCTTGACAGGTAATTAATCAGGAATTCTGGTTGTTATACAATGTTTTTTTTTACTCTGCTGTTTCTACCAATGTCTTTAGAATTACTAGTTAACCAGAAAAGCGTTTTCATTTGAAACAAATCAAATGTTGGATACATTTGTGAACACTGAAAAAGTTTGAACAATCTAATGACGATGAATGTCTTACTTTTAAGTGGCCATGTTCATGCCACTGATTTCAAGTTTTGTCTTGTAATGTAAAATACGTGTCATAAATGTAAGTCATATGGATTTTTGTTTATGGTAAATATTAAAACATCTTTAAAACAAGTTTACTTTTTGTTTATTTATGTGTGTCATCTATATCCAGGTTTGACCAATGAACACCTTTAACACGTTCAGTCGATGACCGAAATCTGTGATTTAAAAAAATGTATATGTACACCCATGTTCTCCATGAAAACATTTGATATTATTCAATCTATTATATGAAATATTTTATTTTTTACATTTGATAAAACATTATTTAAACTATCTAAATGCAAATACAACATGCCAGTTGAAGTGACCCAGTTCAAACAAAAGCTGATATACTACAGTACATATGGACAAGCATCAACAGACAAATAGTTGTAGTGAGAAAGAAGTTAATTTGATCAGAATAAAATACATGAAATGTAAAAAGCAGTGCGTCAAAATATGTGTAAACAATGAATGACATTTGAATTATAATTTTGACGGCAGATGGTGGCAGTTCCTGAAATTATTGTCAGTAGATGAAAAGCACATGCCTGTATAGTTGCATTAAAATGCACATATTTGGACATGCATGAGAACGACATTCAAGAAAAAGCCTTAACCTCGTAAATACATGAGCTTTCACATGAGGTAATAGCAAAGCTGGAAGTGCTCAGTCAGAGTGGTTTCAAATGACACTTCATGTGATGTTGGTCACGACAAGATCCAAGATCATCCATTTGTTTGATGAATACATGATTTGTGGTGTGTAAAGTTTTAGATTTGGGTTTTCTGTCCACAAGTGACTGTTTGTCCTTGGACTGTCCCAAAGAGAAAGTGATGTGGACTGTTGTACGATGGTAACTCAGCTCGACAGCCACGGTTCCACGAAGTCCCACTGTTTCCACAGGACGAAGAGCAGAAGCGTGAGCAGCACAGTAGCAGTCACACGAGCACGCGTCTTCATCAGGGGAGTGATGAAGTTTGCCAAAGTGGATACGAACACCAGGAGCACAGCCATCAGAGCCAGGATCACGTTGATGAGTTTTCCAAGCAGCGCTCGGGCGTTTGCGTTCTCCACTCCCTCCAGCTGCACCACCTGCTGCTGCTGCTGCTGCAGCTCCAGCTTAGTGATGCGAGTCAGACAGGACTCTACAGCCTCCTGTATAGACACATGGCACATGTTAACTGAATAGGCATTATCAAAATCACAATCAGAGTCACCACAGAAAAGACAAAACAGATGTTCCAGGAATAAAACTAATAAACAAATTAGTGTTTTATTAATGTTGAGTTTTATGACTCATTTGTAGTTGAATTGTTCAAACAAGTCTTTTTAGGGTTTAAAAAGTGAGATATTAAAGGTTTTTTTTGCAACATATAAAACTTTCTAAATCCTAAAGCTATCAGTTATACAATGTAAAAACATTTATTTGATAATAATCAAAAGAATGAGATCCCGGATGCAAGTGGTTGAAATGACTTTCCTCTGCATAGTGGCTGGGCACTCCCTCAGAGATGGGTTTAGGCGCTCTGTTACACAATAACTAGATTTGGCTTTGCTACTTGTAGCTTTATTTCAACACTGTCTTTCTGTTAACCACTTGTCTGATTTCTGTGGATTATGACTAATAATTATTTTGCAAATGAGGTTCCATGAGGTAAGCGGTAGGTGTCTGCAGAACTGAACTTTCAGTACAAAATTGTAAACATGACAAAATGTGCTAATGTTCAAGGTATATTATACATATTTATATGAATATGAACACACTGGTGCATCAAAGCCATGGATCTATAATAATATCTTGATAGGGTTGTACTAGCTGTCCCACCAATTGGCACAGGGGGCGCCCGTGGTACTGCAGACTAAATTCACCCGGGCTTCCCAGAAAAAAGTCCCATAGAACTCAATGTAAACTAAAACAGCTCGACCTCAGCTGACGAGTTCCACTAATCTTTTGGTCCCCATGATATGACTGTCCCATGCACTACTGAGCACAAGCCATTGATTTGAACTAGGGCGTCATCTTGGATCACCTGGGCTTGATCAAAGCCCCCAACCAACACCATCCATTCACTAAAACCGTGTAGATTAGGTATGAATGTAATACATTCATACCTATTCTACATGGTTTTAGCGGTAGAGGAAACGGACGCTTCCCTGGGGAGGGCACGTCCCACCGGAAGGAGACCCCGGGGAAGACCCAGGACACGCTGGAGGGACTATGTCTCTCAGCTGGCCTGGGAACGCCTTGAGGTTCCCCCGGATGAGCTGGAGGAAGAGTTTGTGGAGAGGGAAGTCTGGCCGTCTCTGCTAAGACTGCTGCCCCTGCGACCTGGCAATGAATGAAGCGTAAGGAAATGGATGGATGGAAACCGGAGCACCCAAAGGAAACCTAAGCAAAAGCGAGGAGAACATGCGAACTCCACACAGATAGGCCTGGAGGTGGAATTGAACCCTTCTTGCTGTGAAACATAAGCTCTAACCGCCCCCAAAGTAACTTAGCCAACACTGAACGTACAGAGTAAGATCTACTACAACATGTACCTGGATATCTCTGGCTCTCTCATACGACTGGTAGGCCACTTTCTCCTCCATGCTGGCTAGTTCTTGTTTGAGATTGGTCATCTCATTCTGGTGTAGCTCTGTCAGGTCATTGAGCTGCTCCTCCAGTCTTTCATACCTATAAAAACACAGGATTATCGATGTTGAGGTGTTTCCACACCTCTGTGTAAGCTTTACCTGTATCTCTCCTCCTGCAGACACTGTGTCATGTATGAGTAGTCGCTGTGCAGTTGTCCTTTCATGTCTTCGATAGCATCCTCCATATGTGTCTGACCTGCCTTGATCTCCTGCAGCCCCTCCAGCAGAGACTCCCAGGAGCTGTGAATGTGGTGATGATGATGATGATGTCCGTCCAGTCTGGGGCTCCCCATGGCTGCTCCTAAAAGCCCCCCTCCTCCTGCCCCACCAGAGTTACTTCCCACTGCCGACCCAGAGGTGGCGCTGGAGCACTCGTCGTCGCTGCCGTACTTGGGGCTGGACACTAGTGTAGCGCTCCCACTTAGTGCTCGAGGTGTGGGGGCGTCCTCGGAGGAACAGCCCACCCCGTCTTCAAGTGCGTCTTTAAGGTGAGCTATGTTATCAGCACTGCCAAATTTGTTCCTAATCAGACTGGCAATTTCCCTGGGCTTGGACACCACTGCAGTGTGAGTGAGAGCAGAGACACCACCTTTGACTCCTTCAACTACTCCACCGCCAAAGCCACTTATTCCAGCGCGAACATTGGCCCCAACGTCCTTCAGTCCCTGCTGCATGTCCCGGAGCACATCTTTGGGCTGCCGGGCAGGTCCATTCTGTGGAGATGGAAGACAAATCAGTGAGGTACAACTAAAAGGACAGTGGTGATGATCCAGGACACTCAACATTTATCAACACTTAAGGACTTTGGTCATCTGCCCCTTATGGACCAATACCAATGCGTTTTCTGTTTTATTGTTTGAATTGTTTGATTCCCTGATCTTTGTTGGCGAATTGTGTAAAGTCCTCCGAGAAAACTATTGTCGTGATTTAGGGCTTTACAAGAATACATTGAATTGAATTAACAGAGGGGGTTACTTCATGTGTTAAGACACAGACAAATAAGTTGTTCCATCAGAACATAGATCAAGTAACAAAGTGATCTTACAAAACTTCAAATGTATGAATTAGAAAAGCAGGCATTAGAAGGAGCAGAAATACACAAAGAACTACAATCTATAATGTCCTACAGTCATTTTATCTTCCATAGAGATTTTGATTAAAGAAACCGAGTGGTTACAACTTCTGCCTAACAGCAACAAGGTCCTGGGTTTTGTGTGGAGTTTGCATGTTCTCCCCATGTCTGCGTAGGTTTATATGAGCGTAGGTTTTTTGGTATACATAAGTTTCCCCTACCACTAAAAACATGTACATGACAGAGTTACTATTACTCTCTCTAGAGGTGGTATATCTCCTCACCTGCTTGATTTAACAGTAATAACAAGTAAAACTATATTCATAAACAGCCTTAATGTACTTTATGTCATTATATGTCATAGTGTGAGGATTAGATAGCGATTTGGCCTACGTGCAGGACTATACAAGGACTCTGATGGTGCATCCATGTTATGACTATGTGTGTGACACGTATGTCTTTCGATGTGTGACCTGACAATGACTATATAAACTGTGTACTGCCTTTATTCTGTCTGAGAGAAAGAAACATCAGAAACCACTGGAACTTGAGAGAAACCAAAATAAATTTCCAGAGTTTGGCGCACCACGATCCGTCTCTGTCTGGGGCATTCCTGACAATATTTAGAAGTCTTTCCCATATGTATTTGTATATATAAGTATCTGTTATATCCTTTAAAAGTACGTCTAGTAATTTAAACAAGTTATAATAGCCAATATATTGATGGCTAGAGAAAAACTTGTCAAACAAAACTTTTGATAAATAAAAATAAAAATCATCACTAAAATTACAACCACATCAATGCATGCACAGTAGGTTATTAAACTTAGAAGCTTGGCTAACCACTTCAAACACGTATTCTTTGAAGAGGTTGTTGTTTTTTTGTCTTTTTCCTGCAGCATTGTTTCAGCAGTTTTATAGATTTGTTTTGTTTTTGTAGTCATCTGCAAAGGTCTTTGAAACAACTGACCTCTGATCCTTAAAAGCAAAGAGTAAGTAAAAACAAAGTTAAGTGACACAAGACAAATGATAATTGTGTGCATTTTCTCTCTCTCTCTCTCTCTCTCTCTCTCTGTGTGTGTGTATGTGTGTAATGTAACAGGCAAGAGGAGGCCCAGCGATAAAATATTTATCCTGTAATGGCAGCAGTCCAAATTCACATTAAGATGCTGGAGATATTTAAAATGCTATAGTATGCAAATGAATGATCAATCTACTTAATCATGCCCTGTCTGCATTCCCTGGTATACAGTATATTCTAATGAAATATTACTTAAACTGAAAAGTGCTTTGAATGTGGAGAGAAGGGCAGTCATTCGTACCTGTTCGATTTCCTTCAGCTTCTTGTGATAGTGCTCTAGTTTCTTGTGCAGCTGTGTGATGGTCTGTGCAGACTTTTGGTTCTTCTTCTCAAACACTTGCTTTATGCGTGATGCCTGTTGCTTGTCAGCGTTGTGGGCGAGTTTTAGGTACTCTGCCACATTGTCGTCGCGGGACTCCTGCTCAACTCGGATTTGTTCTGTAACTTTGAGGATCTTCTGTTGGAGATGTTCAAGAGCGACCCTGGTTCGCTGTGGTTCCCCTGAGGGTTCACCTCCGCTGGCTCCGGCTGCTCCTGCTCCGTCTGTGCTGATGTTGGTGTCAGAGCCTCCATGACTCGGGGCTGAAGGTAAGCCTAGGGTGGACACCTCACTCTTATCCAGCTGTGGAGAAGAGACAGCTGCATCAGTTCATATCCCTTAACAATATTCGTCCCAATGTCTCTCATGTTACTAAGAATCCTCAGGCAAGAGATTATGTGGAACTGAATCAAAAACAGAGATCCCACAATAAAATTGAAATCAAACAATGCAGTGTCAAGACAAATTTATTGGAGAATATTATTTCTTCAGTGCAGACCCAAGTATGATCAAGTTAGAATCAGAAAGAACAAAAACAAAATCAGCCTCTGCCACAATGTGTGTTTCCCCCCTGGAAGTTATGCACCAGAGATGAGTTTACACACACTTCTGTTCTCAACTCTACAAATCTGGGTCACAGGAAGAGGATCTCCTGTTTTGATACTATGGCAACAACACTATGACTTTGATCATAATAATAGCTCCATGATGCATGAATAGAAACATGATGTTGCTGAAGTGCTCCATGATAATCTAATGTTCGAATTGCTTCATCCAAACCTCCTCTGTGGTGTCCACACGGTGATGACAATGCTTATTATAGCGTCCTTTGTGTTAACTACAGTGACAGCAGCCTAGATCTGCCTGACCTATCTCAATCGCAAAGACTCGTGTAATCCCTTTACACAATAAGACACCCGCCCGACACAGGCCCATCATTGATCCACGTTGGGATTCCCTTGCCCCGGGGCCGAGGACGGAACAGTGTGACTGGGCAGATGGCGGGATCATTAATGACCCCTCAGACTGACGTCAAAACAGTGTAATCGGAGCCTGAAAACACGAGTGGCACCAGACACATGGCATAAAATAGGCCCCCAATGGAGCAGCTCCTGCCTGTGTGACAGTGTCAGGGACTCAAAGCTACGCCAACAATGTATGTTTTGTATATTTTGGACTAAACTAAAAATAAAGAGGCGTAAGTGGGAATAACAGATGACTGCAGTCGGGAACATCTAGGACATGATGTGAGGGCAGTACAGACACGGTGCAGAATAATATTCCAAAAACACAACCGCAGCGCAGCAGCGGAAAGGGGACGTTGGAATGAGGAGTTATTTAATAAATGATGGTTAGTGCAGGACAAATGGGCACGGAAAGAAGATGTACAAATGTTGCAACGTGAAACCGCAGGACTGTCCGCGGAGCGCACGGAAACAAGGTGTGACATGAGATGGACTGGACACATGAGGATGAGACACAAGCAGCACAGCTATAAATCAAATTAGAAACGTTACCATACTGATTTAATCCAATATGTGAGGTGCCATTGCAAGTCTGTGCACGAGGCCCATCCTCCTCCTCCCGCCTCCCCTGAAAACTGAGGTGCCCCTCCTCAACTCTCTCCGGCCCGAGTCGTTTTTGGCTCAATGACTCTCTGTATCTTAAAGCTTCATTGTGAAAGGCATTGATTCCTGCACCCTTCCGCTAATGGGTCTGTATCTCTGCCTTACCTTCGCACCCCTGGCCCTCCCCCCTCCCTCTGTGCTCCCGTGGCCGGCTGCTGATGCTGAGGGACAGATGATGAGGAGCGGGCGGGGGATGGGACCACGGAGAGCTGTGGCGCATGCGCAAAGGTGCCACAGGAGTCAGCGCGCGGAGTGCCGCTGTAGGCTTCTCATCTCTTCTCAATGGCCTCCAAAGACAGAGAACAAAGTCGAAAAGCTTTGCTTGGTATTTACAGGGCCAGATTTAACAAAAGAAAGAAATTCACAATGTGAGCATCGCCATGCACCTAAATGCACCTAAAATAAAGCTTTTTAAGACACTTTAAAAATAGTGTACTTATCCATATACATGTACACAATTGTGGATACAATAAATTCTAAATTAAATTAATGTTATTGTATTAGTGTTTTGTATTTGTATGTTGTGTTTATTTGAATGACACAGTGTACAATAATGAACATCAAGAGTTGTAAAAACACCTGATTGTAGCTGTTATCCATCTGTAGACACACTCATTCAGTCCTCATCTATTGTACATGTTTTTAGGGGTAGGAAAAACTGGAGCACCTGGAGTAAACACGCAAACAAAAAAAGGCCCTGACTGTAGATGAAATCCATCTGGCCTTCGTGGTGAAACACAAGTGCTATCCACTGTACCACCGGACCATCTTGCTTGAAATATTTTGTTTTCTAATAAGAAAACATGTATTAATAAAAAAAATATGTCTTAAAAAAAAAAAAAGGGCAAATATGCATCTTCTTCATTCAACTTTTTTGTTACCAGCACAATTCAGCCCAGACTTTGTTTACTTGAGCACATGATTGGAAATCACTTTCAGATTTCCAGATCAAAAATGGAAAATAACTATGATGAATTAAAGTAAAACAGAAAGACATTTTTATGTAACATTTTATTGAACTTTTGATGATCAACAATAGATCTCTAGCTATAATAGATACATTTTACAATAAATAAATGTGCATTTATTCCTAAAATAAAACTTTTAAGGTTGTGTGCACTGAAGAGAAGTGCAATTCTGTTTTGGGGTAGTTCAACTGCATTTTCTTCTAACCCTAGATAGGTTACCCTCAGAATATAGGCATAAATATATACTTTTTTATATGAGGCAGATAAAGATAGGTTTTCTTAATTGCACAATCCTTCTTAAATAAAACAAAGCAGTTGGCTTTAATTTAGCTTGGTAGATGATAGTTATTGTTCTGTAAATAATCTTCTGATTGTAAAATGTAAAGTCCTTAGTTTTACTTCCAGAGGTACATATTTTGTACTCCAGCTTATGGCTAAATATGTGCAACACCGCAACAGAAGAAAGGCTACTGTGCAAATACAGTAAATCTGTGAATGAGAACATACAGCTTAAAAACGTATTCTAGTGTTTGAGTTAGGGTGTTGGAAGCACTGCAGGGGTCCGAATCAAGGTCAAGGTCAAGTTTATTTATATAGCACATTTTAAAAACAGACAGGACTGTCACAAAGTGCTTACCAGACATTGTAAAAATACAAGACACAAATAACATTCAGCATAAAATAAAATGCAGGACACCATCATAAATGTTTCAACATTGCTTGTGTTAAAAAGCCAAAGCAAAGAAATGTGTCTTTAGCTGCGATTTAAAACTCTCTACAGAGGGGGCAGCTCTGATGGAGTAAGGGAGAGCGTTCCAGAGTTTAGGCCCTGCCACAGCAAAGGCTCGGTCTCCTCTGGTTTTTAATCTAGACCTGGGACAGTGCAGAAGAAGCTGGTCAGAGGACCTCAGTGCTCTTCCCGGGGTGTGCAAAGTAAGCAAGTCAGTCAGATATGACGGAGCCAGGTCATGCAGAGATTTAAATACTAACAATAACATTTTAAACTTAATTCTAAAAGCGACAGGAAGCCAATGTAGAGACAACAGCACAGGAGTGATGTGCTCGTGTCGTCTGGTGCCAGTCAGCATCCGAGCTGCTGCATTCTGTACCAGCTGCAGTCAGTCTGTGGACTGAGGACTGGTCAAGGCCATAGTATAAAGAGTTACAATAGTCCAGCCGTGTGGATATGAGGGCGTGGACAACCTTCTCAAGGTCATTTGGTGGAAGATAGCCTTTAACTTTGGTCAACAGTCTCAGCTGGAAGAAGCTGGCTTTGACAACTGAACTTATTTGTTTGTCCATTTTAAAAGCACCATCAAAATACACACCAAGGTTTTTTGCAAGTGGGCGGCAGTAGGAAGACAGGCTAGACACACCGTTGAAAACAGACGGATCAGGTTCACCAAACAGTACAATTTCTGTTTTTGTGTGATTCAGGTTTAAAAAATTGATTGACATCCAGTTTTTTACATCGTCAAGACATTTCTGCAGTGCTTGGACAGAATCGGAATTCACATTCAAAGGCAAATAGATTTGAACATCATCAGCAAAGCAGTGAAATGAAATGTTATGCTTTTTGAATATCGAGCCTAAGGGCAACATGTACAGTGAAAATAAAACTGGTCCTAAAACGGAACCCTGCGGTACACCACTGTCAAGGGAGGCTTTCTTTGAGCTGCAAGAGCCGAGATTTACAGAAAACACCCGATCGGACAGGTACGAGTGGAACCACTTGAGTGCTGTGCCTTTAATTCCAGCACAGGACTCAAGGCGGGAGATAAGAATGTTATGATCGACAGTGTCGAATGCTGCTGTCAGATCTAGAAGCACTAACACCGAGGGGCTTCCGGAGTCAGAGATTAAAAGAAGATCATTAAAAATTTTCAACAGTGCAGTTTCTGTGCTGTGCAGGGATTTAAACCCAGAGTGAAATTTTTCTAAAATATCATTGGATTTAAGGTGCGACTGGAGCTGGTTAAGAACTACCTTTTCTAGAACCTTGGATAGAAAAGGCAGTTTAGAAATAGGCCTAAAATTGGACAAGACAGATGGGTCCAAATTGTGCTTTTTTAGCAAAGGCTGCACAATGGCCTGTTTAAAGGCAGCTGGGACACAGCCCTCTTCGAGTGACTGATTGATCAGGTTTAAAATACAAGGACCAACAGAATCTAAAACATCTTTAAACATTCTCGCAGGCAGGGTATCTAAAGGACAGTTAGACACTTTAAGTGTTTGAACAGTCTGCAGTAATTCAGACAGAGAGATGGGCTCAAAGTCTGCAAAAACAGCTGAACAAGGAGAGACAAGACTGGGATCCACTACAGCACATGAGGTTGAAGAGCGCAAAGAAGACACTTTCTCTTTGAAAAATGTACAGAATTGGTCGCACAAAGAAACAGATGGGGAAACACCAGTGTGTTCAACTGGGTTTACAATACTGTTTAACACATTAAAGAGAACTTTGGGGTTGTTACAATTTTTGGTAACAAGGTTGGACATGTAGTTGGTCTTTGCTGATTTTACAGCTCTTTGGTAGTTTTTAAGAGAGTCTTTTAAAATTCCCAGGGACACATGAAGTCGGTCTTTTTTCCATTTTCTCTCCGCGCGGCGACATTCACAGCGAAGAGCACGCGTTGTGGCATTGTGCCACGGCTCTCCAGGCTTTGAGCGCATGTGCGTAAAAGGCGCAATAGAGTCAAGAATCTCGATGCAAGTGGAATCAAGGAGGCTAACCATGTCATTAATTTCCAAGTTGGTTACGGAAGCGCTCAGAGGCGAGGCATTAAAAGCTGCGGAAAAAAGAGGAGCCGTAGTAGAGCAAATACGCCGCTTGCTCACGGGAACGCACGCATTTGCTTTTGGGCAAGACATCGAAATTGAAAACAACACAGGCATATGATCAGAGATCCCCAAGTCACATATGAATCAGGGTTAAAAGTGATGGCACTTCTGTTGAACTAGATCGAAGCATAGAAGTATCATGTGCAGTAGATCACAATCCATACTATGAAAATATAGTATTAAAAAAATCAAGTTTTTTCATGTAAAATGAACATAGAAACCAGAAAAATTATCCCAATTTTGCTTTCAAGTGTGTTCAATAAAGTTTTGTTGCAATTTTCTGAGAGATGACTCATGATCCACTTGTCAATCCTGTACTGCACAGTAGGAAATGTCGGTCATAGCTACGCTTGATCCAAATGAGTATAAATCCACTGATTCAGAGAGATTATTGCTAATCCTCTACGCTCACATGTCCCCTTCTTACCACTGGGAAAACAAAACCCTGCTTAGAGAAAGCAGTACCCTAATTAACCTCATACTAATGACAGCTATAAATGTAGCCAGAGGTCCCTTTCATTGTAGATGAACAGAGAGCAGCCTGCTCCTGTGGGCTGCAGAGCAGAGTCAGTATAGGTCATTGTTCCTGCGTGAACTGCCTTGATTCACTTTTGGATTCAACACAACAACGCATCACTCCCCAGATTTCCGTGGCTTTTCAACTACTCGTCGTTTTGCTTGGAAGAAATCTTCAAGAAAAACATAAATAAATGTTAGAGAATGACAATGTATAAAACAGATTATTCTAGATAATATGATAGATACCTTTGATATTAGTTTGCTTCCGCTTGAGGCCTCTGCAATCGCCTCGCTCTGGCGTTTGTTCGAACTTCTCCATGTGTAGTGAACATCTCTCTGGGGAGTGTGGGATGTTTTCCTTGTCACAGTGGGACGTCTCTGCCCATCCTCTCTTGTGGGAAACTGCTGATGCTGTATGGCCTCCATCTGCTTGTCCCAGGATACAGGAGCGGTACAGAAGAGGCACCTTAGAGGCTGGGATACCCTCCCACTGAAATGTGCTGCTGTTCAGGGGCTTGTCTCGGAGGAAGTCAAAGCCCCAGCGCTTGGAGGCTTCTTCCAGATCTTTCCACAGAGCAGCCTGGTACTCCAACTGCAGCTGCTCTCTGTCCACCGGCCCAAAGAGGGTCCTCCGGGTCGGCCCATTTCCCAGGGTGCCTAGGATCTGTTTGTGAGCAGCCATGGTTTTACACTGCAAAGAGATGAAAAGAAAAAAGGTTATTCCTCAGAGCTTTCGCAAAACTTAGCATAAAGAATGACCAGCTGGGATGAGAACACTTTGATGGTTTAGGTAACTAGAAAATAATGAAACCAGAAAATACAAAAAAGCCTTACCATTGCGCTGACCTCCAGAGTGGCATCAATAAGACACAAACATACTGAGGCAAAGGGAAAAGCTGCCGCTTTTATAGAGCAGAGTCTGACTCAGAGCCCTCAGCGGTACATGTCTGGGCATAGTCTCACACAGACATGCGAGGGCAAAACAAATCATACTGCTAGTAAGGCGCCAGGTGGCAGTATCACGTCACACTCACTGCCTACATCCAATTTGAAACGGTTGAAAGAAAGTCCTAAGTTACTTGATACTGTTTTTAGCTCAAATATAACGTGTGCCACAACAGCATTTTATTTGTCAGTGGAATATGTATCTACATAACTGGAGCATTTCCATTTTAAAATCTTGCATTGTAATCTTATTTGTCATTGTTTGCATTGACTATAATTATAATATGTTATTTACATTTACAATTTGATCATCGCTATATGTAACTTAATATCAGTTACTTAATAACCTTTTACATTAGCCGAACTAAAATGAGAGAAGTTCTTCATCGATTACAAAAGGATAAAGCTCTGTCAGGAATAATGAGGAGTCAAGTGTCTGATCATCTCCACCCTCTTACATAACATGTTGCCCTCAGGTGTACTGTACGATAAATAATGTACACAGTCCAATACGACAAATAAATGTCCCCAGAGACACCATTAGCACCAAAAGTGTATCAATATTAATTCTGCATTATTATTATTATTGTTTTAATGTGTTGTCCCCATCACACATAACATTTAAATCACAAGTCGGACGATTCAGGACCACTCCCAGCAACAGACACTATGGGGGGCAGACAACCTTTGAGCTGCAAATGAAATATAGTTGTAATTTAATCTATAATATACTTTCAGTAACCTTTCTTCAAATTATTATTCCAAATGTTATTTCAAATGATGCCTGATTGTCTATTTCTGAGTGGAGGAGCTGAGACAAACGCGTGAGTCACTTTCCCTTCCCTCGTGACACGGGACCGGAGCTCGTCAGAGAGAGGGGGGCCGTCCCGGGGCAGAGAGGGGCGTGTGTAGCGCTGTGGCGGGAGATATCCCAGGCACAAACAGCCAGAGAGGAACCGGCTGAAGTCAGCATGGAGCCACCCCTGAGCCACCCCAGTCCTCATCACACCCTGCCCCGCTACTACAGCCTCACACGTGAGCGCATGACTCGTGTATGCCCGGCCAGACTGGGCTGGGGCAGGCTAACTTTATCAGGCCACAAACAACATTGGAGACAACATATGCAACAATATAAGCCAAGGTTTATTCTCAGAAAGCGCCTTTAAATTGGCAACGTGTGTCAGTGTGAGACTGAATGGAAACATGGCAAACACCAAGTCCACTTAAACGTAATAAAAGATTATAAACCAAATTGATTATGTTGACATTTGTGAAATAGGTCTAAATGCTATCCTTGTATTAGTAAAGTCCGAAACACGCCAATGTGTAACAACCATAGACAGTAAATACAACATAATTCACGACCAAAAGAAGGCAGACAGTTCACAAATTGGTTCTGAATGGAGATGGCAGATATTTCATTCATGCTGTACTTACATGTTGGGTCTGTTCAAGGACGAGATGTTTCCCCCTGGATAACGAGTCAAAACTAAGAAGATGCTCGAGGTGGATGTATCCAAATAAAACGACGCGTAAAAAGAAGCGTCGGTCAGGCTTTCTTCAATTTGTCTCCAAGTTTTCTCTCAGATTGGACGGAATAAACGTATACGAACACCGGTGGGTGTCAACCATCCGTCCCCCGTGGAGAGGCGGGGTTTTGGGGGCTCACACGTGGAATTAGCCGAGTAAATACACGAGATCCACGTGAAAAATTGGCTCTCTCGTGGGGCTGAGGAAATTCCAGCGCAAGTCCCAGAGTTTTACTTTACTGCGCATGTGCAGAATTCATCCGCACGGGACTCACCAACACTTGTGTCTGCAGCGCTTATTACAGATTCAAAAACAAATACAATTTGTAATTAATGGGTTATGGATGGATGTTATCTTTGAATATTGGTTAATAGTACTTAGTTTGGCATTTTTAATGTTTTCTTTGTTATGTTGTATCAGTGCCTTGTGATTTTTTTCAATCAGAATCAGAATCATTTTTATTGCCTCCTGCGTAAGTAACAGGAGGTCACAGACTTAGAAATTGCTTTGGCTCTGTGCAACAATCAGAGAGAGAGAATTAAAAATAAATAATAAAAACACTTCTAAGGAATAAATTCAAAATTTAAATTAAAATAGAGTTACAATTACTATATACAATATACAGTGCACATGGTGCACACAATGTAAGGTAGCAGTACAGTGAAGTAAAGTGACGTATGATGGGCAGTAAAGTGACATTATAAAGAGCAGTAGGGGACTTCTAGAGGGCGGGGAGGTTAAGAAGTGTTTAAGAGTCCAACAGCAGAGGGGAAGAAACTGTTCTTGTGGCTGTGTCACTTGGGTGGCCGTTGTATCGCATGCAGGTGTGGCCCCCAGGACTGTTTAAGTATAATAAGATACCCCCCAATTAATTTTCATTTTAATTAACCCTTTTATTTTACTACTAATGTTTCTTAATTTTGGCTGTGTACTATTTACCCGTTTCTGGTGCTATGTTAATTTGCGCCAGAAGATGGCAGTAGTGGCACGTAAGTAGGAGACTAACGTCCTGGTCTCGCGCAGAGTTAGCTCAGTTCTGCGTAAGGTTTTCAACTGAAGTCCACGGAGGCAAAGCCGCGTCTGAAAACTATATATGTTTCTGTTTACAGGTGGGTTAAGTACACTAAGCACTCTATGGGTAACATTAGTGGGACTACTTGTAATTTCGGGACGATCCAGTTAAATATAGACGTTGGTCCGATTTGTTGCTAGTTATTTTCTATTTCTATATAGGTTCATCGTAGCAGTTGAGTAGCTATATTGTGACTGGCTATTGGTAAATAAGTACTTTTATTGTACTGGTAGATCTGTAATTTGTAACGTTTATGTCAAGTTTAAGCTTGTTTTTTCTTTTTGTAAAAACTTTGGTTAAAGAGTCTGTAAGACAAGACAATGTGTTATACTAAATATTGAGTCTGCATAGTATAAAGCAAGAGTTAGCTCAGTTTCTGCGTAAGGTTTTCAACGGAAGTCCACGGTAGGCTAAAGCCGCGTCTGAGAAACTTATATATGTTTTGTTTACAGAATTAAAAAAAACCCAATTGTTACACCCCAGCTGTGTCTGTCTTCACGGGGGTAACATAATCTTGGCGAGCCAGCCGGAGCGGAAAGAAGCGTTCCTGAGACACCTACCCGAGAGTCGAACCTAGAAGTAAATCAAAAATCAACATGGAACAAGAACTGGATGAGATCATCGCAACACTGTGGACATTGGGGAAACCAGAGCTCATCAAAGTGTGCCATCATCTTAAGTGCAGTAGACGGCTGGGGATGGGTTTTGGATGGAATGACCCGCCGCGCTCTGATAAATGTGGTGGAATACACAAAATTGTGATATTGAAGAGATGAAGATGTGACCCCCTGGCGTTCCTAGAGTTTGTTATGAACTCAAGTCAGTTGTACAGGACATTCGGAGCACATCGATACAGTTGAACCTAAATCGCAAAAGTCAGAGAATTGCATGCATATTGAAAAACTAAGCAGGAATACGAGCAACTTCAGAAGGCGCAGGCAGAAGAACGTCGCATTCTGGAGGTGAAGGATTGGAGCCTTTGGGGGCAAAGCTTGAATAGCATGGCAGCAACAGTGAAAGAGGGGCAAAACCACCTGCACCCACAGGTGCCTGAAGTCACATTAATGAAAGACTTTAAAATCATGGGGGCAGATTGGGGAAGCGGGCAGAAGACAGCTTTCTTTCACCAGTTAAATAATCAGATTGAGTCAGGCATCAAGAAGGGATACTCTGAATTCGAAAATCATCGAAGCTGTCATCAAGACTGTCAGCCCTGGCCTTCATCTCAGAGATCTGTGGACGTGAAGCGGGACCTCACGCTCTCCACTCCTCACAACATCTTAAGAGGACATCAAGTTGACTTCATCATCAGACTGCGCAAAGGCTCATGAAACTTTCCCAAGACCCCTAAAGGAGTTTCTGCTCAAGCATTCCTGTTTGAGCAGTTGAGAGAGAAACTGCTCTACAAGTCTGGCGAAGAAGATGAAGGGGAACAGTTCAGCCCAAATCTGATCCAACGCAAATTCCTGCGGTCCCCTCGAGACAGGTTTGTTGAGCGAAGCAGTAAAGTTCCAGTTAAAACCATATCTGAGCACACCAAATGTGAGAGATGAAGTTTTAATTGAAAAGATAAACGAAGCTTCGAGCCTTGAAATAGAGCGACAAAACAAACTTAAAAGACATGTACCAGTCAAACCACCCAGAGTAAATGAAATACAAGCAGAGGTGCAGCCCATTCATAACTATCCATCACAAGACAGTGACAACGACATACAAGATGAAAGACAGAGTAAAGGAAGTGACAAAAGTAGCAAGAAGAAAGTGCAGAGTAGAGGGCCAGATCCAGAGACTGTGAAGCTGATTGAAGTCTCAAAGCAGATGTCCAGGAAATTAAGAAACTGTATACTGAGTCTGGGGCAGCGGCACCAAAGCGCCACATTCGCTAGAGCTAAAGGATGCCAGGCATGCAGAGAAGCTGGGACTGGTGACACCTGTCGACACTGCTTCAGATGTGGACAAGAAGGACATCTTTCTCGTGGCTGCAGACAGAGAAATTTGCAGGGAAACGGGAAGGGGTTGCTGGAGGGGGACCAACAGTAGCCCAGCCACTTTCCAGGTCCCACATTGACTTTGCATCCCTACAGGCCAACCCTGAATGCTTACTAAAACCATCAGGTGAGCACCAAGACACAATGATTTCTCCACAGTCTAACTGTTACATGCCCTCACAGCGCCAAACCAAGCTCATCAGTCTCATCGGAAGAAGATGTGTTGTCCAGTGCCAACTTGATAATGTACCAGTGGAAGCTCTATGGGACACCGGGGCTCAGGTAAGTTTAATAAACGATGAATGGAGAAAGAAACACCTCCCTCTCAGCATACTAAGACCCCTTGCAGAACTCTTATCTGAACCACTTGTAGCCTTAGCAGCGAACGGTACTGAAATACCATACATTGGCTGGATAGAGACTGAATTTTACTTGGACTGTGACACCCACCCCACAAAGACATTGCTTGTTCCCATTTTAGTCTCAAGTGATTCCAACGTTGCAGAACAACCTATTATAGGGTTCAATGTAATTGAAGAAGTAGTGGGCTTGTGGGACAAAGGACATTTGAGAACAAAGCATATACAGAAAATCAGTCAGACATTCTCCGTGTCAGTCAAAGCAGCCAGGTCCATAGTCAAGATTCTGCAGACTAACCGAGGCAATGAAAGGGTTGGAACAGCTCACACAGGGAAGAAGGAGATTCGCCTGCCAGCAGCTCAAATAAGCACCGCCTACATCTGTGCAAATGTAGGAGCCCAGTATGCAGGCCAAAGTGTCCTTTTTGTTCCAGATGAACTGTCACAGCTACCTGAGGGCCTGGTGATACAAGAAGGACTAGTTACTGTCACACAGGGGAGGTCAGTATATATCCCTATATACATTGTAAATGCAAACAAGCAAGACCTTACCTTGTCTCCTCACACCATTCTGGGTCACCTAGAAGAAATTAAAGCAGTGTATCCAGTTACAGCCCAAAGTCCTGAAAACACACCTGAGAGACTCGATAAGGATTGTGGTATTCAGGCCCGGGTAAATGAGGTTACCAGCAACTCCCACTCCCACAATAAGCCACCTCAGTGGGATCCCCCAGTTAAACTTGACCATCTCAGTCCTCACCAGCAGCAAGTAGTAAAGCAGCTGCTACACGAGGAGTGTCACGCTTTTGCTTATGATGACAAAGATGTAGGATGTATCCCGTCTTTAAATATGCACATCACACTCCATGACACTACTCCTGTGAAAAAGACATATGTTTCAGTCCCGAAGCCCCTGCACCAAGAAGTTAAAGCCTATCTCCAAGACCTGTTAAACAGAGGGTGGGTTTTCAGAGTCAAGATCGTCCTACTCATCTCCAATCGTCTGTGTCAGGAAAAAGTCAGGTGAATTGAGGCTATGCTGTGACTACAGGGAA